TATATATATATATATATATATATATATATATAACTAACGTACTCGCGTGGATCTCGATGGTGCGACGCCACGAGCAAGCCGCCGCGCAAACCGCCTCCTTCTGCTTGCTTCACCTCCTTTTCTTTTTAGCAATAATCTCACGTTTTCAATGATGATCTGCGCCGAGGCAATTCTATGGAACAACGAGAGAAAATGGGAAAAACACGAAAGGAGTGACGGCGCCGACCCCACTCACGGTGTGCGACATACTTCCGTCACAAACAGAGCCCACGCAGAGTCACTGCAGACTGGTTCTTCTTGCGCTTCGCCGGCGGTGGCTCCCCCTTCGCCGTGTCCTCCACACTCTTCGGCACGACGGCGGGCCGCGACACCGGCTGGGCCGCCACGAGCTGCTTCGCCGCGTCGATGGCCTCCTCCATTGTGTTGATGCGACGCCCTTTGAGCTGCGCCGCTCCGCTGCTTGGTACACCGCCGTTGCGCTCGTTCAACGTCCGCCGCCGCCCCCATGCGATAATGCTGAAGCGATCGCCGATCGGTGTGTGCACGCGCGGCACGCCGTGCGTGAAAGTTTGGTTCACCTCCCCGCGTAAAGGCGAAGCAGTCGCCGTTGAGCTGCGGGAAGTTGAACTCGCGCTGCGAGGCCTCGTGCACGAAGAGCAAAGAGCGCACCGCGCCGAGGGTGAGACCCACCGTGAAGTCCTCCCGCAGCGCCCGCCCACCGTAGGCGTGGCTGTCATGGTGCTGCGGCTTCCACTGTGTCCCGTCGCGGTAGTAGTTGAGCCGCGTCGCGTACACGTCCATGTCGAAGTACTCCGCCAGCATGTCGACAACATCGCTGAAAGTCTGGCTGATATCCGTAGGGTTGTCGAACACCTGATGCTTACTCCAGTCAATCAGCCCACCCGCGCCCACCATCGTCGCCCCTGTCGATGCCACCAACTCCGCCTTCAGCTGATCGTAGAGGTGCCGATCGTGCTCATCGCAGATAAAGTTGTGGATGTAAACGGCGTTTCCACGGAGCAGGGAGCTGAAGTCATCGAGCAGCTGCCCATCCATGCGCGCCGCCTCGGAGCGCAGGATGGCAGCGGCGTGCGTCAAGGCGACGTTCTGGAACTGCGCACCGTCCGCCACTCGTTTGCGTAGGAGCGAGGACTGCCACTGACCATCCGCGGTGTGATCGACCAAGGGGACTGTCGTGGTGGCTAGCTGAGAGGCAGACACGCCATGGACGTCGCTGGAGCTTGCGGGGGTCGTCAGCACAGCTGCGTTCCCGCTGATCTCAGTTCTATTCGCGTCCGTAGTGCTCCCAACTCCTTGTGGGGTGCTGCTGGAGGGTGGCGCGGCGGCGTTGCCGTGGCGCCTCCTCGCCCCGTGAGAGACAGCAGCGGTCCACATAAGATCAGTGTAGCACAAAGTGAAAAAGAAGAGGGAAAAATATCTGCGTTACCGGGGCGTACGGACAGCAGATTGCGAAGGAGACGGGGCACTGTGGAAGAGAGCTTGTGCGTCACTGCAATGCACACAGAAGAAGCAAGGAGAGAATAGCACGGCGGGAGGGAGAGGAGGGGGGGGGGCGTAGAAATATTGAAATAGCAGATCAGCTTCACCGCGAAGGGAACAACAGCGTTCTCAAAACCGCGGACGGCTACCATCCACAAGCTCCACTTCATCTCACAACACTTGAATTAACTGGCCTCATCGCGAGAGGGATCGACCACCAGTTGGAAGGCAAAACAAGAAATATATACGATGAGAGAGGTGTGTGTGCGCACCGCAGGAGAGGGGGTGCGTGGGCTGCATGAGCCGGCGGCAGCACCAAAGACGGCCACAGTCCGCACGAGCCAGAAAAGAAGCCATTCCCGCCTTCCTGCGGAACGATCCATCTCAGATTGAAAAGCAGCAGACTCGCAAAAGACAGCAGAAGGAGTTCTCGGCCGCCATTGCGGATGCTGCCCCTCAATTGCATTATCATTATTAGTATTTCCTGATTCACATTTCGCAGAGTAGAAGAGAAGAAAACACGAACAAAGAGCGACAGGAGATCAGCCCACAACGCCACTCCGAGAGTATTAGAAAACAATAATAATAATAGAAGTAGTAAATAAAACAAAAGTAAAAGTTGCTCCGCAGAGACACACAAACCGTGGAGGGGGCGCATGTGTGGATTTGATGGGCGTAGGTCGCAACAGCAAATTGCAGCTCTTGAAGGCAACACAACGAAAACAGGCATTATTTTCTTTCCTTGCGTGTACTTCGCTGTTCGTTTTTCCCCCTTTCCCCTGCTGGTTCCTCTCGTCACGCGCGATGTCCGAAGAATGAAAATAATAAGAACAATAATGAGACGAGGAAACACGCCGGAAGAAGTGGGGAGGTGGCCGCACAGCAGTACGCTCTCCGCGCACATCATCTCCGCGAGGCACACGAGTCACCAGCGTTGCCACCTCCTGTGCCTTACTGCATGGAGAAATGAAGAAGGCGAAACAGAAAAGAGACATTTACTTTAGCAATAGCACCTCTTCGTTTGAGCTACACATATATATTTGTAGGATCTCTCGTGCGCCAGCTGACGAAGGAGTGGAATTACACAGAGCCTGACGTAACGGCTTCCATGCCGAACGGCGTGAAGTCTTCTCTCTTCGCCGGAATGCTTTTTTTCCAGTGTTCGTTCGGCGAACTACGCATTTTCCCTTTCCTTCTTTTTCTTACTCGACGTTTTGCTTGAGGAACGCCTCAAAGGCGTCCACCTCGCGCGGGCCGGTGTACGGCAGCCCCGCCTTGTTCGTCTTGGTGAACAGCTTCAGCGTCGGGAAGCCGTCCACGTTGTTGTCCTTCGCCACGTCCATGTGCGCGCTGGCATCGACGCGGGCAATCACCGTATCGTCGGTGTCCACGCTGTACTTATCCGCCAGACTCTGCCACTCCGGCTTCATGTGGTTGCAGTGCCCGCACCACGGGGCGTAGAACATGACAAACACGTTCTTGTTTGGGTTGTGGACGATGGGCTTGAAGTTCTCGGGGTTCAGCTCGACGAGGTCCGCCTTCGCGAACGACAGCGCAAAGGCCGTCAGCAGCACGAGGGCGAGGGCTTTCTTGATGTAAGACATGATGTGGATCGGTGAAGAGTAGGGGGTAGAAAATGGATAATAATAATAAAAAGATGCGAGCGCAGGAGGCAGGAGAAGGTCTATCGAATTGCGAAAGGGGAGGGTGAGCTGCGTAGCGGACGAACAATGAAAAGTGGAGAGTTTTTCTCGCTCATAAAGCCGGAGATAAAGTGTGTGGAGAGAGAAAGAAGAGAAAAAGAGGAGAAGAGGGAGGGACGGTAGACGTCAACGTCGCATACGAATACATTTAATGCCGCACGCGGAGCCGCTGTCAGCAACAACAACAAAGGAAGAATATTAACCTTGACGAATCTAGAGCGATTAATAAGAACTGTGTGCCGGGGGGTATCAGCACAAAAAGAAAGCCGCTTCTCGCTCTCCACCCTGCACTCTGCACTCACGAGAAGGCAGCAAAAAGGGAGAAACGGCTGTCAGCGTTTGCGCAAACAAACAATAAAAAATGCGGTGATCTTTCCCTTTCATCATTGTCATCGAAGGAAGAGGCAAAACCTCACCGTCCCATCCTCATCCCACCGCACCAAGCATGCATTCTCATTTTGGCTCTCGCATGCCGGAACCCCACATCTAAACTCTAACTGGCGCGAACTGCGCCGATCACCGTCAACCTCTATCAGTGGAATGGAGGAGGACAAAGGAACGACAAAGAAAAGAAAAGTACCTCCATTTATCGGCCACCGCGTCCGACACGCCTACGATAGCCACACACAACGAATCTAAGGGGAGAAGAGAACACCAAAGACGGAGAGCGCGCTGCGCCGTTAATGGCGCGTCATAGCTCGCTTCGCGTCAACTACCCGTCGCAGCTCCGCATCGGACAACGGCCGCTCATCCACCAACTCCTCCAGCGTTGGCGTGTGCGCTGGGTCGGCGCCCACGAGCGGCACTATCGCCGCCATATCAGTAGAGACGTGGCAGCTGCTGAGAGGTGACGTGCACCGCAGCCCCGCCTTTCGCCTTGGGCAGCAGATCAGGGCGGCGCAACAGCGGGCGCGCGGCGTTGTGCACCCCTACCGGAGACGCGGCTGCGCCCTCGCTCTCCGCATTCTGCCTGTGCTGTTCATCCTGCTGTTGCTGCAGGTGCTGCCCTCGCGAGTACGCGAGAAGGTACGCCTCGGTCCGCTGCTCCACAAGTGAGAGGCTCGTCAGCAACGTGCTCGGCTGCACCCCCTCGAGCCCCGTCGCGGCCCGCAGCTCCGCCGCACTGCAGCCAAGTCCGCGGAAGACCTCGTTCACCTGCGCGATCACCTGCGCCAGCACCGCATCGCACTCTTCGTGCTGTTGCTCCTCTTCAATGGCGGCGTCACGCGTCTTGTTTAGCTCGACTTGCAGCTCACGCATCCGCTTCGCACGTCTGGCACTGTCCTGGGTAACGCTGCCCGCAGGTGCAGGAGGGGAAGATGCCGAAGAAGAGCGGAGCGGCGATACACCGGGCTCCGTCTTGCGGCGGCCCACCTGCACACTCGCCGGTTCAGCCGCAGCGGCGGCGAGCTCCTCAATCGAGGTGACCTTCGCGAGAGCCGCGAGGGAGGCGGTGGGGGAGGCCGGGGGGTGGACATCGGCCGCAGCAACAGCAGCAGCAGCACCCACACCAGCCTCCCCCGCCTCTCTTGACCGGTTGGCCGCAGACGCGGAAGCGCGCGGTATAGTGCCACCGTGCGTCAGCTGGGCCTTCAGTGCGGCCTTCTCCGCCGTCAACTCCGCAATGTCGCGCTTCAAAGCGTTCATCTCGTCAAAGCAGTGATAGCGCTCATCCGCGGCGACTTCGATAAAGCCAACCACATCTTCGATGGCGTCGCTCTGCACAATGCTGGCGAGCCGCTGGAAGTAGTCCTCGAATTCTCGCACCTGCTGAGCGCGCCCGTCCAGGGCGGTGATGGTGGTGCTGCCCAGGCTTGTCTCGGCACCGCTGCGGTCATGCGTGTTGCCATCGTCGTTCTCTGGGCTGTCGTTGTCGGACAGGCGGTGGGCGGCGTTCCGCTCCCCGCTGCCGCTGCTCGGCCGGCCCGCCTCCTCTCTGCTGCTGCTGTTGTTCACGAGCCGACCGACGCGGCGTTGCCGATGGCGATCGAAGGCGGCCTTTGTCTCTTTATTCTGAGCCTCCAGTGCCTCGCGCTCCGCCTTCGTCTGCCGTATCAGCCCGCGCAGCTTCTCCATCTTTTCTTGGTTTGCTGCCTTCACGGTAGCATTTTCGTCTGCCACGCCTAACAGCTCCTGAAAGGCGGCCTCGTACTGGCTGCTCTCCTCCGCGAGGTAGGCCTTCACCTCCTGCACCTCCGCGTTCACCCGCTGCCGCTCCTCGCACAGGCAGTTGTACACCTCCATTAAGTAGGCCATCTCCTTCCGCTTGTCCAGCAAGGCGTCGTAGCGCTTGTTATACATCTTCTCGTTCCCCGTTTGCTTCACGAGCAGCGCGTCGATGGCGCTGCGCGTCCGCTTCGCCTCAAACACCATGTTGCTGAAGCGCTCTTGCTCGCGTGCGGCCTGCTCCTCGAGGCCCCGCAGCTGCTCCCGCGCCTGCACCTTGAAGCGCTGGGCAGCGGACATCTTTGCACCGGCCGACGCCCGCGTGGAGAGGACCTCTCGCTTCAACGCCTGCCGACGCTGGCGCAGCACCGTCAGCTGCCGCCGGACCTCCTCCACCTGCTGCTCCGCGTGGGCGCACTCCCGCCACTTCGCCTCCACCTCCGCCTTCGTCGAGAGGTACTTGGCCGACGTCGCACCCAGCAGTTTCGACCCCCCGTGGTGGCCCAGCGCACCGTGGGAGAGGTCCGTGTGCTCCTGCATCGCCCGCGTCTCCGCCGGCGTCATGCACTCCTCCATCCGCAGCTCCTCCAGTCGATCGTGCAGGCGCGTGTTGTCCTTCTCCAGCGTGGCCAGCTCCTGCTCGTGATGCATCTGGATGCGCTTGGTATCGTCGTCGATGTCGCGCAGCCGCATTTCGACTTCCGAGAGATGACGCCGAAGCTTCGTCTCGGAGACGGCGGTGCTGACGGCGGCGTGGGGAGCGCGGGGAGCTCGTTTGCACTGCGCGGACGGCGGGCGCGGTGCCCGAGCAGTGGGTGTGGCGGCCTTCATTGGGCCTATAAAAATGCTGAAAGGACAGGAAAGTATATATATATATATATATGTATGAGAGTTCTAGTCTAAAAGAACAGACAGCGGTGCCAATAAACTCTCTTCTATTTTCAAGAAGAGGAGGCGAACTCAACTGTGTTGTGCCGTGAATGCGCTATTCCATGAAACGGGATCCTTCGATCGTTGCACCACCCATGCGCACTGCAGCGTGCCCTTCTTACCTCTTCTTAGCGTGACGTGCGGGAAGGAGGAGGAGGAGGAGGAGGAGGAAGGCAAAGGCAATTAATGAGGAAGGCGAGCAGCGAGCGTATGCGGTATGAGTGCGGCAGCCTCCACGATGACGCACTGGAGCATCAATCGACAGAACAGAAAACTTTTTGGAATTGGATATATATGTATACATATGCACCCGCCGCGACGGCGAAAAAACGAACTACATCGGCCGTGGACCCTCTCTTTCCTTTCTGCGAAACTCTAGTACATTCATTCCATGTGTTGTTCCTCGGTGAAGACAAGGATCACTCTGTCATTGCGGAAAGAGATGAGTACGCGTCCTTCATGTCTTGCACCTCCAGCCGCAAGCGGGCCGCCTCACGCGCCTTGTCGTCCACCTTGGCTTGCAAGAGACGGACCTGGTTGCGCAGATCGGTGTTCGTCTCCTCGTAGCGTAGCAGCTCGCTGGCCAGCTGAAGCAGCTGCACATCACCTTCTGCGCTACGCGGCACATCGGTCTCCCGTTCCTCTGCGACTCTTTGGGCACGTTGGCGGGAATAGAAAGACGGCGGTGTCGTTGCTGCCGCATTACCACCGGCGGAGGGGTACACCGCAGCTTTAACGGGCTGCATCAACGCAGTTTCAGGCACAGGAGGGGTCACGACAGGCACCGTCGCGTCGTGCAGCGGTGAGGCCTCCGTCCGCCACGCCGCGTCCTGCGGGGTGCGTTGACGGAGAACTTCATCTCCGTCGCTGATCCCGTGCAACGGTGTCGGGAGAGTCGTTCCGCCCGGTGCCGCAGCACGCGCCGCATCGGCGTTTTCCTTCCCCGTCAAGATGCCGTGCTGCCGCAGCAGGCTCCGAATAAACGACTGCACCGGCTCTGACGCCGCCGCCGACGCTGCGCCGGGCGTCGCTGTCTCCGTCGCAATCGTGCGGAGGGGTGGCACGCCGTCCACGCCAAAGCTGTCGGGCAACGTCGTCCCTGATTTGAAATTCAGGTGACGGTAAGGTGAGAGAGCGGAGACAGGAGGAGGGTCGTCGGCCGGTGGCGCCGTCGTTGCAGCGGCGCGTACGCCAGCCTCGGCTGCGAGAGGACCTTCACCTCTGTGTTTCTGCACGGTAGCCGCGGCGGACATTGCGTTGTGTCGGTGGAGGAGATTTCGCAGCAGTGCGGTGGCGTCGCTTTGCAACGCGTCCAACTCGGCCGCTTCCTTCACGGCTGGTACGTTCTCTCTGTGGTCACCGGCGTCGAGAACGCCGGCGCTCGCATCACGATGCTGGCCGCCGCGATGCTTCTCGCTTCTCGCGATCGCGGTCGCTTTTAACTTCCCAAGTCGGTGGCGCAGCCTCTGATTCTCCTGCATCAGCAGCTGCACCACGCGTATTTGCTGCGTGAAGAGGCCCTCGTCCTTGCGCAGCTCCCTCTCCCACAGCTCCAGCCTCTCCTTGGCGTCCGCGTAGGACTCGCAAATGCTTGCGAGCACCTCGTCTTGCTCATCGTACTGCTGCTGAAGTAAAGCGGAGGAGGCTTGCAGCTCGTCAATGCGTGCCACTAACGCGGCCCTGCTCTCACCGTGGCCTGATGGGCCGTCGATGCCAGGTTCGTGGGCCCCCTCCTCGTGGGGTTCAGAAGAAGGGCTGTTGACGGCAGATCTGCTATGCCCTCGACGACCACGCGACTGCGCACGCTGCAGACGGTCATACTGGCGAAAAGGCGTGTTCAGGACCTGCAGCGCCAGGGAGCAGTACTGCAGCGTCCGCAGCGTCTCATCGCGGTTGTACGTGTCTGGGGCAACGCAGGCGATAAAAAGAGTGGCGCTGCTGCCGCCCAGCGTGTCCTGCAGCAGTCTCGTCAGCTTACTGCTGCGGTACGGGATGTGCTGCGAGCTGCCGCCCACATCGGGCCGAGAAGCAGGGGATGCCGGGGTGAGGCGGTCGCCGCGGGGATGCCGCTGGTCACCGCCGGCGACGATGTTGGCTTCCTTGGTCAGCGCCGCACGATGGTTGCGACTGAGCGCGCGGATTACGTTCCCCAAGGCCAGCAGACCCGTGTTGATGCCGATGCTCTCCTGAAAGCGGATCCCCGTGTTGCCGGTCTTCTTCCCTCGCTCCGACCCTGCCAGGTCGACCACGTCCAGCCGACACGCAAAGCGAGGGTGGAAGAGGGTGAGAATGGCATGACTGCGGCTGGAGTGCTCGTGCACGTTGGTGGCACCGGTGGCACGTCGCGCGTCGCCCAGGGCGATGAACTCCGCGGCTTCTTTGATAGTGTGAACTGGCACGATGGTGGCACCCAGCACGGCGCAGCTCGTGTGCACGACAGATGAAGATGGAGAAGGGGGTAGCAGCGCACTCGGTGGTTTGGCTTCCGACCCCCCGGCCGGCGGTGAGGTACTTCGCCGCCGCGTTGGAGATGCCGCAGTTGTCGTCGCCAGTCGTAGCCTGTTGGGCTTGCTTGGATCGAGGCGTGTGGACGGGTCCTCGAGGAGGTCACGTACGGTTTCCCCGTACACCTCGACGTACTGCAATCGCAGCAGCGGTGGCCGTGCTGGGCCGTCGGCGGCGTCTCTGGCCGAGGTGGCGCCCTCACGAATGGCGGAACTCTCCAGCACCTGCGTCAGCAGCAGCGGCAGCATCGTCTGAACGGTGAAGGTCTTCCCCGTCCCCGTCTGGCCGTACGCGAGCACGCTGGCATTGCAGCCACCAATATAGCGCGCCACGAGCGGGGCGACGGTCTCCGTGTAGATCTCCTCACTCTCCGCCTCCATCATGAACACCCCATCAACCTTGAAGACGCGGTTGTTGCCCACACTGACGTGGGTGTCGTCCAGCACTATGGTGTTCAGCCCGGCATCGGGTGGGTCGGAGGGAATGAAAGGGCGTATGCGCACCACCACCTGCACGCGTTCCGTCATGACTCGCGAAACCTAAATATATAACGACGACGATACAGGTACTGTTGCTTCAACTGCAGTTTTCAAGGCCGCAGAGAATCCTTTCGACTCTCCTGCAACCGCCAACAACTAAAGAGAAAAAAAAACACGCTGATCTATGCAGTCCCTCACAGTTCTATCCATACCATCACACATCTGCATACCTGCCGTACAGGTGCGAGGGTTGTACTGGTGTAGGAGATGACGGTTCAAGTCCCCTCGCGGCTGCAGCATTCAAACCAAGAAAAAACCCATAAATGTTTGACGCGGTGTTATCGTAAAGTGAAGAGGGGAAAATGCAAGAGCGAAACAAAGGAGTTTTCTTTGAGGGAGGGGGGATAGGGCACACGATGTGTATCTTCGCAGGGGGGGGGGGATATAACGAAGTGAGGAGACGCCTAAAAGAGGGGAGGACGCAACGGTGACCCCCAGAATCAACGATTAGAGCACGCGCCTCTCTCTATGTGATGGTGGTGCAACAACTGCACGTAGAAAGTGGCTCCGCACGCAACAGCGCGAGCGACCCGAACGTCGATGGTGGTATCGGCCGTGCTGCAGCGATGATGAAGCGATAGGGCTGGGGAAACAAAACCCCGAAAGGACGTGGAAGAGGTGGAGGTGCCACGCGCGTTGACCTCAAGAAGAAGAAAGAGCACCCTGGTGAGTTCGGCACGATCCCGTAAGGAGGGGGAGGGGTAAAAGAAAGAGGAGGTGTCGCAAAGCAGTAAGTGCTTGCGTCCTCTGACTCGTACGTGCTTGTGCGGCTGACGGTGACAGGTGCAACGTCGCACCACGTAAGCCGCATTCTTTGCCTTGGTGTGGTAAATGAGGTGGCAGTCCCACGCTCCTGCAGAGATTCGGTTGCCGCGGTGTTTTCAATTGTATATACGTGGCCTTTCTTTTTCTCTTGGTATTTGGGAGGGCTTATGCACTTTTTTAGCTGCACGGCTTAGGGGGAGCTTATACGACGACACTTACGGAAACAACAACGGAAATGTAGCATCCTTTTCCTTTCCTTTTCTATATATATCCACCATCGCACACCTTCCACAATGCTTAACCTTTCTTCTCGTTTTCACGGCCTGCGCCGCTGTCCTTCGCCGGCGCTGCGTCCTCTGCACGGGCAATCATCTGTTTCGCGACAAGGGAGAGGGCCGAAGCACGCGCTTTACGCCAAAAACGGTGTGTCGGTGCACTTGGGTGGGCGGGGGTGCGGCTTCGTGATGGTGATGCGCTCCTCCGCCGTCGCATCGTCCGTAGACGGCTTCGGCTCCTCCTGCACATTGCGCGCCATCAGGCGAGACAGCAGCGGCGACTTCAAGGAGGAGGCGGCCGACTCCGCACGAGACTGCTTGTGCGTGTGACCGCCATGCTCGCCATCGCCGTCCTCGCGGCGGTGCTTCGACGCGGCGCTGCCCAAAATCTCCCGCCGCTTCGACTCGCCCTCCGCGCTGCCGGCACCGCGCAGCAACTCCGTCTTCAACGCGTTGCGCTTCGCGTACATCTTATAATGGCGACTGACGCCGATCTTCTTCGCCTCGCCCGTCGAGGTCGGTGAAGAGGAGACCGGTGACCCGACCGACACATCATCGCTCGTATCGTCGTCGGAGCCGCTCACGATGGCTGCGGTGGAGGCTTTAATGCGCGTCAGCACATCCGCAAAGCCCACCGATTGGGTCGTCCAGGTGTCATGCACGCCGGCCTGGTAGCCGAGACCCATCACATCATCCTTCCGCGTCACCTTGACGTGGCTGACGACGCCGACCTGCTCCTTACCGAGACCGGTGCCCTCCGTCCAGCCCGACTTCTTCATGAGCGTCTTACCGAAGTTCTTCTCGGAGGAAGACCACCGGTTGCCGTTGGGGTCGCTGCTCATGGCTCGCTGAGGGTCGTTGAAGTGATGATCTTCGTACTTGTCTTTCTCTTTTGTTTATTTTTTTCCTTTTCCAGTGCCGCTTCGCGATGGAAGAAAAAGGCGGAGGTGTGCGGCGAGTGGCCGATCGCGGGAGGGGAGCGTCAGCGGGGTTGTTGAACGAGGGCACGCACCAGCAGTTATACATTAAAGGAGAGAAGAACAAAGAGAAGGCGAAGGAGCAGAGGGGGGAGGGGGGGGAGGGGAGGAAGTAGCGCTGGAGCAGAATGAAAAAGAAAACTGTGTTGGATGACGTGTGGTCCGCCGCGAATCGAGAACGAGCGCTGTCGTTGAAGACCAGCATTGTGAGCACGGCGGCCATTTTGCTATTAAAGTGAGGAGGGGAAGGGGGGAGGATATCGGCACGCAAAACCAAGCACATCAACACCGCGCTCTTCACTCTTCCATTGCCGTACATTCCTTTGTGTTGGTTTTATCGTTGAACAGCTCCGATACGGGACACACAATACACGCGTGGACTTGGTCAGCGTCGCGTACTACGCCACATCGGGCAGGCGACGCACCACACGCGCCTCCGCACCCAACGCGCTCTGCACCAAGTCCTCCTCAGCGGACACGAAGAGGTGCCGCGGTAGTGGGTCCAGCAGCTTCAGCTCCTGCAGTGACTCCTTCACCGACGCCGGACACCTCACCAGAAAACCGGGGATGATCTCACTCAGCAGCTGCAGAAATGTTTCTGCGCGGTAGTGGTCACCCGCCGCCGCACAGGTGCGGAAAAGCAGCGCGATGGTGCGCATGTCGATCGACTCGTTGCTGTACAGCACGCACAAGTCAACCAGGTTGAAGGCACGACAGTCACCACGGCGACTAAAGACCTCCAGGACGGGCAAGATGAGTTCCTTCGTGATCTTCACCCCGTTGTACTTGTGCGTGACGAGGATGTTGTACGCCTCGTTCGACCACTCGTCCTTGTGCGCCGCACAAAGCGCCGTGATGACGTCCGCGTGCGCCCGCTGCAGGATGCCCTGCGTGACGGCGTCCACTCGCACCGGGTCTGCGCCGCCGTCGTCGGCGTCCTCCTCGCCCCTTTCGTTCGTGTTGGTACCTTCACCACCCGAGCGTTCTCCCGCGTCACCATCACTCGACGGTCCCGTGCCACCGTGTCGCGCAAAGCGAGGTCGCATCTCGACCAGACTCCGCAGCGACGTCAACAAGTCGTTGTAAATCGCTGTTCGCCCGTCCTCGTCCACGGCGTCGCTGTCAAGGTCGAGCAGGCGCACCTTACCGGCAATCAGTTCTCCTTCGATCGCCATGGAGGCCGGCACGCGATCCACCACCTCCAGTGCGCGTCTCAAATACGCGTCCGGGGCGGACTCCTCGATGCGCAGCGCACGCAGCAGCGCCAACGTGTGAATGTCTTTCAGCTGCGAGACCGTCGCCTCGGGCACGCGCAGCGGGTTGGCGGCGTTGGTGTTCTGCTGAAACACAACATCTATTTGATCGTACAGCGCGGCGATTTTGCTGTGGATGGGGGCCGCGAGAATCGCATCCGCAGGCACACAGGAGCTGCGCACAGGGCGCGCCTGAGCGGCAGCGTCAGGGGTGTAGTGCAGATACACCGCCCGCATGCAACTCTGCGTGAGTGAGATGAAGTAGCGCTGCTGCATCCAATAGAGTCGCCCTGCGTCTTCTGGCGAGGTGTGGGCGAACCTGTCGGAGGCCTGAAAAGCATCCACGACCTTCGCGAAGTAGTCGTGTAGATAGTATACCGCAACCCGTGCGCCGTGTGCGCCGTCCGTTAAGGCACGATGGGCGAGGCCGTCCAGCATGCGCCGCAGAAACCGTGTCCGCTGAGCGGGCTTGGCAGTTTCGCTGTCGGAGTTGTCGCCCTCCGCTTCGACGTCTGCCTCCGCCTCTTTCGGATTCTGCAACACCGACGCCGCGCTCTGGAGGTCCAGCTCGTGCAGCAGCCGCATATATTCTAGCAGCGACGGAAGTAGCAGCTCCCATTGCAACGTGGGTGCGTTTGCCTTCACGGCGTCCAGCACCGCCTTCGAAACGGACTGGACGGCGTTCGCCACGTCCGGCGCGAGTCCGCTCCTCTCCCCTGCCCGAACAAACTGAATGAAGTCGTCGAGGAAGAGCGCCACCATGCGGCCGTCACCGCACGGCACGCGCGCACTGAGCGGCACGACACCGCCGGTCAGGAGCAGCGTCTCCCGCGTGGTCGGCAGGCGGTAGGACTTGTGAGGGGCGGAGTGGAGCGAAGAACCGGGCGAAGTAATTGGCCAGGCGCTCGCTTCGTCCGGGAGATACTGCAGGTGCGCCCCATGTCGTGCCGCGGCCTTCGATGGGGCTGGGTAGCACAACACGCTGCCGGCTTCGATGCCGCCAAACGGCAGGAGCTGATCCGCAAGACGGGCCCAGGCCCCCGCATCTGTTGGGAAGTGACGCTTCCGCAGCACGCAGTGCAGAATTGAGAAGAGGGTGTCCGTCTCGCGCAGCGCATTCGCGTGCGTGGCGGCCTCTTCGATGTCGCGAAGCAGCCGCTGCGCCGCCGCCGTAGAGGAGGAAGTGAAAGAAGAAGAAGCACCGGCATCAGCCGGCGCCGTTGCCGATGTTGACGACACACCGCCCGTTTCTGAAGCTCTCGGAAGGGCCTCGGCCTGCTCGGCGAGACGAGACAGCCACGCCGTGAGCGTCTGTGCGGCTGCCGCGCTGCATCTCAGCAGCGTACGATGACGGAGCATCTACGAAGCACGGTACCGCGGCCAACGTCGACCCACCACAACAGAGGCAAACAGAGAAGGCAAAGAGGTTTTTTTTCTTTTAGAGCTGCGACAACAGGAAGGGAGGGGGAGGAAGGTGAAAGCAAAGAAGTGGGGAAGGAGAAGACGAATAACAACGGTGACGGAGAGAGCGGTGGTGAAGTACACGAGACGCCTTAACCCTGACGCAGCAGCAAGCAAACCAGCAGCACGTGCACCAGCGTGTATGCCGGGACGCATCCATCAAACACAGCCACGGATGACAGGAGAAAGAGCAAGAAACCGGAAAAAAATACATCAACAAACTTTTTCTTGCAAATATCGAATTCCGTTCCGCCTCGCATCGCTTTTCGTGAGGCCTTCTCTTCTTTTCGCTTTCGATTCTTCTTCTTTCTTTAGAGCTTGTTAAATTCGCTGTGTGTGTGTGTGTGTGTGACGCTGCCGCTGCCGCTACTCGCGACGAAGACAGCGGGGACAGAAGCATTCGAAGTGACGCTGTGCGCAGAGCGCCTTGCGGTCTTCGTAGCTCAGCTTCGTCGTCAGTCCCGCGTTGTAGGCGATGAAGAGCTGCTCCCCTTCCCGAATCGGGCGCAGCGCCACCAAGAACTTCTCCATCGGCTTTGCGCGCTGCGCGGGCCCGCTCCCACTCACCAGCGCGCAGTTCGGATCGCAGCTGTGATTCACCATACTCAGCGCGGCGTAAAGCGCCAACCCGCTCGTGGAGAAGAACTCGTTCGTCTGCAGCAGCGCAAACAGCGACAGCACCTCCTCCATGAACAGGTTCGGTTGGCGCAGGGCAGCGCTGAGGGCGACGGCGAGGGCGCCGATCTCGCTGAGGGCCGTCGCTGGCTCGTAGTCCGCAATGCCGCGCAGGGACGAGATGCCGGGCATGGCGAGGGGGTGCACCTGCTGGACGGTGGCCATGGCGCAGATCTTTGCCACCGCCAAGCAGGAGAGGGCAGCGCGGGCCTCCGAGCCGGAGTCGGCGACACCCGCAGCGGCCCCGCCGCCGTCCTCGACCTTTCCGCGGTGCAGCAACTCCTGCATGCCGCGGCTCCACTGCGCGAGCTCCGCATTCTGAGCCGCACAGCTGCATGCGTGGTACTGCGACCACGCCGCGGCCCGACACCCCTCCGAGCAGTACGTCTCCTCCTGGCAGTGCGGGCACGGCACCCCAAGCGCATCGCGATCGCCCGGAGCATCGACGCGAGCAGAGAGGGGGGCGAGGCAGTGAGCACACTTCGCTTCGTCATACCGCTGCACCAGCAGCGGCGACTCGCCGAGGATCGCTTGCCGGGACGAGATGAGACGGGTCGCATACAGGCCGCGGCCGTACGTGGTGTCCTGCGGCTCGAGCAGCTCCGCCAGTGGCGGCGTCGCGCAGCGCAGACACGCTCGTCGTACCCTTTGTTGGGTCGAAGCGAGCGGCTCCGCGCTGTCGACGCGGATCGACTCATCCTCTGCGGCGCCGGCGTCACGCACGGCCGCGTCCGCCGCCGCCACCTCCTGGCGCAAGGCCAGCACCTCCTCCACCGAGGGCAGCGTCGGAGAGGCAGCAGCGGACTTGCTTGACGGCACGGGTGTGGTGGGCAGCGTCAACTGCACCAATGCCTCCGTCGAGGACACACACTTGCGAGCGCAACTCTCCTGCAGCGCCTCAGCGCACTTCGCTGCAAACACATCTTGCCTGGTGCGCTGCCCCGCCACCGCGCCCAACACCAGCCCCAGCGTATCCTGCGGGTGTCGGTTTAACAGGCGAATGCAGTACTCTGCGGAGAGCGCGTAGTTCTTCTTCACGGCCCAGTGCCAGGCCCGCTGCCGGAGATGCGCGTCGAGTTCCACGCCGGCGTACCACGCCGCTCGCGCCGCGCGTACCCGTGGCATTTTCGTTTGAGCTGACGTTGAGCACAGCCGGTTGGGAGGAAGAGACGGTGATGCCCCGAGTTGGGCACGGATGAAGGGAGGAAAGAAGTGATATGAGGGCGTTGCTCAAGCAGATATTTATACATATATTTATGTTTATAAGGCAGCCAATGCGTCACTGCACACGTACGTAAGAGCAAGTCTCCGCGGGATGGAGAGTGACGACGCCGCGGAGGGACAGACACGCGACGGGCTCCTCATTGAAGAGGCAGACAAGCAGAGCTTTGACGAGCTGCTTTAACCGGCAAAGCAAACAGTTAACACGTTCTTTTCCTTTCCTATGAGCAGTGACGGAGACGCCGCCGACTTTTGATTTACCACGCCAAAACAATAATGCGACCGAAAGAGAGATCCTCCAGCACGTCCACAACAACCCGCATTCTACAAGAAAACAGACTCCTTAAAATATGCAAATAGAGTTAGTAAATAGCGCAGCTCGGCGTTGTCCGTCACGGCACGGGGTATTCGCTGCGAACATACCAGATGGTGTGCACAACGGCTGACATCACACAACACGAGCTCAGGAGAAAGAAGCAGCAGGCCATGAAGGCGGGCAGCACCGGCGCCAATCGAGCCACCGTACGTGGAGCTGGCTGCTCTTCCTCCTCCTTTCCCTTTTCGTGGGAGGGCGACGACGACAAGGCCCCTCCGCCTCCACGACTCTGAGGCACGACGTCCCGTCGTACGCCGCGCAGAAATGTTGTCTTTCGGGCTTGCCGCTCGTTGAGGTACGTGGTGCCGAGGTAGCGAGAGCGCAGCCACAGGAGCAGGCCGCCGAAGGAGAAGGCGGCAGCCTCAAACATGGACAAGTTGATGGCGTCGAGAAGGTCGAAGCGCTGACACAGAAGGTAGGCGACAGGCGGCCACAGCAGCGCCGTGAGCGTGACGGGGTGTATCAGCCCCATTGCGCCGCCGCATACACGCACCCTCCAGTAGAGACAGAAACCTCTTCACAGGAAGGAGGGAGAGCCAGAGACTGCAGTCGGCTCTGTGGAGGCCAGGCACAATGAAATAGAGAAGCAGAAATAAGACAGGCAAGTATTGAAAGAAGGGAGAGAAGAGTTAATAAAGCCATCAGCGGAGACGTGCTGCTGAGAACCGAATGATCGGCTACTACGCTTCCCGTTTACGTCGTTGACACCACGCATCTTCGCTTGGTCACCTCCTTCCCCACCCCCCCCACCCCTCCCTGGGCAGGGGAACCTCGCCTGTCGTGGCCAAATGTCGCTCCCTCTGCTTCCCTGTTCAGCCGAATTTGCAGGCCCCTCCAGGGAAGCGTACCACGCTGAAAAGGAAGAAAAGAACAGAAGGAGTACGATTCGGCGTGCGTTGCTGACGGCAACGGCACCTAACTGTCCTCTTGACGATGGCGTTGAAGAGTTTTCGCTGTTGCTCCATGGCAACTCGCACAGCTTACAATGGCGGCCACAGAAAGAAAAACAAAGGCGCCCGCGTCCGCTGATCGCTCTAAGTAAAGTACACCGCAGAGACAAATTTCCTGCTCAACTCTAATCAGCATCCATTCTAGGTAGTGAAAAAGGAAAAAGAAAAATAAAGAATAGCAACGTCAGCCGCTCACGTGGGATCGGACGGAGCACATCCGAATACGCGTGAGCGACTCCATCGTCCAGTTTACTCCGCAAGGCAAAAAAAAAAACCCAGTAGACAATAACAATAACAATAGAGCGTCCTGTAGGCTTACGCCACCTGTCGATTGTTCGCCGGCGGCAGCGGCTTGCGGCGCAGATAGCACGCTCGCGCCATCAAAAACACCCAATCCGCGTTGGCCACCACCTCCTCGCACGTCGACTGCACACCGGGCACATCCTCCGGCTGCAGCAGGTCGTACGCTACGACGATCGTCTTGATCGCACTCAGCACGTTGGAGCACTGATGCACCGGGATGCAGTCCAGCGCCTCCATGCTCAGCGGCCACCGCGTCGCCTTCACGCCGGAGCGCGCGGCGGCGGATGCGGCCGCGGTGGAGGCGCCCGGCACGGTCGAGACGATCATGCGCTTCAGCTCGCCAAAGGCCTCGAGGAGTATGCCGACGGCGGACGTGCCGGCGCGACGGCGGTCCTTCACCTGCCGGAAGAGCGCGAGGTCGGTGTACAGGTTCACCACGTTGCCCTTCAGCTGCCCCATCACGTGGCGCACCGCCTCCTCCACCGGCATGTGGGCCAGCACGATGGGCGAGAGCCGCTGTTGGTCAACGAGGGAGCGGTAGAACACGGCGTTGGCGGCCATGTGGCCGCGTCCGCTGCCGCTGCCGTTGCCGCCGCCAGGACCATCGCTGCCTCCCGTGACCAAGGAAGCGGACCGTCCGGTGCTGCTGTCGCCCGTCACGTCCACACCGGGAAGGCGCGGGAAGGACGAGGTCGCGTTCGAGCCCACGTCGGAGCCCCCACGCGTTGCCTGGTGCTGTGTATGCGGGGTGTTGGACAAGTGGGCGGGGTCGTGCTTCCGCTCCTGCTGCTGGGCTCGCAGCTGCGCGCAGCTCTGCTCCAGCGCCGCCAGCTGGCTCTTCGTGTGGGACAGCTGCGCCTCTTCGGCGGCCTGTCGGCTGGCCAACTGATCCAGCTGCCTCTGGAGCTGCAGTTTCTCGAAGATGTCGCCGTGTTCTGCCTCGGCTCGGCGAAGTTTCATCTCCAGCGCCTTCAGCTGCTCCGCGTTTTCGCTGGTGCGTCGGGCGTGTACGCGCTGCCTCCACCGGAGAAAGAAATTTTGACGCGCTTCATAGAGCAGCTGCTGTTCACGCAGCGCCGCGATGGCCGCGAGGGAGGCGTAGTGGGACCTCTTCCCGGTCCACCGCCGCCACATCTGTAGAACTTGACGTGCCTGCCGCTGCTGCTGCAGCCGAGCGTAGTGCGCGGCGAACGTCGACAGCGCAGAGACTTCACTCTTCGCACCAGCCGCCGTTTTGTCCGACGGCAGCAACGAGCGTCGCTGCTGTTTCTGCGCTGCATGGTAGGACATCCACTGCCGCAGCACGCGCTGCTGCACCTGCCGCTGTGCCTTGTGCGCCAGCAACGCCAGGTGCTCGTCGGAGAGGCAGGCGTGGTGGCGCGCTTTGCGGGGCACGGCAGCGCGCCACTGATGAAAGAAGCTGCTCAAACAGGCGGTGCTGTTCATGCTAGACATGACCGCAGCGCTGACCTGCGCCGTGCGGCGGATGCGTCGCTTCACAAGGAACGCCTCCCACGCCACGAAGCACATCTGCAGCTGCTGCCGCTCCGTCACGCGGGACAGGGCCATCGCCAGCACGTAACCGCGCATGTGACGTTGCTGGGCGTCGTAGAATGCGGCCCACTTTCCGAAGAAGCGGCGGGTGAGTTGCACCTGCGTGCGGCTCTCCAGTGTCGCGGCGAGCGCCGCGGTGCACCGCCTTCGCACCCCGCAGAAAAGCAGGGACTGCCTCCATCGGTTGTAGTGCCGCTGCAGCACCCGCTGCTCGTTCAGCTGCTCCAGGATGCAGACGTACCGCGACTTGCGCTCCATTTCCTTCAGCTTCAGCACATTCACCTTTTCCTTCCACGCCGCGGCGTCCTCGGCGTCCTGTGCGATGACGTCGTGCAGGGCAAGCAGCGAGTTCGCCAGGTTGATTTCAAGGGTGTTCTTGTGGCCGTACCACACCTTGTTCACGCCGTTGCTCGAGAGGGCCAACCACTGCATCGTCTGCACGGCGGAGAGGGAGAGCAGCGCTCGCACGCGCGTCGCGGCAACACCTCCGTTGCCCGCCTTTGCAACCTCCGCGGTCGCCGCGCTTGTCGAGCGCCCATCCGTGGGATTTGCCGCTGCGGCCTCCGTCACCATCGCGTTGTCCACCACCTCCTCCACGCCAAAGTCATCGTTCGGGTTGGCGCTCCACCGCTCGAGCAGCCCGTCCGCGTAGGCCACCCACACACTGCGCGTCGTCTCCTCCGACAGCAGCGCCCGCACGCACGGCTTCACAGTAATACGTTTCATCAGTTTGGTGGCCGCGTGCAGGGCACGGATGGCCAGCGGGCCCTGCGGGGCACCGGCAAATGCGTGAGGATTGCCGCTGGGATCGCTGCTGAGGCCCGGCACGGCGGAGCCCTGACCAGAAGAGCTGGAGGCGTTGCCGCAGTACCACACACACACGCTGTTGTCCTCCGCCGCCGTAAAGAGCAGCTCCCGCACCGCCGCCATGTCGCTCACCTGCGACGTGTGCGCCTTCATCGCATACGCAGGGGTCTGCTCCTGCGGCCGGTTCGCCACGACGACGCTGTACACCTCGCCCGACGCGAACCCGCAGCACACCCGGGCCGCGTGAGACGTGGCGGTCATCGCGCAGAGCCGGCCGGCCCCGGCACGGACGGCGTCGAGCAGCACGGTCACCCGCGTCACCGCCTCAAAACCGGCCGCCTCCGTGTCCCACAGCACTAACAGGCCATCTGCAGACGCCGACACAACCTGCCCGTTGCGCAGCACGGCGAGGGCGGTCACGGGGGAGGAGTGGAACTGACCCATCGTGACGAGCTTCAGGAGAAGGGTGTCGTAGACGGCGACGGTGCCGTCGGTGTAGCCGACCCACATATGCGCCGCCGTCGCACGCAGCGAACTCGGCGTAACATCCGTGGCCGGCACGCAGCTCCACGGCGGGGAGGAGAAGCGGTGGCGCGCGGCGGGGCTCGCGACGGCGCCCCCGGCAGCCAGCGGCACAAGCCCGCGGCCCCGCACGGTGGTCACGCCTTGGCCGGTGGCTTTAGACCCCACCGCCGCCACAGCAGTACCGCTGGAATTCTTGCCCGACGCGGTCGTCGACGGAGCGGTGTTGATCGGCAGCTCCGACAGTTCCGCCTGCCGCGCACGGACCTCCTCCGACAAAGTCGGCAATGAGGCGATAAACTGGCCGGTCACGCAGCTGTAGAGGTCCATCGCACCGCTGCCCTCGTTGGCGCACCACAGCGTCGCTGTTGACTCCGCTAGGGCCACGTGCCCATAGTCACCGCGAAACCGGAAAGTTGTCTCATACGTGTTCGGCTCAAAGCGCTCTCCGTCGTGCGCGAACTTCGATAAGGAGACGCCGGTATCCTTGGCGGCGGCGGTGGCACTGACGACGGTAGCCGCCTCCTCCATGGTCGGTGCGACGGAGCTGGAGGGCCGTGCCGTGCGCTGTGGGGCTCCGCGCTGGGTGGTTAGGGAAACACTCGAAGTGGCGGTGCGGCCGTGCGGGACGCCCTGCGACACACTCCGCGATGGCACGACGGGCGGAAGCGATGAGGAGGGGGTCGTGGCGGGCGTGCGGCGAGAAGGCGAGGCGCTCGAGACGGTGGTGGAGCGCTTCGGGCGGTGGCCGGCCGACGGCGGCGCGGCCGTCGCTGCGGCGGCGGCGTTCTGCAATCGGGATCGGTGCATTTTTTTCCTTTGGAATGTGAAGGTGCAGGACAGCGAAGGGCAAACGAGGAAAAAAAGGAAAATGTGTAGGCAGACAGCAGATGTCCTTCGTGGTGTCACGGCACACGAAGGAGTCTGAAGTTCTAACGATCCTCGATAGGGATACACGACACAGGTGTATATATAATGAGTGAGACGGATACGAAGAGCAGCGATGATCTCCTCTGAAGAAGCGGACGACACGGAAAGCGAACTTCTCAACGGGAGTACGTCGGAGCGCCTGTGCCGTCACGCAGGAGCGCGCACCGCGGTGGGACACGATGGGCAACTCTTCCTTCGCGTGTACACCGCGCGTGTAAAGCGCACCTCAACGTCTCCTCTCCTCTTTCTTTTTTATTGTTTACTTTTTTCGCTTTCACCGTTGCTGCTCGCGTCCTTCGCCCGCACTAGCATCTCGTGTGAGAGGGGGGAGTCGGGTGGAGCCAACAGCAAGCCGACGAGAGGCAGATATACATCGCGAAGGAGCAGAGACAGAGTGATGGTGGAAGAAGAGCGCCGTTGGGCTGTGGACACGGAAGGCAGCGCTCGTTGCAGAGGAACCACTACGGATCCAGTCCGAGCGAGCAGAAGAGAAAGGCCAGGTGAGCGTCGGCCGTTTTACAAGCGCGCAGAGCAAGTTGCGCGCATGATTTGAGAAAGGACGCTTTCAGCCGTAAGAAGCCACATACTCCCCCAGCGCGTGCCGTCTGCAGGTCGTAGTTCGGGAAATGAGAAAAGGCGCTGCCGCGGGTTCTCCTTTCTTTTTCTAATCTTAGACAAAACAATGGACGCTTCGTTTTTTCGCCTCTTAAGGTTAAGGTAGTAACCGAGACGGAGTACCGTGCGGAGCTCCACGCAAATGCGTCCAAACGGCGAGGCAGAACACACACATCACAAGGGAAGTAGAAGAAGACACGGCGGCACGGCGAGCGCCCGATAACACGCAAAGATGCACGCAGCCTACGAGCAACACCAGTTCTGAAAGGCTGAGCAGACAAAAAGGATACAGTAGTTTCTTTTTCCAATGAAAAGGTCGTCGCTGCACGTGCCGAGAGCCGCTCGCTCTTCAACCCTGCGCGTCGTTCTCACGCATTCGTCAGCTTCCACCCAGCTGCAGGTAAGGATGCCGCACGTCCACGGTGGTTGCTGCAGCAACGATCATCACAGTAAACACCGCAGCCAGAGGAAACCCAAAAAAAAAGGAAACGTGAAGGATCGAGCCAAAACAACAGAGCACCAGCACGAATCAAACACCCCCCACCATCCCTTCAACACCGCCAGAAAATTCCCTTCTAGAAATTTGGTGGGTGAGAGGACCAGCGCGACAAAAACAGGGCGGTTCGACAACCGCATTCGATACATTATACTTGTAGTATAAGAAAGAAAGCAGCAAGACGGAAGATGGAAGAGGCGTAGCAGACTTTCCGCTCTTTTGCAGAGGAAACAACGGAGAACGAACAACGACTGTCAACGCACGTGACCGCGGCGACCACAACTCGACTCCATTACTGCAAAAATAATAATAACTTTTTATTTAAAAAAAAAATGATTAGAAGACACCGAATTCGGTGTCCGCGCTGCAGAAGGTGACGTTGCGGCCGACGTCAGCGCCCGGTCTCTTTGACTTGTGCCGCACCACCGACGGGCCTGGCCTTGTCGCAGGATTGTAGGAGTAGCGATGCTTGGCCGCCTCTGCCTCTTTCTTTGCCTTGGTCGCCGCCAGTGTGGCCGGGGCCTTCGCCGCCGCATCTATCGGGGAAGGCTCCTCCTCCTCTTCCTTCACCCACGGATCGTTCGAAGGCATGAGCACGCCGTCCTTGATGATGTAGGCGAACGGCATGTCTTTGTTTTCGCTGACGTACGCCTCGTCGTACAGCGCCATCCACGCGTTCTGCGTCTGCTTCAGGACGCGGTCGGAGGTCGCCTCCCACGTCACATCCACGTTCTCAATCGCAAACAACGAAAGCGACTGGTAGTACTTCAACTGCGAGGTGCGGTGGGCGTGGAGCATGAAGGAGATGCCGATGCTTGGCACCGGGTTGCCCTCGAGCTGCTGCACCATTGTCAGGCGCTTGTTCGACTTGCGTGCCTGCAGCAGCGTCGAGGGCGAGCGTCGCGTGACGCCGCTCTGCGTGCGCGTCTGCGGGATCGAGGACCCCTCCTCGCCGGTGGCGCGGGTGCCGTCCGCGGTACCGTTGTTATTCCCCGGTGCCTCGGACGGCTGCGGCAGGTACTTGGTTGAACTGGCGAAGCTCCGGTCGAACATCTTGTCGTAGTGCTTGCCGAGCACCGAGGTGGTGCGGGTGGGTGGGCACAGGTTGCCTTCCTCATCCGCGATCGGCTCCATCACGTAGGCGTTGTTCTCCTCCAGCACCGCGCAGCGGTACGCGTACAAGGTTAAGAACTTAACGTAGCGGGTCCAGTCCAGATCCGCCTTCCACAGCGAGTCCTCGTGTCGGATAAAGCAGTGGTTCATCTTAAAGAAGGAGGCGATGGTGCCGGCGAACTCTGCCACGCCCTTCTCTGAAAAGTGCGAGGTAATCGCCTGGTCCAGCACCCCCGCCAGATCGCCGGCGGAGTCGATCGCCTGCAGCGCCTGCCAGTCCTGCATGATTTCCGCCTCGCTCCGGCCCATCAACAGCGGAAGCGTCTTGGGGATCGCCGCTGCGTTCTCGCCGGTCGCAGAGGCGGCGCCACTTCCATTTGGCTCCTGCGCTGTGCGCAGCCGCTTGTCCCAGAAGTCGTAGCGCAGCCAGACCAAATCCCGCTGCGCGGAACGCACCATCAAGTTCCAGATGCGACGCGATGCATCGACGACACTCCGCGCCTCCGCCTGGTGCTTCCGCTGCTCGGCGAAGAAGGTACGGTAGTTGCAGTTGAGGATGCGCCCGCACACCGCCTCGCAGTCGGCGCGGTAGTTCAGTGGGTTCGTGGTGAGCTGGGCGTAGTGGATCACCATCACATCCAGCGGCGGGATGATCACGGCGTCAAAGTTCGCGGCCTGCATGGCTAAAAAGAAGATGTAGCGGCTAATGGCGATCTTCAGGTGCACCTCGCCGAGCGCGGCGGGCGCGACCGGACACGCGATACTCGCCGTCTCCGCGACCGCGCGCGGAAAGAAGAAGCGCTCCGCATCTGCGAAAGACTTAATTGCGGCCATGTGGCTAAACAGCACCATCTCATCCACCGACAAATCCGCCTTGAAGTAGCCGTCCGACAGCAAGTTGATGACCGTTTCGATCATGTCGCCGGTGAACAGGTTCTTGCGCAGCTGCACCTCGTTTAACGTCTTGAGACGCAGGCCGCAGAGCTCGATGGGGATCCTTGTGCGATAGGGGCTCATGTTGTGCTCGCTCTTCCACACCTCCCACTGGATGTTGCGCAGGTCGCGCAGCTTACCGATGTCAAACCACTCATTGCGCGACTGCGACGGGTCCTCGGCGAAGGGGCAGCCGATGATGTTCAGCGTAACCAGACTCTGCAACGAGAAGAGAGTCATGTTGGGGTCGTCGAGGTTTTCGTTCTCCGACAGGTCCAGCTCCTCTAGGTGGTCCAGCTTGTGGAAGTACTTGGGAACCATGCGGAAGCCGCAGGCCCGCAGTGACAGCCGCTTCAGCGGGATCGGCTGTGTAACGTGCGCCACGATGCCGGCTTTGCTGACCTTGCTGAGGCTGACGCGGCTGGTGGCGTTGCTCGCCCCACCGCCTGACGCCTGCGTGGCGGTTTCCTCCTCCTCGAATTCGTTCTCCTCGTCTTCCTCCGGCACCTCTGTCATGGCGTTGGTGCCGTTCGTGGCCACCGTGCCGTTGCTGGACACGTGCGGCAGCCGCTTCATCACGCGGCCGGCCAACACGTCAAGCGTCTCGATGGGGTTCTCGGCCAGGTCGAGATAGCTCAGGTGCTTCAAGAGCGCAATCACCGCGGGCGGGGCGGTGAGCTTCATCCCGGCGAGGTGCAGCTCCACCAACGTCTTGGGCAGCACGCTTCCGAAGAAATGAGGATCGTTGAAGGTGAAGTTGTTGCCGGAGATGTCCAACGCCTTCAGCTTCATGCGCTTAATCGTGTTGGGCAGCGTGCGCCCGCCGAGGTTGCAGTTCGCCACACCAAGCTTCCGCAGTCGTACAAGACGGTGCAGGGCAACTCCTGTGATTTTGATCTCGGGATTGTTGCCTATGTCAAGGTCTTCGAGTAGCTCGCACTGGATCACCGCCATGGGGATCTCCTTCAAGCCGCAGTTGCGCACGTTCAGCGACTTCAGAGACACAAGCCGCGGCAGCACGTCGAAGCCACGGACGCTCTCAATGGGATTAAAGCTCGCGTTAATGCGCCACAGCCGCGGCAGCTGCACCAAAACCTGAGGAAAGCGCTGAAACCGGTTGTGGTCGATATCCAGCTCGCGCAGATTCGTCAGCATCGGCAGCTCCTTCGCAAGCGCGTAGAGCTTGTTGTTCGACAAGGTGAGCGAGGTGGCGGTGCGGTGCAGGTCGTCCTCATTTATCATGTTCACCATGTGCGGTCCCAGCACGTCGAGCTCGCGACCCGACAAGTCGACGTTGCCGGCACGGCCGACGTGCACGCCAGATCCGAAGACGGGAGTGGAAGAGTCCTCATCCATCGAGGAGTCGTCGCGCGAGAGTCGCGAAGAGGGCCGGTGGTGCGCCGAAGACAACTCCGTCGTGCTCTTACACCCCATCGTCGTGAGCTTATGGAAAAAGCTGAGCGTTGTGGGCAGCGAGAAGAGGAAGATGGCGAAAAAGGAAGGAGAGAGAGAGGTATGCGCACACGCCTTTTGCAGTGGGCCGCAACGGTGGAGAGCAGCGGAGAGACGCACAGCGAAAGAAACGTAAAGAAAAAGGGGCAGCTCGCTGACGAAGGGAAAACACGCAAAAACAGGCAATAAAGAAGAACTTAATGAATACGAAGGGTGGCTAAGCTGCGTCCTTCGGGTCAACAGACGTGTACAAGACTGAAATGAAATATCTCCGTTTAACAAGCCAATTAGTGTTAATAATAATAATGAAGAAAATAAAAACGATGTCGTGTGTCGTTGTATGGCGCCTGAAACAACAAGAAAGGAGCAAGGAAGAGACGAGAGGAGCTGCGAGGCGCAGAAGCGGGGAAGGAAGGGGAAGAGGGGGGGGGTTACAACACGACGTGGCTTTACTCTTCTTCGTTATAAGTTATGATTTGGTGTACTTTAAAAAAAAGGGTGACGTATAAACACGGAAATATGTCAAAGGGGGCGGAGGCGGGCGCGGCTTCCCGAGAACCGTTCTTTAACAAAGTAGTAAAAAAAGATGTGTTTCGGTTTTACTTCAGCCGTTGTCTTTACAGAGCACCTCGCGCACACAGAGAGAGAAAGAGAGAGGAGAAAGAAACAAACAGAAATCACAAAGGGCACCGACAGACGGTGAAGACAAACGCAGCTGTGAAAACCAAACGAGAGCAAAACCGCCAGCGACGACCGCAAATTGCTTGTTCGGCACACCGAGAAATGCGAGGGAGATGTACCCGCCTCTGCGGCGATTCGGCTACCAACGACAGAGGAGCTTCGCACCGCAAAGGTATACAATACAAGAAGAAGAACAATAGCGGGATCAAGACAAGATAGTTCCTACAGGATCCGGATGCACCCCTTAGAAGAGAAGAAACGTAAAGAAGAATGAAGATGACGTTTTGTCTTGCTTCAACGACAGAAAAATGGGGAGGAAACACACTCACACATACACAACAAAGGAGGAAGGTTTTTAACCTGCTCCTCGGCCAACTGTCTGACCGTGAACTGTGCGCACAGAACTTCTTTCCAAAACCCACAGCGGCGTCCACCTCTCTGCGCAATGCTCGGCCTATCTCTCCCTCTCTACCTAAAGAGAGAATGGAAGGATCGGTCTGTTAAATAATAATAATAATAATACGGTTGCTGGAGGCACCAATACAGCTACGGCGTTGAGTACTGACATTGTAGCGGGGGAACAGTAAAAGAAGGGGCAGGAAGAGTGGGGGAAGGAAAAGATGTGGAGAGCACGATTGATCGACACGCACACACACGCACACACACACACACACACACACACATACACACTAGGTTTGAGAACGCACGAGGCAGTCTTCTCTCAGAGCGGTCACCAAAGTTCATCCAAAGCAGACTCCATGATCGCATTGAGTAGAAGGCGGATAGTTTAACTGTACTTGTTAAAGGATTGTTCTTTAATCGAAAAATAATTAATTAGTTAGCGATTAAACACAGAAGCAGCCGTGCGAGGTCCGCAATACACAATAGAGGGGGGACAAGAACACTTCGCCGCTACTTCGACGGCGTCACACGGATGTCGGACGTGATGGTGAGCTCCGCACGGTACCACATCTGCACGAGATCGGCGTAGACGGCACAGCGCATGCGACGCAGCTTATCCGTTGAGGCGCCAAACACGCGATAAACCTTGAAGGCCGAACCAAAGCGAGCGGCGAACAGAAGCTCCGACAGGGAGAGCTCAAACTCCCGCCGGCTCGGTGTGCATGTTGACTTCACTTCGACGAAGCTGACCACATCCCAGCCGGCGGCGTTGCCGGAAGTCAGTCCGCGCGGACCACCTCCACCGTCGCCGCTCGCGCGCGCAGCAAGCGATCGGGGACGCACGATCAGGATGTCAAAGGGTGATCCCGTCTCGGTGTGCTCGTTCACCCAGATCACACGCAGCCCGTGCTGCCGCATCGACTCCGCGTGCTCGGCACAGAGGAGCTCGTATACGTAGCGCTCCGCCGCCACGGCGTAGCCCGGCGTCTCCCCTGCGCTGCCGGCCACTGCAGACGACGCGGGCGGCTGCAGCCACCAATCCGCGCTGAGGCTGGTCTGCCCCGCACCACGATTGCCTGCCGCTTCGCCACGCCGTCGCTTGTGGGGCTGTCCGGTGGTGTCTGCCTCCGTGCGAGACGGCGTCATCGTCGCCTTTGGCGTATGACGGTGGTATTGGAAGGTTAAGAAGTCATCATGGGCATCGGCCGACCCTTCGCTGGTCTCGCTCGCCTCCTTCTCGGAATCCGAAGCGTCCTCGAACGTTTGCGGGCGAAGCCTCTTTTCGTTGGCGCACGCGCTCACCACGCGGCGCACATCCAGCTCGAGCGGGAAGTCCGACCACGCCGGGTCGGATGTGATGACAGCGGTGGAGCCGCCATTGCCGGGCAACGCCAGGGTGACCCGCAGACGGCCGTCGGAGCCGAAGCGCTGCTGCACCGCGCCGCGAAGTCCGCCGGTGGAACGGCCGTGCCGTGCCGTCGTCAACTCCGCCGCGTCTGCGCATGTCAGCCGTCGCACGGGCAACGCGTCTCGGTGCGACGATGGAGGTGGATGATGCGAGAGGTGCGACGCGCCGCTTGGCTGGGAACCCCGCGGTTGTCGCACGGCGTCCGTGCCAGGAGGAAAGTAGGACTGGTAGCGAACAAATGGCCGTGAGGGAAGGGAGAAGGGCGGCTCCGCCTCTGCGTTGGTGCCTCGCTGGCGCTGCCGCTCATCGGAAGCGCCATCTTTTGCGTGTTGGGGAGACGGAGGGTAGCGGTACGGTGCAAAGTGATGGGCGGCTGCCACCGCAGCGAGTACCTCGCCCGCCTGCGACAGGAAGCGTTGCTGCGTCTCCGCGACATCAAACGACTCATAGGAGCTCTGCAAGGTGGAAACGGCGCCCAGCAGCGCGGCCATCGTATCGCGCAGCTGCAGACGGTCCTCCTCCCTCTCCATGGCGAATGGCACGAAGAGCGGCATCAGCGCCTCCGCCAGCATCGGCACCGCGTAATCCTCGGCGATGCCGAAAATTATGTTGTGCGCCGCGACGTACTCTAACCGCAAGTCGCGCTCGTAGGCGTACACGCACCCATTCCAGTGCAAACGGAGAAGCTGCCGTGGCGCCGCGGCACCGGCAGCCGTCAGCACCACCTTCAACTGATGAAGCCGCCGCTGCAGAACCTGGTAGGACATCGCGTACGACGACGGAAAGCGGGACCGACAGAAGCCCTGCAGATAGGGCACGATGGCTGCAATCGTGTCCTGCAAAGCCCCGCTCGCTTGCGTGTGAACGATCGAATGAAAGCTGACGCGGGTTTCGACGAGTTCATCCAGCGGGCGGACGCCGAAGTACTCCAACACCGCCCGCACCCCCCACGACGGTTCCTTCGTTGCGAAGCACAAAACGCGCAGGGGGGGTGCACTGCAGCTCGCGGCGGCGTCGGCGCAGCTAAGCAGCACGCCGTTGTAGCCGCACAGCCGCGGTGGGGCAAAGAGCAGTCCATCCAGCCCGCAGCGCCAGGCGTGATCGCATGGGAAGACGCCAGCGCGGAGGGGCGACGAATCGAGGGCCTCACCGAGCGCGTCCAGGGCGGCCTGCAGCGCCGCTGCCGCTTTTCCCTGCTCCGCGTCCACAAACGACGGTGGATCTTCTTTTGGAGAGCTGGATGGCTTTTCACTCTCGGTGTCCTCCGCAGCCTCCGACAGGCGGGCGCCAACATCAGCGTCCACGCAGCAAACAAAGGACTCGAGATACGCCGCTGCAAAGTCAGCCGTCAGCAGGGCAGGCGAGTAACGCCGACGCACGCAACGCGCCGCCGTGCACCACGCAGCCAGAGTTGGCGCCACCCGCATATGGAAGAGGTCGCAGAAGATTTGACGCAACTCCTGTGGGTAGTGCTGCTCGAGACACGCGCCGGACAGGAGAGAACGTGATGGGGAAAGAGGCGACGACGACGACGATGTCAGCCACGTGCTCCAGCACACCTCCGCGGGCGAGGCCATGTACATGACCTCTCTGACATCACAGTTGATTGACAACGGATGCGACGTGCTTCCCGGCGCACCCGCAGAACTACCTCCCTTGTTCGTACTTAGCTGTTGCCGCAGTGCGGCAAGACGACTCAAGGTGCTCGGTACGCCTTCCCCGTGCGGACCACTAGCGGATGGCGAGAGCAGCGGAATGAAGTGGCGGTGCTTCCACTGGCTGTAAAAGGAAGAAGACAGCGGCGGCTCCTGTGGGGGGTGCGGCGACGCCGACGGCGGCAGCGTCCTTCGTTTCACAAAAGCGTGGTGCATGCTTCTCCACACCTCGCAAAGCAGCGCTACAGAAACGGTGTCACCGGCAGTCAGGCCCTCGAGCAGCAGCGCTCCTTCGATAAGGCGCTCGTCGAATGCCTGGGCGGTGGTGCGGGCAGAAGGAAGACCGCTAGAACTGCTGAGGTTGCTGTCATCGTTACCTTTAACGTAGGCGAGCAGCCTCTCCAGAGGAGTCGGCTCGCACGGAGCATCTTCGCTGATGTTTCTGCCTTGCTCGAGCAGTTCCACTTCAGGATCCCCTGCAACGGTAGACTCCATGGAATTCGTTGATGCCGCTTTCGGCGTCGCTGCGGCGGCCACCACCACCGCGGCCACCGCCAATCCGAGAGATCCAGCCGGTCTTAATAAGGAGGAGAGCAGGTCGCCACTGGCGGCCGACGTCGCAGTGGGCTGCGTCGCATCCTGCGTCAACGCAGTCACAGGGGAGGTCGAGGTACAAGACGCACCAACGGGCACACACGACGCGACGTCCGATACAACAGCGCCGCGACGACGACGAGGCGGCGGCGGTGGAGCAGCACGGAGGAGCGGTGTCACGGCTGTGCGGGCGTTTTCTTCGTCCGCCGTGGACTCTTTGGCGGACGATGTCGTCCCGACGGTGGAGCCAACGGCCTCTCTCGCCGCCCTCGCGGTGTCTCCTGTGTGGACGGCGACACTGCTACATAACTTCTTGTTGCCGTCGCCATCAACAACGTCAGCACCAACGTGAAAACGAAGCTCAACGCCACCTTTCGGCTGATCCGCCAGTGCTGTGTTTCTCCACAGGGCGAGCGGCACCGCGTACCGGCGGGCTTCGCTTTCCGACGTCGACACCGTGAAGTTCCACCCCCGCGCCGCAGCGGTGGCGGGGGACGACGGGCGGCCATTCGAAGGCACTGCCGCGTCGTCCTCCTTCGTAATTCCCTTCACGTGAGAAGCGGCGGCGAGCGCTGTTGCCTCGCGGGTGTGCCGCAGCGCTGCCACGAGCTCCCTCTCCGCGCAGGCCGCATCAAACGCCTCGATGATGCGCGTGTACAGTGGGCCGTTCTGCTCGTGGCGTTGAGCGCGTGCCGCGGCGGCGGAGGAGGGCGGAGCGGGGTGCCGTGCGGCACCGCTGCCGTGTGCGACATCCTGCGCGAGAGTCGCGAGAAACGACGCGTAGTCCTGAATGTGTACGCCGAGCTGACGCACGTTGTGCACACGCCTGCCCGCACGACACCGCTGATGTGCATCCGCACTAGGCAGACGCGGGGGAGAAGACGATGACGACGATGGTGGTGCTGATGCGGACGATTTCGACGAGCTGCCGCCTGCGTTCGGCTCCGTTGCGAGGACCGTCCGCTCGTAGAAGTGTGAAAATCGATTTAGCAAGTCTCGCGCATCGCCACCGCCGTACAGGAGCACCTCGCGTGCGTCGGGGTCGTTCATGAGAAAGCCCACGATGTCCCGCGCGCGCACCGCGAAAACGAGGGAGTTCGCGCGAAGCTGGAAGTACTGCTGCACGACTGGCAACACCTGCAGGCCGACACCGAGGCCCAGCTCGACGAAGTGGTCGACGCCCTCCATCGCACACACCCACTCCTCCAGGTCGAAGAGCGTGATTATGGGATGCGTGCTGATGGCGGACATCACAGTGGAAGTAAGACGCAGCTGCAAGGCGGCCACGTTGGCCAGAGCGGGTACGTCGCGTATGGCAAATGGAAGGGAGGTAGAGGACGCATGCGCGGCTTCCGCGTCGGCGTTCAGCTCTTCCGAAAGGTAAAGCATCACTTCGTGTAGAAGGTGTTCGAGCGTGCATGGCCCTCGCTGCCGCTGCGCCTCGAAGGAGAGGGCAGCATACTCTTGTTGCTGTACTTGGACGTATTGGTTGACCTTTCGAAGGAGCGTCATGTGCTCCGGGTCTGGTGCCGACTGCATCGCTTTGAGGCGGGGCAGTCCTCACTGGAGGGCGTTTCTTGTTGGTGGGGACGGCTGCAGCGCAAGCGCAGCGCCGTTCATCCGCCGGGAGGAGAGAAAGATGGAAAGGGGGGAGCGGAGCATAGCCTCGAAGAATGAAATCGAGTGAGTTCCGTTGACGGCATCCACGCACCTCAACCGTCGACGTGCAACGCACCGGTCCAGTTCTTTTACGGTTGGAACAGAAAAAAGTGTTGCGACAGAGCAGCGCCTGAACGCGCCATTATTCTTTCGTCGTTCGTTGCTGCATTTCATTTTCTTCTTCTGTCTTTAGATCATCCGAGGCGACACAGGGACGCTTCTAAAAGGAAAAAAAAAGTCATTGCAAAATACACGGCTGCCCCTGCGCGCCAAAACAACGCCACACACACACACACACATGGATTACAACAGCGGCACCGCTCTTTCCCATTTCTACTCGTATAAGTCCTTCTGGGGGTAAACGTCGGCGAGTCCGCACGTCACATCGATTGTATATATACCTTTTTTCCTTCTTGCCGCTTCCCTCAAATCAAAGAGCTCACGCATTCATTGTGTAAAGCCAAACAGAAAACAGAAGCAACGTACCTGCCGTTGAGCTATATATATATATAAAGAAAAGCTCGCGAAGCCACTGCCGTTGCGGTTCACGCGGCATCGCAATGACCGCCGTAGGCTGCGCCACGCGAGCACCGTCTCCGTGCAAACAGTTTCAAGATCAACAGCTACAAAGACGATTTTTTGAAAAGAAGAATTTAAAGACAACAAAGGAAAACAACTGCTTCATTACTCCAGGCGCTCCTTGGCGTAGTCGCCCATCAAGTTCTTCAGCAGCTCCTGCAGCGGTGTCAGCTCTTCGCGGGGAATCAAGTCAAACTCCCACACAAAGAACATGAAGTGCTTGAAGGCTGTATTCATGTGCGCCTCCTCCTGCAGCTCAGCGATCTTCGTAAAATGCGAGTAGTAGATGTGTGCGTAGACGCGAAACATGCGGCGAAAAATGTTCTTCACGTAATTCTTGAAATCAACCGGATAAGGGTTGTAGTCTTCGGACGGGAAAACGCGCTCGTCGTTGATCTGACGCTCAATCCACTTCATCAGCAGGTCGAGGTACTGCGGCGCCGACACGCGGGTCGCCTTGGGGTACTCGGGTGGGTTACGCCACAGGTATTCGTAGCGCGGGCCTGAGGACATCACCGGACAGCTCGTGTCGCTGCAGTAGTCCGTGAGGGAACCGTAAATGACATTGGTAATGTTGTAAAAGTCTACCGTGTGCACCGACAGCCAGTTGTTGAGGTCAACGCCCGGAGGAAGCTGGACGGCTTGGCGCAGGTCACCCGACTTCACGAGCGACCGCGCGAAGTTGTGCAGTCGGTAGCGCTCGGTTCCCTCCTTGTGCTTCTTCTTGGGCCGGTAGGTCTTGTCCGAGTCAAACAGCGAGCTGCCAAAGAGCTTCATGCCTCGTCCGGTTTCCGCGGCGTATACGTTTGCCGCTTAAGTCCCTCCCCTGTGTGTGCCGTGTGGTGTGTGGTGTATATATATATATATAAACACCAGATGCTCGACAAGGATCCCGGTCAGTTGAAAGATGATGCCTCAACAACAACAACCAAAAAATAATGCGTGAAAATCGTGAATGAACGAATAAGCCAAAACAAGAAGGAACGAGACAGCGAAGAAACAACGATACCAACAAACTGATTTATTTATTTAGAATGGCGAGAAGACGAGTTCTTTTGTTGGTGTTGTTGTTGTTGCCGCACAGCGTGTTCTTGACACCTTCACCTTCGTAAATCCCTCACTCAACGGGCCCTCTCTCGTCATGGAAGCAGAACGATGGCGCGTGTACTGTGTGCCGCGGTGCCTCGTGAAAGCCGAGGCGGGCACAACAACACACGTACGTACAGTTACCTACGAATAGAAAGGAGGGAGGGAACAGAGCCGCACCTATCGTAAGAAGGCAGCAAAACAATAATAATAATAAAGAGACAAGAGAGACAAGAGTAAGATGAAAAGGGAGATGGTGGGAGAGGAGGAAACGAAGGAGCAGCCACGCACGCACTTGCCATCAACGCGTCAACAGGAGACAAGAGAAATCCTCTGTTTTTTTTCGTGCTGCCGAAGCTGAAGTTAAGAAAGAATCAGAAATCAAAACTTCGAATCTGGTGCGCCACGAGCGAAATAGCCAAAAGAAATTCGCCTCCACGCGCCCGCACCGTCTCGTACGAAGAAGGCGAGGCCCCTCCAATAAATAAATAGTAGGAAAAAGGACTTTTATTGTCACGATGCACACCCGTCGCCCGGCCAGAGAGCTGCGTCGGACATAACGCATTCCTTTCTTTCTTCTTTGGAATTTGCTGTTGTTGCCAGGGTCAGCGCATCGTTGGTATGAGTCAGCACTCATCGGCGGCTGGAGGCCACATGGGTGTGTGTGTGTGTGTTCTCCGGCTCCAGGTGGGACGCATTCAAATCAGAACCTTCATGGCAGTTCGCCATTCCAACTGTCCGCCGTTCTTCTGGGCGTCACGGAAACAATGAATGGGAAAGGACACATCGAGTGCGGCGCTGCTGCTCCTTCAGGTACACTAAGCGCCGTGCACGCGAAGGAAAGGTGGGAGGCAGACACCGGTGGAAAGGGGGAAAGGGGAAGCAGCGGAGAACAGAAGAAAGTAAAAGAAGAGGAAGCCGAACTCCTCACACGCACGCACACCCCCGAAGGCTGCCATCACAGGAGAACAGAGGAAAGAGAGAAAAAAACTCTGAGCAGCGCAGCGCAGAGAACCCAAAAACAAAAAGGGCGGAGACGGCGGGGTTGCAAGATGACGACGCAGGCACCGCAAAGCGCCGAACGAAGTCGCGGCCCCTCGTCAGAGCAGCCAAAGAAGTGTTCATGACGAAGCGAAAGCACACACCACGGCTGTACACGCTCCGTTGTGCGGCGACCGTACACGTGTGACGCCATCAAATACCTGCACGAGGCAGCAGTGAGTAAAAGAGAAAAGACACAAAAAAAGTCAGGAAAAGAATGAGCGCCTTCTGTTCCACTTTGGTAGTTCACTGAAGAAAGCGGCTCGAATCGCGCGCCAGGCAGACCACCTCCACCACCGCATCAGCACAACAGGCGAGGAGGAAGATAAAAGCCTGGGTGGTAAAGACACAAAACTGGAAGAGTCACACGCCAAGAACAAAGAATAAAGAGAATCTTTCCAGATGAAGCACGATGTGTGTGTGTGTGTGACACAGAATAGTCTACGTAAGTGAGGAAGAGGACGAGAACGGTCACAGCCATGTCCGTTTTTTTGTGGAGGAGGGAGAATGTCTTTTAAAAAAAAGAATTGCGGAGATTCAGCTTTTGCCGTTTTCCTTCTGGTGTTGTTGCTGCCATGCAACGACGCCGCTACTACTTTTTCTTTCAACTCTTCCGGCCGCGGATGAGGAACGGCATTGAGGCGCTCATATGTACAACCGCACGCGCAAGTTCTTTCGAAAGCACAGGAAAGAGTTGACCCCACCAACACACCGTGGTATCACAGCAGCAGCACACACCGCGAAGGGAGTTTTCTTTTAACACTTTTGTCAAGTACGTCTCCTTCTTCAGCTATGATGCCTCTTCTGTGATCTCCTGCCACTTGCCTGCCGCGCCCGTCAGCAGCTTTCTTTGTCCACCGGTCGAGGTGCATGTTGGAGGAGGGACGGGGAGAGAGTGAAGCGGCCACTGGAAAGAAGCAGGAAGAGCAGTGCGCTTCACAAGAGAAGTACTCAAGAGCACTTCATATTGCGTCTTCACGCAAGAGCAAAGACCCTCCTCCTCTCTTCCTATGTGTGAGTGAGTGAGTGAGTGAGTGGGTGTGCCTCCACTCAGGCCGTTACTGCACCGTCACACTCTTGGCGAGGTTGCGGGGGCAGTCGACGTTGTTGCCGCGAAACAGCGCCATGTAGTAGGCCAGCAGCTGAAACGGTATTACATTCACTACGCACTGCAGGCAGTCCACCGTCTTGGGCACGATGATGATCTCGTGCGCGACCGCCTTCAGCTCCGCATCCGCCTCCGTCGTGAAGACCACGACGGAGCCTTTCCGCGCCGTCACCTGCTGCACCGCCGCCTTGCTGCGATCGAAGAAGCGATCCCTGGTGCAGCAGGCCAGCACCGGCATCGTCTCGTCGATCAGCGCGAGGGGGCCGTGCTTCAGCTCCCCACAGTTAATCCCCTCCGTGTGCACGTAGCTGAGCTCCTTCACCTTCAGCGCCGCCTCCTGCGCGGTGGCCCAGTCGTAGCCGCGGCCGAGGACGATGAGGGAGTGGCTCTCCTTCAGCCGTCCCGCGAGGTCCTTGACGGGGTCGTGCGTGGTCTTGAGGGCCGCGGCGATCTTGCTGGAGATCTCCGACAGGCCCCGCACCACCTCCTTCCGCCGCTCCTGCGCACGCACGGAGTCCTCGCACAGGAGCAGGGCCACCAGCGTCATCACCACCACCTGCGAGGTGTACGCCTTCGTGGACGCGACGCCCACCTCCACACCGGCGTTCAGGTGAGCACCGAAGTCGGTCAGGCGGCTGATGCTGGAGCCGACGACGTTCGTGATGCCGATGCAGAGCGCACCCGCATCACGGCACAGCTTCATCGCCATGAGGCTGTCCGCCGTCTCGCCAGACTGCGAAATGAAGAAGCACGCATCCTCGCGTAGCACCTGCGGCTCGCGGTCGAGGAAGTCCGACGCGTTCTCCACTGCAATCGGCAGCGGGACGAGTTCCTCGAAGAGGGGCCGCACCGCCGTGCAGCTGTTCAGCGAGGTGCCACACGAGATGAAGAGGATGCGGCGGCTGGTAAGGATGGCGCGGATGTTCTTCGGCGTAAAGCCGCCCATCTTCACCTTACCGGAGTTGAAGTCGATGCGGCCCCGCATGGAGCTGACGACGGACTCCGTCTGCTCGTAGATCTCCTTCAGCATAAAGTGGGCGTAGTTGCCCTTGGACAGGCTCTCCAGCTTCGTCTCCAGGTGCTGCACCTCGCGCTTCACGGCCGCTTGCTTGCGCTCCGTCGAACTGTAAAAGCGCAGCCGGCCATCACGCCAGTGCACGACGTCGTCGTCCTCGAGGTACACCACGTTGCTTGTGTACTCCGCGAAGGAGTTGCTGTCCGAGGCAAAGAAGACCTCCAACGGCTTCGTGGGGTCGGGAGAGTCGAAGGTGTGGAGCTTCACCACGCGTCCTTGGTCGTCCATCTGCCGCACACCGACCAACAAAGGCGAACCCTTTCGGCACGCCATCACCTCGTTCGGGAAGTAAATGCTCTTGATAAGCATCGCGTACGCCCCCTCCACCAAGTTCGACATCTCCATCACAAGATCGACAAAGTCGTGGATGCCACGCTTTGTGTAGAGGTACTCCGCCAGCACGCAAATCACCTCCGTGTCGGTGTCTGAGTTGTACGTGTAGCCCTCCTCCTTCAAAAACTCCTTCAGGGTAATGTAGTTGGTGACGATGCCGTTGTGCACAATGGAGAACTCCCCGTGGTTGCTCTGCTGCGGATGGCAGTTGCGCTCGCACACCTCACCGTGCGTGGCCCAGCGTGTATGAGCGATGCCGACGTGGTGGCTCGTCACCGCATCCATCGGCGGCAGAGTTGCCTCGACCGCCTCGCTGAAAACCTTGTCGCGCAGCTGCTGAATATTGCCGGTGCTGCGCACGACGCACGGACAGGGTGTGGGCACCGCGGGGCTGCCCTCCTGGCCGACGGTGGAGTCGATGCAGAGGCCAGCGCTGTCGTAACCGCGGTACTCCACCTTCTGTAAGCCGCGCAGCAGCATCTCCACAATCTGCCGCACCGAGCGCGGCACGTTGCAGTTCGCGTAGCCGAAAATACCGCACATCGTTTTTATCTTCTTCTTCCTCTTGCGTGCTTTCTCTTGCGTGTTGAGGGGTTTGTGGTGATGGGTGTGTGTGTATGTCTTTGTCGAGGTTCCTTTCCAGATCCCGTGTACAGGTTTGAAAGGAGACGAGAAGACGTTGACTTCAACGAGGTTGCGGTGGAGGTTGATGGAACGGTGCAGCTGCGATGAAAGAAGGGGAAAGGAAAAGCAAAGAACGGGAAAAAACCTACACTTCTGCATGCACACGAACGCGCGGGGGAGCGAGGCGGGTGAGGAGGAGGGAGAACGAAAATGAAGCAATCAGCACCGGAGAATGATGCGAAGGCGGCAGAAAGGCGAGCATTGGAACGCAGTTGCACCGTGGACGTTTCCTGAACGCGGGCGGCGGAGTAAGCTGCACAGAAGCTGCAGTCGCTCCACGCAAAACCACCGCACGCTTCTCCAGTGCGGAAGTGGTCTCTGCGTGCGCACTTCTGTCACGTAATCTGGTGTTGTTGTTTTTGGCATCACTTCACTGCCGACGTCATGAGAGTCAACGACACGACGTCACTCCCGTGTACAATGGCCTCCCGCGTCTTTCGTTTCTTCATCTGCCGCTCGCTGTTGCTTACCCTTGCCTTCCCCGTTTTCTAGTTGTCAGGGGTCAGTACGGCTGTTCAGTGAAAGGAAGGAGATCGCACGTGTGCAGGTAGTTCAACTCGCCGGACGAGCTCACGTGGCCGCCGTCTGCCACCTCTGGCTCTGCTGTCCTGCCCACACGCCCACAGCGGCACAGGTGGTTGTCGGCACCCGCCACAGCATCGCCTGCTGAACCGTCCGTCGCCATCGTCGTCGTCGCCACCACGGATGCTGCACCGGCGCCGTTCATCAGGCGGAACGTCCGTCTGTCCTCCGTGATGGAGAACCAGACCACACGTCGAATGGCGAACTCGCGATGGGAGAGGCTGCCCGGAGGGCCAGGAAAGGTTTCCGCCAACTGCGCTGCTTTTGGACACGTCGACGTCGAGTACTGCGGTGGCCGCTGCGTGGCAGACGGCTGCGCCATTGACGGGGAGCTCAGCGACGACGCGGAAGGCGAGTTCACCGGGCGTGGTCCAAAGAGGCAGGGTGCGTCGAAGGTCTCACAATAATTGCTGCTCGTGCCGAACTGCAGCGCCTCGTCAACGAAAAGCGCGGCGCCGCTTTTGCCCGCACCAAGGGCGAGAAAGCGTGGATTGCACACCACAAACTTGCGATTGTCTAGCCGGCCGGACCAGCCGTATTTGGTGAGCAGCGGCGCTCGCGGGACAACGCCGCGCACGGAGGACGAATGCAGCGATCGGTGCACCACAGCCTTGCCGCCAGCTTGAGAAGGACTCGTCGGTTTGCTGGAGGAGGGCGGAGTGGCAGACGCACCAGTTACCGTCGCTGCGGCGGTGAGCGTGGGAAGCGAGGACGACTTTTTCGCTGCTGTCGCCCCAGCACTCGCGTCCGCCAACGACGGTGATGCGGCCGCCTTCTCAGCTCTGAATTTTCCGTTCACCGCCTCCGCGCTCGCATCGTCGTCTACGCGCTCAACGGTCATGTGTGTGTGCCGTGGCACGGGCACGTGGGTCTGCTCTGCGCCGTCCGACAGGCGAGCGAGACCCGGCACCGATCGCAATGCGCCAAGAGGAGGGGAGTTTAAACTGCTGTTCTCGTTGCTTGACGGTGAGACGCCGCTCCTGCTTAGCGAGCGCGCAGGCGCTCCACCGGCCGCGGCGTTCTTCGTCCCTTGACGGTCACGCACGCCTTCCCCTGCCGCTTCCTTTGCTTTTGATGCCGCTGCGGCAGCGGTGGCTTGTTGCTCCGCCCATATGGCAAAATCACGTTGCATCCACACACCACAATCCGGCGACAGCCCTAATTGATCCAGTCGGAACACGTACGATTCCTCCGAGCCAAAATAAATGTTGGCTGCGTGATGGGCCAGGCTCGGCACCACCGGTGTAAAGCAACCAATGACACCGTAGGGCAGTGTGCCACGCAGCGCACCGTACCGCAGTGAGCGCGCTCGGTGCACCTGCTGAAAGGACTTTGAGTTGCCCGACGCAGCCGGCGAGTTGCAAATAGAGGAGCCGGCGGAGACAGACGGGTCCATTGGTGCATCATCGCGTTGGTAGACGAAAAGCAGCCCAAAAGCGACGGTCTTGGCGCGCCTCTGCTGCTCCTCGACCGCCTCCATGCATCGGTACAGCGTGGAGAGGCTGAAGCCGTCCCGCGCCGTGTCGAAGCAGAGCCTCCATGGATAGTTCTGCCAGCGGGGCGGCAGAGAGAGCAGCACCTCGTGCAGCTCGCACTTCGACAGCGGCAGCGGTGGCTGCGGAAGATCCTGACTCGTGGCGAAGAGCTGCACCGCCTTCAATCCACAGCGGCAGGCTGTGCACTGAAGTCGGCTGCGGGGGTCTGCACGAAGGGATGGGTCATCGAGGTTGCAAGGCAACGCTGCACCAGTGTCGGATGCCGTGCCCGGCAAAGCATGCGGAGGAGGGTGGTCATCTGCGTAGAGGGCGGAGTGACGGGATGCCGTGTGGCGGCGAGCGGCGTCCAGCAGCTTTCCGCGCACCTCGGGGCGGTATTGGAAGCAGTTGAGGTAGGAGTCGTAGAAGTGGCAGCCAGGAGGCGGGAAGGTCGGCACGATGCGGCGGGCCGTGCCGGGCGGTGTAATGTAGTGGGATAACACCGCTTTCTGTGAACCACGCGAAGACGGTGAAGGTGGAAGGGCGCCGCCGCTGGTGTCCATGACGCGCCTTCGTTATGTATATGAATATGTGTATGCGTGGGTCCGTGCGTGGTGTTGTGTGTGTGGTGGTGGTGGTGGTGGTGGTGGAGGTAGACGTCGTACGAGGAACGTGAGACCCAATCAACGGGGAAAGACACACCAGCACCCGACCGCGCACACAACGCAAGGACTACGCTCCAAAATAATGACCCGCGTACGCTGAGCCGCTTCCAAACAAACCAAGAAAAAGAAAGAGGTCGAAGACGATGTGCAACCGGAAAACAAGAGCGAACGCATATATATATATCATGTCAGCGACGTCGTCAACGAAAGAGAAGTACTCGCAGCTGTTTGTGGCGATAGCGATGGCAACAATGGTAGAAGAGAGGGAAAGGAAGAAGACCCGTTGGGGCTCCCGCCTGCGCTCGTACAGGCATGCAAATCCACAAATACATACGCCTCCACCACGTATCCGCTGGGGGGAGGGGAGGGAGGGTGGCGAGCGATATATAGATAGAGGCGCCAGCGCTGACAAACAAACAAAAACTCACTGAAAAGGAAGAAGTGGAGGTGAAAAGAGAAGTGTACAATGAAGATCCACTACGTACGCAACGCCACCCACCTTTCACGTACGCGAGCTCCGGTCAACGGAAGGCGCACTGAAATGGAAAACAAGGGCTGAAAGAGCAGAGACGAAATGAAGCGGAACAGACAAAATAATGACGGAGAAACGGGAGTAGGAACACCTCCGCTGCTACTAGGCAAGAAGTGTATATATATAGACAGTGAATGTCAGTAACTCGAAGTCGCTCGCGAAGTGCGTAGCGGAGAAGAAAGAAAGAGAAAAAACGGCGTGGGTTTTGATTTTGTTGTTGTTGATGTTGAGGCTGGAGGATGAAAGGCACCGCAGGGTGTATCTGACGGTGCGCACACCACCGCTGGCAGAACCAAGAAAAAAAAAGGCGAATCAATGAGAAGAAAGAAGGGGAAGGAAAGACGGTAAAAGTAAACGAAGGTTAGACGAAGAGACACAGCGGAGGTGAAAACAAATCCTTTCTACCAGCCAATTCTTCTTATCATTGCGGTGCCGCGATGAGCAGGTGCGGGCGTTTCGATCCCTGCTACATGCGCTGTTGATGCTCAGGCAGTTCATCCTTACTCCGGGGTTTCTTCTGGTGTGTCTGTGTGCTTGAAAGGGAGGCGAGGGAACAGCTCACTGGCGTCAACGCGCAACGCATGAGGAAAAAAGAAAACGCCGTTTTCATATCGCGTTAATAATAGTATATCGCTTCTCTTTCTTTTCGGTAAATGCAAAGTACGCGCGTGATTCTCGTAGTAGGCCTTGCCAGTAGCTGGTGCCATTCCCCACCTGGGTTCCCAGCAGCAGCAGCAGCAGCAGCAGCAGCAGCAGCAACAGTTACAACCGAAGCCGCAAGGGAGAAAGGCACCAACGTAATTTCGATAAGGATGCTAAGAAACCTGGAAAAAAAATGTGAATTGTAGCGAATCAGCAGAACGAGAAAACAAAAGAAACACGTGTGTGATCGGCATCACACTCATGTGTTGTTGCCGCTGCTGCTTTTCATCTCTTCACTCGCACGGTGCGCACTCACACACACACACACACACAGCAACGAAGGGAGTCAGACCTTGTAACCAATCTCGTATCCCTCTTGCACCGCTTGCAGCATATCCTGCTCGCCATGGCCGTCCCCCGTCACGCTGTCGCGGCACGAGCCGCACGTGTACAGCGCGAAATCCCTAATCATCTCACCCCGCGTGTTCGCCCCGTCCTTCATCCATTCATACACCCACGTGCCGTACGTGATGTTCGGCAGCATGCCGATACACCACACGATCGTGTCACACGGGACGTAGAACTTCCGGCTGTCTGGCGGCAAAATGGAGATGTGTACTCCGCCCGCATCGAAGTTCTCAATCATGCCGTGCCGAATGACGGCGCTGTCGTGGTGACGGATCCACCGCTTCTGCGTCCAGCCCCAGCCACGCGACAGGTCCGCGTCCTTGTCCGCCTTTTGGAAGATCGTCACCTCGCGGTTGTTGCGTGGCATGCGCACCTCTGGGTGTTCTAGAACCGTACCCTGCTCCAGGTTCACCCCCCACTCATCCAGGTAGAAGGAGACCTCCCGCGCCACACGCGGGTCATGCAGCAGGAAGGACGCGACGTCGTGCGAGATGGCGCCGTTGCCGATGATCACCACGCGTCGACCCGCCGTGACGCTGCCGTCGAGAATGCGGCTAAAGGGCACAATCAACGGGCACTCCGACGCACCGGGGAAAACGTGCGAGGAGATTGCCCGCGGCACCGACCCGTGCGCCATGACGACCGCGTGAAAGAACTGGTGATTGCGCGCCACCTCCTCGCGGGTGAACTCGGTGTTGAGGCGCACGTTGATCGACGACTGCCGCAGCTGCCGCGTCCAGTACTCCAGCACCTCCTGGTAGCTCTCCTTGCCCGGGACGCGCTTCGCCCAGTTCAGCTGACCGCCAATCACGGCGTTCCTTTCGAAAAGGGTCACGTCGTGGCCCCGGCGCCACAAGGTGAGCGCACACGTCACACCCGCCGCCCCGGCACCGACGACGGCGATGGTTTTGCGGTACTTTGCCGGCTGCCAGCCGCGCTGCAGCTCGTAGCCGGAGATGGGGTTCAGCGCGCAGGTGATACGCTGGTGCTTGTACAAGCGGTTCACACAGTGATTGCAGCCGATGCAAGGGATGCTGTCCTCGCTGCGTCCTGCGGCGGCGTTGGCGATGTACTGCGGGTCCGCCAGCAGGGGACGAGCGAGGCCGATCATGTCACACACGCCCCTGTCGAGGAGCTTCTCCGAGAGCTCGAGGGAGTTGAGGCGATGGGACGCTACCACCGGCAGATCCGCCGCGCCGGCCGCCACCAGGCGCTCCTTCACCAGTTGACACGCCCGGGTGAAGGCTCCGTGTGGAACGTAGGCGGACAGCGTCTGCACCGGAGAGTCATGCATGCCGACGCTGGTGTTCAGGATGTCGACGCGGCCGCTCTTGGCGAGCACCTCGGCGCACTGCAGCGTCTCCGCCATGGAGCTGCCGCCGACCTTTAAGTCGTGCAGACAGAGCCGCACGGAGACGACGAACTTGCCAGGGTGGGCGAGAGAGTTCTTGATTGTCTCGAGCACGCGAGCCGTCATCTCAATGCGGCGCTCCAGCGACCCGCCGAACTTGTCGCGGCGGGTGTTTACCGCAGGGGAGAGGAAGTTGTGCAAGAGGCTGCCCTCACTCACGGGTATTTCGATCCCATCAAAGCCGGCCTCCTCGGCGAGCCGCGCGAACCGCTCGTACTCCGAGACGACGTAGTTGATCATAAAGCCCGGAATGCGAAGCGGGAAGGCGCGCGGAAACGGCTGCACCGTGGAACGGGCGGACGTGGAGGAGAGGAAGAAACGCTTGCGGGCGGCACGGCCGGAGTGGAAGGCCTGCGCCAACACGTAGCCGCCCTCCTGGTGCACCGTCTTCGTCACGCGTGACAGCGCCTTGGCCGCGTCAAAGGTGCCCAAGGTCAGCGCATCTTTCTTCCAGCGACCGAACTTCGAGGTGCCTAAGCCGCCGACGACGATCAGCTTCGCCCCGAAGTGGGCGCGCTCCCCAAAGAAGGCCGCCATCGCGGACATGTGCGCGTCGCTGCACAGCGGCAGCTCGTTCTCCATGTTGAGGTAGATCGGCTGCATGTAAAACCGGTTGGGGAGCTCGATGTGAGGACTAATGCGAATGGGCGTGAACAGCTTCGGCCCTGCGATGACCGCCGTCGCGGCTGCCGGCGTTAACGGTGAAGGCATCTCGAGACACTAAACCCTAGAGAGAGAGAAGAATACGCATATATATATATATATATATATATTTGTGTGTGTGTCTACAACAACGTCAAGTGCACCGCCGCTTCTCCGTTCCGTCCCTTGCCTCCAAATTCGAAACACTCGCCACGTGAGAACTCTCTCCGTACTATTATATATAAAGAAACAGAACGATAGTACAAAACAGTTAGCGAGATGAAAGAAGGAGATGGACGCGATGGAAGTTGAGAGGAGACGTGCACCCGCCGTTGAGCTCATTCGTCAGCACGTTCGTGGGGTCACGCCATCCGACGCAGGTGCCTTGATTGAATCCTCCCGCAGCCTTCACAACTTTTGCGCGGTGAAAGGGCAGAGGATGAAGGATGCTTCGCCTCCACCAAGGACTTGTTAACAGACACAGAAAATAGTTCTCGTCCTTTAAGCCGTATCAACACAAGAAGACTAGGATGCTCGCATCTTGTTATCGCGGCTATTCGTCAGAAGAGCGGCAGCGGTTGCAGACGCACTCCGCACAGCTTCCTTTCCTTGCGCCTTTATTGCTTTCGATGATATATATATGGAGCCCTCATTACAGCAGCAACCAATGCACATGACGCGTGTCATCTCCCACCAGCGCCTCTTCAACAATATATATATACGAAAGCCAACGCCGACAGCACAGCGCCATGCCAACAACGAATGCGCTCGCGCAGCTCTCTCTACCAGCTCACCTAGCTCCTGCGCTTCCACCACCACGACGCCGTACAACTGCGCAGCGGTAAGAAATTTCGAAGTGAGAGTCAACACGCTGCGCAGACGGGAAGCACGACAACGAACGGCGACGCAGAGAATGAAAAGAGGCGAAAAGGAAGTAAGCAGCGCGGCCTGCCATCGAGAGTCCTCTTCGGCACAGAAGAAGGGACTCCACCGCGCCCAGCCGCCGCTGCTGCGGAGCATTTCGTCTTCCACATCGTCATGGTGTGCGCCCTCTCAAAAAAAACAAAAAAACCCGGCTCAGCTGCGCGCCCTCTTCGCACCGGCTTCTGTATCAGCAGGCGAAACCACATACACACACACTCGCACACACAGAGACGGAGATTGTGAGAGAGGACGATGTCCGATACAATGAGACACGCACAAGGGAGAAGAAGGGAGGGAGAGGAGGGGGGAGATAGTTTATACCGCAAACGAAATCAGAAGAAAAGACAACGAGCCAGTGTTTCGTTTTTTTCTTTTTTGAAAAAGAGAAGGAGAAATAATAACAGCGAAAGAGGAATGGAGACGTATAAAGCGTGTGTGACGGAGATCACCCAAAACGGCCTTCGCCAGAACACACACACACACACCGAAACAAACAGAAGGAGAAGAAAACGGACGCGAATGCGTGGAACAGGGAAAGGGTTCGCGGGTGACCTCACTCGTCACCTTGCCGTCTCCTACCCGCTACCTCCAATTCGATTTAGGGGGGGGGAGGGAGGGGAGCGTTCCTCCTATCCAGACAGCTCCCGAGGCATTGGTAGCCCATACAGTGTCTGCACAAACCGCATGTCCTCCCGCGGCAACGCGCACGCCGTCACCCCGCTCGTCGGCCACACATCCATCACGCCGTGGATGCGGTCGAGTCGCTGCCGGCACGTCAGGCCGCTCGGGTTCACCTCGACCGGCTCCGGCACGCGGGTAAAGGCCGCCGCATTGGTGGGGCCGCGGTCCGCCTCCGCGTAGGGAACCCGCATCGCCTCCAGCTGCGCCCACGGATCCTCCGCCGCTGCGGAAGGGGGGTTGGAGGGCGCCCCGCCAGGACCTTTGTTGCGCCGCGGGACAGCGGGAAGCGTCGCTGTCGGCACGTTGTAGCTCGCCAGCGTCGCGAGCTCGTCGTCGGGCAGCGCGGGCAGCTGCGTCATCCACGGCTGCTGGCCGCCGTTGCCGTTCTGGTTATTGTTGTAGGTTGCGTTGTCCGACAAGAGGGGGGTCTGGTGCGTCGTGTCGATGCCACGCCCGGGGGAGCCGGCGGCGCTGGACGGTGACTTGTCGGCGGAGTCGTAGTTAGCGCTATCGAAGGTGGCGGCGGAGAGGGCAGGACCGGGGCCGGCACCGAGGCCCGCTCCCCCACCGGCCCCACCGCGGCCGACCTCGTCGCTGCGACACCACTTCTGCAGCAACACATCAACGTGTGCGTCGCGAATCCCGCTGAAGCGGATTTCAAGCTGCAGGGTTGCGGCGTCCACCACGCCCACCACCTTGCGCCACCCGCACTGGCACGGCAGTTTCAACTCCACCCGCGACGGCTCGAGGCCGCTGCCACGCTGCGGTAGCACCACCAGCGTCACGTCCACATCCGGCGCCGCCAAGGTGTAGTCGTCGCGGTTCTTCAGGGCCAGCACATAGGTGCCCGCGGCGACGGTGAACTCCTTCGCCAAGACCTTCTCCTTGCGTGAGAGGGGGTAGGTGGCGCCGTCCTGCAGGTACACGGTATCCTCCGGGGCGTAGCCCTCCTTCGTCACCTGATCCACCAGCTCAATCGGCAGCAGGATGTGATCCGTCTTCTTCACAATGTTGTCGCAGCGTGTCATGTAGGCGGCCATCTTGCCCGCGCAGAACTCGGCCAGGTTCTTCGAGTACTGCGCGTTGCGGGGGTTGCGGTCAGTCAGGGCGGTGTGGCGGACGTAGTTGAGAATTTGAATTCCCCGCACGTACTGCTGGTAGACAACGTCGTAGCTCTGCAGGAGGCGGCCGAGCTCGTTGCGGTAGCGGCTGCTGCTGCTTATGCGCGTCTTAGTGCGGTCCACGTCGTACTCGCGCTGCTCGCACTGGCGCAGCAGGTCCAAACCTTCCGCCAGAAGAAGCTTCTGCGTCATCGTGGGTAGAGGCGGTTAAGGGCTTGATGAAGTGCGCACAATCCCTTTGATGATGTTGTTAGCGGTGTAGAGGAGGTCGCTTTGTTTGCGCAGAGTGGCAATAATAGAAATAATAGAAATAATAGAAAAAGATAACAAATATAGCTTGAAGCAACACACCACGAAGCGTACGAGAGTGAACTTTAGCTGGAATGTGCGAGAGGTGAGAGGCTCCTTCACTGCGACAATGCAGGAAAGGAAAGGAAGAGGAAGGGAAGGGAGAGTAAGGCCAATGCTACCCCAAAACACCCCCGGATGCGGGTTCGCAGCAACGATGAAGAACGGAAAGCGAAGAGAGAGAAGGAGCGCCACAGGCAGAAAAGGAATTGAACTCGGCGGTGATCATCACAGGCGAGAAAAAAAGAAGAAGAGTTAAAAGCAGCGCTGATCCTTCGGTGCACAAAGCTGACGGTAGCGAGCTTACAAGGCCATTACGACCCACGAGAGCGCGCAGCCACCACGTCACCGCATCCTACGGGTTCCGCGCTGTTGCAAAAAAAAAAACCCGCGGTCGCCGTTGTTGATGTTATCGGGTTGCTTTAATCTTCGCATCTCCCTTTTTTGTTGTTGTTTAGGAAGGTTCTCGCCACGAGCAAGAAGCAGAGGAAAGAAGGGGCGGCACACACACACGCGCGCGTTTCCTCTTCACGAAGGCGCAACGCCGCAGACAAACACAAAGAACAAAGAGAGAAGAGCGCGCCATACAGCCTCGGTCCGTCCCTCTTCTCGCTGGCGGCGTACGCTGCCCACTGCCCTCACAACAGTTTCAGCTGACCCGTCACCTCGTCAATCAAGCTCTTCGGCCCGGGTCCCACCGCCACGACCGTCTTGCTGCCCGGGGCTATCTGGGTACGCCCTGCGTCCCGAATAACACAAAACGGCAGCTGCACCTCCTTCGCGTGCTTCGCAATCGCCATTAACGTCTCCTCATCAGGGCACTGCAGCGCCACCTTCGAGCACCCGCTGACGTGCCACGCAGCGTACCAGCGCAGCCACAGCTGCGAAGTGCTGTCCAACGTCATCGTCGCGTCTGAGGAAGCGGCGACCTGCCTCGATTTGATTTCTAGTATCTCTTCCACAACGGCCACCGCGGCGTGGGCGCACTGCGCCGCAATCTTGCCGTTCCCCATCTTCAAGTCCTTTCGCACGACCAAGGTCATCTTTACCGGCTCTCCCACCGCTGCAAGACTGCTGAGCTGCCTGCACCTCTCCACCGGCCATCGAAGCCACGACGTCATGCAGCCTTTCATGAGAAAGGAGAGCACAAGGGTGAGTAGAAAGGCCGCACCGAAGCCGGTCCAGAAGGGTCTCACGACGGTCAGGTGCACCTCGTCGGTGCCACCGGAGACAAGGACGCTCAGGGTGTCGATGAGGAACGATGACGTGCTGAGCGCAACGCCGGCTGTCGCAGAGCGCATGTACACTACCTTAGAAATACGTGTATGTAGAGGGAATGGGGGCGTGCTCCTCGTTCGGGTGTACGCTGCTCTTCTCGCGAGTTTCCACGGAGCCCAAAAACCGAAGTTCCTTTGATAGCACACACGACACGAGGAGAAAGAGAAGAGAGGGGGGAGGAAGAGGAATTGCAGTGTTCATCGTCCATTACTGTAAACGTACTACTATTAGTTGAGAACAACAACAAAGACGATGCGCTGACCTCGCCACCGATCCGCTTCGCACAGACGCACGCACACACTGCACTCGTGCGCAAGGTGCGAAGGCGATACTACCAGCAAGGAAAGAAGAAGAAGAACAGCAATGAGGTGCCGCACCTTTTCGCCTCCTTCCCTCGCGCGACGTTGCAACGTCGCGCACTTCGTTTCTCAAGAAAGAATCGCATTCCAAAGACACGCTGCTGCGCTGCATTTAGACTGCGATGATGCGCCTCAACGCTCACTTCTTCCTTTGATTTTTTTTTAAGCGTGCCGTTCCCTCTTCTCCTATTGTCCTTCTTCCTTTCTTCCTTCTTGGGTTACGGTAACGCAGATAGCTCTATCGAAACACCACGACAATCGCCGTCGTGTTATCGTTGCCGGACAACGTGTTCACCACGTACTCCGTCAGCCGCCGCGCCGCCGTCTGCACCGCTGAGGAGCGCGAGGCACTGCCGCAATCCACGGCGTCCGGCGTCGTCTCCGGGAAGCAGCTGCCGCCGTCATCGCCGCAGGGGGTGCGGAACGCCTGTGCGGGATACGCGGTGATCGGCCGGCGCAGCGGAGTACTATGGAGCAAGTCATCCAACGGAGCAGGAGTGGGTGTACCGCACAACTGCGACGCTCCATCAGCCGTCGCTGCCCGCTCCCGTGTAGCTTTCGTGGAAAGGGTGAACGATGAAGACAGAGAACTTGTAGGCGGCTGCGCGAGATCGCTCGCCTTGGTATCGACCCCAGTCGTCCGCGCCAGTTCCGCAAAAGAAACGCCATCTCCTGACGTCACGACTGGTGATGATGCCGTTGCTGCCTTCGGCCGTTCGTGCGGCGCTTCCGATTCCGACTCGAGCTCCTTCAGTTCATTGCAGACGAAGTTTAAAACTTCCTCGGAGGTCATACTGTCCCAGACGCCGTCCGACGCGATAATCAGCACATCATCGCGGTGCACCTCCCACTCGTAGACGTCTGCGATGTTGCTCACTGCGTTGCCCGTCAGCACGGCAGCGGGCCGCGAAGGCGACGTGGGCGGGGGTGGCGATGGTCGGTCGTGGAGTGTTTGGTGAGACGGGAAGGAGATGAGGGCAGAAGTGGCGGGAGCGGCTGCTGCGGCGTTGATGACGAAAAGCTCGCGATCGGTGCTGCGCTCGCGGGGCAGGTGGGCGGCCGCCTTTTCCGCGGAGGCGGCAGCGATGGAAGAGGGAGGCCCGTTGAGAATGGACCTCCCCCACTGATCGGAAGCCTGTCCCTCTTCCACGTTCGTGCCACGGGGTGCACCGACGCCTTCACCCTCCCGCTCGCCCTCCGCATTCAGTGTGGGGCGGATATCTCCGCTGTTGTCATCACCGTCGACGGCCGCGGTCGCTGGTGCTCCTCTCGTGTCTTCGCGCGCGTCATTCGGCTCGTCGTCGTCTTTGCGGCTATCGGGCACCGGCGTGGTGGACGCCGACTGCCACTGCAGCGCACGCGCGGCCGTCGTCACTTCAGCGCCCGGCGTGTCACCCCCTGTTGAGGTAGACAGCGGCGATGGAGACGGCGTAGACGCCGCCGTCATCGTGTTCGAGGAGCTGCTGGGTGCGGTGCTGCTTTGCGTGGTCGAGATGGAAGCCTTGGTGCCCAACGCAGGCGTCTGCCGCCCCACCGCCCGTGGCTTCTTCGCAGACGGCGGCGCGGACGCTGCTGCGGCCCACCACTGCGTCGGGTCCACCTTGTACCGGTAGTCGCCCAAGCCTCGTGTGACGTCCAGGCTGCCATCCACGCGACCCAGATCCACCACGCCGCCCACCGCCTCGATTCGCACCTCCTCTGCGGGACAGGAGGAGATGCGGTGGTCGGTGGTGGACAGCAGCAGCTGGTGGGTGTGCTTGTTGCCGATGATGGCTCGACTGTCGCCGAGATTCGCAATGCATAGCCGATACGTATCCATAGCCGCTGCATCGACCTCTTCCTCTCTTCTAACCGTAGGACTACTACGGCCACTGTTGTTGCGGCTGCTCCTGTTATCCTTCGCCGTTTCGCCGCGCTCTCGCTGTAACTGTGTGGTGGTCCGTGGTGCCCCGGCGCACGAGTCACGCGGACACCCATCACGAGAGACGGAGGCGAAGGGAGGTACCTTGTAGAAGGCCACCACACTCGCCGTCGATCCAGCGTCGCGGCGCTGCGTCGAGGCGCGCCCACTCGTCTTTCGATGGACAGCGTCGTACAGGGTGAGGTCGAGATGCACGAGAGACTGCACCAACGCTGCGCTGATTACACGCTGAAACCCTGCCGATGCCGCGGCGGCAGACGCCTCGCTCACGTCGGTGGCTGCGTGACCCATGGCCCCTGCGCCTTCGGTATTCGCGGAGGGCGACAACGAGGGGAGAGTAGCCGCTGCGGTCTTCAACGCCTCCGGCGGAAGCCGCAAGGCGGCGACTCGTCTCTTTTCCTCTGACCACTGTGCCCAGTACTCCTTCACGGCAAACTCAAAGTGTTCTGGGAAGTACTGCGAGGCGAGGGAGGAGATGGTGTCCCCGCAGTGCCCGTCAAAGACGCCGAAGCACGTGAAGGCGATCGGCTCTGTGTGGAGATCCAGCGGCACACAGCAGCGTGTGTGGGCCGCTTCAGGTTTGGAAAGGTCTACCAACGACGGTCCACTCTCTGTGCCTCTTCCTTCTCGTCTACTAGCCTGCTCGACAACACCGCCGTCGCACCCTTCGCACGTCGCCCCTCCGCGGACGAGCAGGTCGGGTGCCAGCGTCACGCTGTCCTCCTGCCGGCTGCGCGATCCCCGCAGCGAGCTAAACGCGTAGTGGAACGAACTCGCTGGCAGCCGCATCTCCCGCACGCCGCCCACGCCTGCCGACGGCGCCGCTGCGTCGTCCAGCGGGCGAGCAGACAACGCCGCGCCGCGCCACGTTTGTCGCGGTGACGGCGGCGGCTCGTCCCCCTCAATCGGAGGCGGGAAGGACGCAGCAACCGCAACGCCCTCGCCATCTCCACCAAACACCGGCGACGGCCGACGCGACCGCCCAACCGCGGAGGAGGAGGCCATCAACGAAAACGTGGACGACGTTAAGCTGGCCGCCAGCGAGGAGGAGCGGGGAAGCGTCACCAACGGCGGTGGCGGTACGAGCTGCAGCAGCGAGGAGAACCGCGAAGGAGAGCCCAAGACGTCGTCGTGGATGTTATTATGAAAATCCTTATCCTCTCTGGCATTGTCTCCATCTGCGATATGGGCCGCGCTGCTGCAGCGGTCACCATCTATGGTCTGTCGATGCCTGCCGTGTGTGAGCGGCACGGCTGTGTCCTGCATTTCCTCTATGTTCGGATCATTGCCGACGGCAGCAGCAGCGCGCTTCTCTTGTGCATCCGTAAATGTTTGGTGTACGCCAAAGCTGCGCTGCTCGTGTGAAGGCGCACGGCCATCGATGCCGCCTGCACGTTCCACCGGGCTATTAAAACCGCGAATGCTGTCTGTGGGCCCTCCCGCAGATCGCGGACCTTTAAACGCGTACGTCGGAGACGAGCCCCCTGAAAGATCTGGCGGAAGCTGTGGGGCGGACCCCGAAGTCGAAGAAGACTGCAGACCGCACAGCTCCGACTCCACACCGTCGCACACGCCACCCACCACGTCTGCGCTGGCAGCAGCTGCAGCAGCAGCAGTGCCGTTGGGGTTCGCCGTCGTAGGCGATGGAAGGGATACAAGAGAGCACAAGGGAGCGGCGTGCCCGTCAGCTTCCGCTGCCGCCGCCGGCACCTCCACAAAACTGTAGGAAGAGGTCGGCGGAAAGGGCGAGGGCGACAGCGACGGTCGCACGCTTCGATGGGGCGGAAGGACGCAACGAGACTTTCGTGGAATGAGGTCAGCTGACGCTACTGCTGGTGCTGCCACTGTTGTTGTATCGGTCCTGTGAACAGGATTGCAGAACGTGTTCGCAGGGTCGTGCAGCGGGCTGGTGGTGCCCTGGGAGGCAACGTCTCGTCGGTCCGTCGGATCAGCAAACGCCATACTTCCAGCGTACGAGTCTGCGTGGCGCTGGTGATGGTGGTACACCGCAGGCGTCAGCTCACACGGCGAGACGCACGGCGAGGTCCGCGCTGGCAGCAGCGGCGTAGGCGGCGGCGTCGAGCAGGTCGAGATGCGGCCCGGCGTTGGTGTCCTGGGTTGTGCGGGCTGTGAGGAGAAGACCAACGGCGCACACGCGACAGAAGAATACAGCGTCAGACGAGGGTGTGTAGGCTGGGAGGAAGGGTGGAAGGTCGGAGTGCCTGGCGTCACTGCTCCTATCGCTGCCGCTGCATCAAGAGAGACACAGCTCCGACCACCACCCAGACGAGCGCACTCGCTGGACGAGTTTCGCAGCTCAGGACAGTGGAAGCTTCCGCGTTCTGCTCTCGCTGAAGCGGTGAAAACTGGTGAGGCGGACGCCGGCCGACCACTGCGAAGGCTCGCATCGCCGCTGCCTCTAAGTGACATCAAATTGCTGCTCTCACGGCTCCGCTGCTGCTGTTGCTGCGGCGGCGGCGGTTGCCCCAGCGTCGGTGTGCGCGCTCCGGAGTCGTGCCGCTGCGAGGTCAAAGGAAAGTCCCACGCGGACTCGTTCGCAGGCGTCGCTGGCAGCGGCGGAGAGCAGCGTCGCGCCCCGCGGGTAGGGGTATCCCCGTCCGCACATGAGCCCCACCCAGAGTTCACGCCCTCACCGGCAGCGGTGTCATTCGCCTCCGTCATGAGGTTGGCTTTCGCTGACGTGGGTGACCAGGGCGAGGCACAGCAACTCCGCAGCGTTGTCGCCGTCCGCGACGACAGCTCCGACGGCGAAGTGCTGATGTGCAAAGGGGCGTACCCCCTGCTCCGATCGACCAACGGAGACACAGGCGGAAAGGGAGCTGCCTGCGACGCCGAACGCGAACTGTCGCGCGGTGGAGTGCAGGTGCCGTAGGCGGTGAGGCGGCTGTGCGCCGGCACCGGAGCCGTGTAGAGTGCGGGCTGCGCCGCTGAGGTGGAAGCGTTGATCGCCGTTGTGGTGGTGATGGAGGATGCGGCTGTTGTGGGTTCTGGAGGCGCGAGAAGCGCCGTCACCGGCAATGACGCTGCGGCGGCGGGTCGTGCGTAGAGGCACGAGCTCGCTCCGCCTTCCGCTAGAAGCTCGCCGTGGTGCAGCGGCGCACAGGTTCCCCTGCGTCGGGAATGATCGAAGACGCCTGGGCCTTCTCCTTCTTCGACTTCCTCCTCCACTTCTTGTTCCGCTTCTTCCTCTTGCTGTTTCGGCACGCCATCGGTGCTTGCCATCAGCGGACAGGTGCTGCTGCGATCCCTTTGTTTCCACTCCACGGCTGCTACCCGTGGGTCACTTCGGCCAAGAACCGAATCGCCCTCCACCGCCTCGTGAGACGCCGAGTCGAGCGCCGACGCAAACGTTGACGGCAGGGGGCAGGTTGTGAGACTCGCCATCGCCAGACTGCCAAACAACTCACGCAGTCCCCGAAGAGAGGAGTTGAAGGGCTCGGCACTGCTGGCGCTGTGGTAGGTGTTGTTGCATTGGTGGTGGTGGTGGGGGTGGTGGGGGTGATGGTTACTGTAGTTGCTGCCGCTGCCCGGACATAAACCCCCACCGGGGGAGGGCATCTGCGAGGCGGGAGAGGGGGAGCCTTTCCGCGCCCATGCGTGCCCACGCTGCCGCTGCTTCATCATTTTGGCCGGAATGGACACCGGCGACGTCACTCGTGAAGTCGCCGCGCACGGGAAGACCGCAAACGGCGGCGCGACGCTGCTTGGGCAGGGCGAGAGGGGCGTTCGGAAGCTGCTCATATCCAACCCCTCCGCAGGAGAGATGGAGGCGGAGGCATCGAATTCGCTTCCGACGTTGCCGTCCACATTCGTGGTGGCGATGCAGAACATGTCGGACTCCGGCAACTCCGCCGCGCAGGTGTGCGCGTCGCTGAAGAGGTTGCGTGGCACCGACGGGCTTATCGCTCGCCGACGCCCGCCGTGGCAGCCGCCGGAGGAATCCGCCGGGGAGAGGTTCAGCGCCATCGCGGGGAGAGAAAGCCGCACAACCTCGCCGGAGCTGGAGAGCGCGTTGCAGTCGTGTTGTCGTGGTGGCGGTGGTGGTGTTTGGGCCGCCCCATCCTTCTCCTTCAGCGCATCTAACAAAATCGGTGCGTCTAGCTCGGTGGCGCTGTCCTCCTTGTTCTGTGGATGAAAGACGAAGACACTCGCTGAAGGGGCTGCGCGGCGCGTCGGCGACGGCGGCCGCGACAACCCACGCACCGCAGATCGCGTGCGGTCACCGCCCTCCTCGCCTCCCGCGCTCCTCAAAACTTCGGCCGTGTCCTGCGCCACGGATACGGTGCTCACCGAGCTCTCCCTGTACGGCGTGTTGTTGTAGTTGGACGCTGCTCGAAGCCACGAGTTCGGTTCCGCCACCTCTGTTCTGCCGGCTTCGCTCGCCTCGTCAGCCGACACTCCGGCGACGTCGGCCGAGGAAGCACACGCCAACAGCTCCAGTAAGTTCGATTCGGTGCCCATCGCGGCCGGCACCGCCGTCCCGGAAGAAGTGCGAATCGGTGAACGACCAGACACGCTGCCGCCGTCGCGTGCGCCGTGGCTGCTGTGCAAGCAAGCCGCGTCACCGCCGATGCCCTCACCCACACGCATCGACTTTTCGGCCCATCCATCGCCGTCCGCGTCGGCGTCGTGGAGGAAAAGTACGCGCGACGCCGCCGCGGCCGTGGTGGGAATGCGGCTGCGTGCGGTGCCGAACGAGCGCGTATGAACGCCGGCTCCTGCCGCTGCCGCTGCTGAGAGAAATTCTGTCGCTATACTCCCAGATGCCGCTGATGATGCGTGCGTACACCGGGACACAACGCTGGTGGCGGCGGGGGAGCCGTGAACCACCGCCAGCCAAGGACCACCTCGGCGCACCGCCGGTGGCGCGGTGGTGCCGGACGCGCCACGACAGCGACTGGCGTCATCTGTGGAAGCCGTAAAGGTGGACGGGACCGTGGCGGAGGAGGCAGAGCGGAGGGGGGACGGCGTGGCCTCACTTGTGTGATGCGGCGTGGGGGCGTTGGACGACGGCGCCGTTAGCGGTTTGGGAAGCGGTTCATTCCTGTCTTCTAACACTTGGGTGGCCTCCGCTGTGCGACGGAGCTCGGCAGGACCGCTGCGACGGCGACGCTTACCACGTCCCTCACCCGAAGTGTGTGACGTCGCGTCGGACGAGGAGATGGCCGTATCCACTATAATCGACTGCTCCTTGTCTCTATAAAATGCAGCGTCTTTCATGCTATTGACGTTGTAAGAGGGAAACGATGCGACTGCCGCTGCTGCTGCTGATGCTGGTGCTGATGCTGATGTGGCGTGTTCTGAAGACGCACTCGCCACAAGCGCGCAGCGAGCCTCCGGGCGAAGAAGATTACTGGTGTTGCGGAAGAGCCGCAGCGGCGGAGGCGCCGTGGTGGCGTCGGCTGCGGTGGCACGCCGTCGTTCGCAGGAGCCGCTGACACTCGAAACAAAAAATGAAACTGTTGGATGCATGCCTGTAAAGCTCCGCACACAGAGAGAGAGAAAGCAAACCCTGCAACGTCAGCCGTGAAGTGTATAAAACCAGGAAATCGGAAAAGGAAGTGAGAACAATAATAAAAATAAATAATAAAATCGCAGACGGACAAGACACCAAGAGCTACAAACAGAGACGCGCAAAAATCTGTCGATGGATTGGGTCAGGAGTCGCGGGGGAGGAGAGGGGGGCGGGAGAGTGTGGGCGCGAGCTTCCCTCCTACGGTCTCTTCGGCACGCAAGGCGGAAACCACAGCACTAACAGAAAAATATGTAAAGCAAGATAAACAACGAGGTGTTGGAAAAGGTCCAAAAACAAACAAAAAAAGACGAGACAGTAAGAAATATGCGCGTAAAACGGAGAAGAGAACGCAAAAACAATAAGGGAACCGTAGGAGAATAAAAGGAGTGTATATATTGGATGCCGGAGTGTCGAAGCAAACCGCCGCTGCGCATAACAACGATGTAAGTCGCGCCTCGCTCACAGTTTTTTTTTTATCCGGCCCCCATGTAAAACCGAGTTGACGGGTTTGGATAGGCTGGCTTTTTTGTTGTTGTTGTTATGGTGGTGGTGGTGGTGGTTTGATTCAAGTGGAAAAGCGAATTTCTCGTTTCTTTGGGTAGACGTTTACGACGCTATTATTTTCTCCTTTCTATGATTGGGTGGCGCGTTGATTGCTCAGGGGAAGACGGCGACCAGCAGGCGCATTCTACCAGCGCCGATAATTTCTGCTTTGCGTTAACGTTTGTTCTTCTCTGTGCCGAAAGCCAAACTCACCGCACGCGGTCCACGGTGAAACCCGGAAAGGGGAGGGGGGTGGAGAGAGGAAAGAAGAACGCAGAAGGCTGCCTTCACAGAGAGAGAGAGAGAGAGAAGAAGAAGAGGAGAAGCGGAGAAGCGGGGGAAGATGCACGAGAGAGCCCACCCGAAGGGTACGGAGAAGTGTCGAAAGGGACCACGTGGCGACGGACTCACCCGATGCTCGCTGTCGACTTTGCGTCGCATATTGGGAGTGGGACCTGCGTGAAGACTAATCGGTCAAATAATAATAATAATAGTAAAATAAAGGAGTCTCTCTTCCAGAATAGAGAAGAGAGGCGGTAATCCCTGTCTATGTGCTGTTGCTTTCGTTGTTGGCGGTATTGCTGCGGTGAGTAACGCCCTATGTAGGAGCAACAGCGAGCAGCGTACACCGTCAACAGCGCACTCGCTCCTCTGTGGTTGTGTGCTCGCTTTCCTCTTCCAAGGTGCATCACAGCGCCAGATCCGCGGTGGCTACGAGGAACGGAATGAGGAGCACGTCGCACAACTGCCGAATCGCCGCTTCGCTCCCGGTGGTGAGCCGCACACGACCGGAGCGATAAATCAAGCACGAGACCGGCTCCGTTGTGGCGGGTGCTGCGGCCCGGACCGCCTGCGTGTGTCGCTGCCGCTTCCATGACTCCTTTACCGTGACTTTCGCTGACGGATGCAGCTCCTGTAGATCGTGAAAGTCGGAAGCGGGCGACAGTGCCTTTTCCGCCCTCCCCCGTTTCCCCGCTGAAACATCGAACGAAGAAGAAGAACCTTCTGAGACAGGCGGCAGCGACGTCTCCGCCTCCCTGCCGGTGCTCGCACGGGTGCTCTCCAAGCCGTACGGTGCGGCGGACTCGGCAATGAACGTTGACTCCAGAAAAAAGTTCGCCGCGCTCGCCTCCGTCACCCATGCCTCAGGAGAGTGTTGGGTGCCGGCAGCAGCCGCAGTAGAACTGGCGGGCGGCGCTTCTCCACCGACGTGCGCACCGCTTGGCTGTGCGTCTTCGTCCGTCTTCGCCGCTGCGGAATAGTTTGCGGCGCTGGCACTTCCCAAAGGCAGACGCAGTGAGGTCTGGAGAGGGACGCGAGGCGTCGTGAGAACCGACCGCTGCAGGTTCCGTCCAGAGGCAGGCGGAGCTGCTGCGTTCCACTCGAGCAACAGCTGAATGCTGCTCAGCGATGCATTACGACGCACCTTGAAGGAGACGACGTGATGCGGCACGAAGGAGCGCTTGTGCTGCAGATACCGTACGAAGAAAGCCGCGCTGTGTGAGGTCGGTGACACCTCCTTGTGGCCGGCGCAGGTCCAGAATCCGCCGGTGCCATCCGCGTGCTCCATCGTAGCCGTTGCTGAGTTCTCATCGTCCTGATCTTTTGCAGACGACCTGTCCGCGGCCGTCAATTGTGCCCCTGCACCTGACGAAGAGTCCAGCAAGGGCCCGTCACGGTCACGTTGGGTGCTCGCCGCCAAGTACCAGCGCCACCACGCCATCGGCGCATCACCGCGCACGTTCACGCTGGCACGCGCAACCCTCACCGGAGTCGCAGACTTCAACGAGAAGAAAAGGGCTGAGTCAGCAGTGATTTCGCCCTGTGAGGGAGCGCCTGGCGCAGACCGACAGTCGTGTGTATCGGAGAGCGGATACGCCTGACCGACGGCGACACTGGCCGACACCACGGCTGGGGACGCCTCGGCGTTGCCTCGTCTGTTCGTCTCCGCAAAGAAAGCCTCGCGCAGCCCTGCCACTTCGTCCCACCGTGGAGTCGCCATAGATTGGATAAAATCAATCTTCAACGCCGTGTCCGGCAATTCCTCTGCGTGTTCCACCGTACGTCCCTGCTGCGCTCTCGCTCTTTTCCCTTTCACATCCCGGTGCGTCGGTGTGGCGTCGGCGTGTGTTCGCCCCGTCCTGCCAGGAGGACGCGTGAGCAGGAAGGATCGTGGAGACCGCTCATCGTTGCTGGCGAGGGCCGCGGCGAGGGACACACCGGCATCCGTTGGTGCAGTCTCTTTTGCGCCCTCCTCGCACTTTGCACGGCCTACCTCGTCGCTGCCCGCATCCAGCACCGCACGGAGCAGCCGCCGCTCTTCCCTCGCTGCGCGGCGAGCGACGGAGGGCAGGTACGCCTCCCCCAGCATCGCCTGCACGCGGCGCGCGATTCGCAGCGTGGCGGTCACCGCCCCGTAAGTCACCAGGCGCACCACACCGGAGGGCAGCACATACACCGAGGCCCCTCGATAGGCGGTGTGATCCAATACAAACGGAGGGGGGCGGAAGACGCACACCGTTGGGGCGGCCGTGGCGGCAGCGCGCTGCAGTTCCGTGTTCCACAAGCGCGAGGCCAGCTTCGTCAAGTCCACGGATTCTGTGCCACGCGAGACTCCTTTTCGAGAAGGGGAACTTCTGGCAGATTCCGTGACGGATGGGGAGGAAGTCGCGGCGGCCGCCAGCACGTAGGCGTGCGCGCCGTCCACGCCCTCCGCCGTAGCGCGATGCGAGGAGACGAGCGGCGCAACACGCCGTGGCGCTCGTCCTCCCACGCTCTCCGCTGCATGGCTGGTTGACTCAAGCACTTCGTCATCGTCGTCAAGGGTGGGGAAGGGAAACGGGAAGCGAGAGACGATGGTGTGCAGCTTCACGTCCATCGTTGCCGCCTCGGAATGTACCGCTTCGTGATACGCCGATCCCCGGCGATGACAGAACTGTAGTACTATTTTTGCTTTTAAAAAAAGAAAAGAAAAAATAAGGAGAGGAGGCGAGGAGTTCGCGCAGGTTTGAATACGGAATATAAGTCATGGAAGGAAGGACTATCCATGCTGCGAGCCGGTCCAATCCCACGCTTTGTTTCCCAACTGGGTTCATGCAGGTTCTTAAAAGTGTATGCTGTTGCTCGTAGCCGAACAGCACTACGGCGAGAGAAATTGCGTACACAAGACGACAGATCAACGGCGACGTATAGATGAAGTTATCACTTCTCCTTGCAAAGGCATACCACGTTGTTCGTTTACGCATAGCTTTTCATATATATTTTTTCTTGTCGTTTCGAAGTCGGCCATGTTCGTGACCCACCATGCGTCTACACAGCGCTTTCCTTCTTGCAAAAGCTGACTACACATTTCCTGTTGTATATTCTAAGGGTACAACAAAGGGCCGTAATCGCTATCATTCAATTTGAGTAGAAAGGAAAAATACAAGAGAGGAGAAAATATATATATATATATATTAAAACAGCAAAGAAGGCTTGTATGAAATGGACAAGAAACGATCCCCCGGATGGAGCTGAGGAAGAGAAAGCAGAAGAAAAAATGTGCAGGCAGGTTGTATGATGAGTCAAGGTATCCGCCACACACGATGCCATGGCCCTCTTGACTTTCTTTAACACTATGGAAGAAGTGTGTGTGTACTTATGTTTGTATGCATAAAAGATAGGAAAAGAAAATAAAACATGTTAAGCGTTGTCAGTACCGCAAGCGGAAGTTGAAGTTGCCTTGTAGATTGTAAGCAGTTGTGCTGCGCCGCACCACTACACTTCCTTTTTCTTCAATTTCCGCCGTATGGGCAAAATTTTGTTTATCTCTTGCTCCTTCTCACTCCTTCAGTGGCGCGCACCCGTCACGAAGCGGCTGATGATCTCAAGCTGAATCTGTGTGGTGCCCTCGTAAATCGAGAAGAGCTTCGCGTCGCGGTACAGCTTTTCCAGCGGGTATCCGGTATTGTAGCCGTTACCGCCAAAGATCTGCACCGCGTTGTTCGCGCACCGCTCCGCCAAGTTCGCCGCCATCATCTTCGCACACGACGAATAGTAGGTGTTGCGGCGGCCCTGGTCCGCCTCCCACGCCGAGCGGTAGCACAGCAGCCGGCACGCCTCCACGCCGGCGGCCATCTCGGCCAGCATAAAGGCGATGGCCTGATGCTGGGCGATGGGCTTCCCCATCGTGACGCGCTCACGCGCGTACTTGGTCGCCTCATCCGTTGCCCGCCGCGCCAGACCCACCGCGCCAATCGCCACCGGTGGCCGTGTGCTGTCCACCGTCTTCATGACCACATAAAACGCCTTGCCGACCTCACCAACAACGTTCTCCTCCGGCACGACGACGTTGTCGAAGGTAATCCCGCGCGTGTCGCTGCACCGCTGGCCCAGCATGATCTCCTTCGGTCCGCGCGTCAGGCCCGGCGCGTCGCCGTCCACGATAAACCCCGTAAAGCCGCCCTCGGTGCGGGCGATTACGTAAAACCAGTTCGCCACCCCACCGTTGGTGATCCACATCTTCGACCCGTTGATCACCCACTTATCCTTCTCCTTCTTGGCGACTGTCTTCATCGCGGCCACGTCAGACCCACACGTCGGCTCCGTCATGGCGTACGAGGCGAGCAGCGGCTCCTCCACCATGCGGGTGAGGTACTTCTTCTTGAGGGCGTCGGACCCCGCAATGAGCAGCGGTGTCTCGGCGAGATCGTTGCCGGTAAAGGCGGTAAACATACCGGCACAGGCGTAGCCCATCTCCTCTTGCACAATCACGCTGTCCAGCACCCCGGCACCCAGCCCGCCGTACTTCGCTGGGATGTGCATGTTCGTGAGCCCGAGCTCCCATGCCTGTTTGTAGATATCGTGGGGGAACTTCATCGATTTATCGTACTCCGCCGCGGCGGGCAGCATCTTTTCCTTGGCAAATTTTCGAGCCGTCTCCTGGTACTGCAGCTGCTGATCTGTAAAGCCGAAGGAGAGTCCCTCTGGTGCCTGGGCAGTGGGGGCGGTGGCGCCGAAGTAATCGCCAAGAGCGGGTTTGCCACCGAGCAGCGGCAGGGTACACCGCATCATCGGCGTCGCGGAGGAGCGCATTGTTGGATAGACGGTGAGACAGAGCAAGAAAGCTGCTCGAAGTCCTGTTTCTAATAAAAAAAAGCGGTGTGTGTGTGTGTGTGTGCTGTATTTCTGATAAGAATGGTGAACAGGCGTGCGGCGATGGGGGTACTGTGGAGCGAATGGCGATGTGAGGCGCAGGTGGAAGGAAGGAGCCGCGCAGCGAACGGCGCAGAGTGCAGACACACGAGAGAATTTAAAAAACAAACAGCGATTAGAAGAGAAAGGGGAAGAATAAGGAGGAAGAAGAGGAGTACACATCACGTACGACATGGACGAGAACGCGCCAATCAAGTGGAGGTCTGCTGGTAAAACTTTTCTGTGTGGAAGCTGCAGCATCGCTTGACGGCTCTGAGACGTGCAGATTTATCCGGAGAGAGAAACTCCCACATGCCTTTCACAGTGGGCCTCACAATCGAAGCATATCGTCCGGTAGAGTTTAATCCGCCGTCTTCATTCGACACAGTTGGACCCCCTTCATCCGGGGAGCGCAACGATGCTGTTGTTGGGTGAGTGCTGCGTTCACCACGTCCACCACACACACACACACACACAGGAAAGAAGGGTGTTTGTAGTGGAGCTGAACACGCGTGACTTTATTAGTTCTTTTACGATCATCACGCATAAGTTCGGAATCGCGTTCGTTTTACCGTCAGTTGGAGAGAAAGAAAGAAACGCCTCACTGCCTCAACGCGAGTGCGCAGCAACCACTAAGTTCACTAATATATATATATATATAAATAATCAAATCTGTACGGTTAAAGCGAAAAAAAAACGGCGAAAGAAGAAGAAATGAAGGGCGAAGAGAATTCTTCTTCTATTTCTTTTCTTAAGAAGACCAACGGAAGAGAAGCGCAAAAGAGGGTCCCTGCGAAAACTAAAGGAAGGGGAAAAAGAATGCACATGCGCAACGAACACGTCGTTGTACGACGCCCCCACACACCACCACCACCACCACCACGTGACGAGGAGGCGGCTGAGCTTCCGGCCCGTTCGCTGGTTTTCTCTATTCGCTAACGTAGCAGGAAAAAAAAAAGGAAAACAGGAAAAGGGCAGCGCGATGGCGAGCGGACCACATAAGCGAAGAAGAAAGATAGGTAGTAATACTTGAATAATAAAATGTGAGATTAAAATATGGGAGGAGGGAGGGGGAGAACGTGAAAATCACGAACGAAAAGCAAGGAGGAGCACAGCGAAACCTGCAGGGCCTCGAGGTACCCCTTCGCAACGAGAGTGGGTTTAATAAGGGAAGGAAATGTAGAAAGAAATAGAAATAGTAATCGTGATAGTAACAGTAGCAGTAAAAGAAGCGTTGCTCCTGTGCGTCCAAAAGTGAAGCGTGCCTCACTTTTCTGATCGATGCGCGACTTCCTCACCGCAGAAGACAGACCGAGATGCACAACACGCAGAAAGGGCGAGAAACGAAAAATGAATCGAACAGGCGGACTACAGCACGGAGCCACCGGGGGGGGGGGAACAGGTTTACCGTGAACCCGTCATGGTTCACTGAAAGGGAGGGTGGGAGAAGGAAGGGGAGTACGCATCCCGGATGCCCCTGTGTGTCAGCTCCGAGCTCGTGGTTCGCGAATGCATCTGGCTGCAATGCGGAGTAAACGAAGCAACCACGTATTCTTGTGCTGTGGTAGTTGCTGTTTGACAGAATAAGCTACAGAAAAGTAACAAGTAGCGCGAAAGGAAAACAAAAGGAAAAGAAACGCCGGAGGCAGGGCTACGCCGCGGAGGCAGGTGAACACACTGTTCTTCTAATCCAGATACGTTAGCTGCGCGTTGCCACGTCCATATGCACGTACTATCCCTATTATTTCACGAACACACCACCAAACGGCTACGCAAGAAATAAATTCAACTTAAAGAAAGAAAGAAAGCAAAATAAAATGGAATGAACGTACAGCTTCGATTGCCGCGTCTTGCCCTCCACCGCAGCGCCCGGCGACGTGGAAAGAGAGAAGTATAAACCGAGAAAAATAAGAACAAGGTGCAACACGAACAATGAAACGGCAGCACGGCCGTTACGCGCGCCTCAACGTGCATTCTAAGAGTCAACAAGGATAACAGCGAACGCCACGTACGAACACTAAAGGGCACCACACTCGCGATGATGCAGCCGGAAAAGGAATAAGAAGGAACAACAGGGACGCGGGGCAGTACAGCGTACAACCTCGCAGGAACAACGAAGAGGCATCCATCAGAAGGCATGCGTAGAGCAAAAATAAAGATTAAGAAGAAAGAGAGAGTCAGACAGATACGCCTTCGACACACACAAATGAAAACCCTCAGGACATGCACAACGCAGCAGCAGGAAGAACAAAAACGCTAGCGCTAACGGAACTCTACTGAACCGACGAGGAAGAAGCTGCTGCAGCAGCAGCAGATGACCTCCGCTGAAACGCCGAGGGCATTGAGCGGGAGGATATAAGACACAGCTGCATTTTCACTAGAGGCGAGGTGAAGATTTCTGCCGATCGGTCTTCCGTTGTTGTCCCTGCGGCCCCGCCGGCACCACCGCCCCGCCGCGCCTGTGCACGCACCAGAGACAAGAGCGACGACGGACGACCCGTCGAGCTGGCAGAAGAATCTGAAAGAAGGCCGCTCGCCTGCGCATTTCCGTATGCCTTCTCCACAAAGTAACTCACATTCCAGCGCACACCGGTCGCGTCTCGCTGGCACACGAAGCCGTGCTCGCCGCTGCCGCCGCTGCTGCCGATGCAGTCAGGGAACGGTCCGCCGTTGTGCGCACCAGCGCCGTCAGCGGCGACAGCAGCAGGGGATGCGTTCGATGTGCTATCCTTTCGCCGGTCCCATATATAGAAGGCCCCGGACGATGTGCTGTACACGTCGATCGTGTCCTCCGTCATGGCCAGCTCACTCGCGCGGCGGTACGGAACATCCAAGTCTTGATTGCTGTCGGCCGGAGAGGTGACGGCGGCGCCATCGCACAGCATCTCCGATGCGGATGTCATGGGGTACACCTCTACACCCGCACTGACGGGCCGCACCGACGGCGCAGCGCTGCTGTACTCCACAGCGGCCATCGTCACGGGTATCGCGGCTGCAACTGCTGCTGGAGCGGCGGCGACGGAGTTGAGGGAGCTGTTCGCCGGCGCAGCCCCACCCCCACCAACACCACCACCACTTCTACTTCTCAGGAGTGACAGCGGAGGAGACTCTCGACCACCAACCAGCCCCGCAGACAGACGCTCGACGCCGTCCACCGACGGTGCCGCTCCCGCACGCCCAGGCGCGCCGTCCCGCGGCTGGCGCGGTGTAAAGCAATCCGCCGTGTCCTCGCCGCCGAGACTCGACACGCGCGACATCAGCGGCGGCAGCGACGGGAGGTCACTCGCCGGGGCGTACCATTCCTGACTGCGGTGGCCGATGCGGGTGTGCGAGGAGAGGGCGGTGCTTCCATTTTGCACCTTGTTCGACGTCCTCGGTGTCTCCGGCCAGTAGCTGGACAGGTTCTCGTCCTCACGCCACGCGGTGGCCCCGCCGGTGGCGGAGGTGGCTGACACGACCGTCGTGCTCTCCGAGACGATATCGTCTTCCAGCAGGACGGAGTGGCCTGCTTCGACGGCAGGCGCGGTGTGCTGCTCAAACGGAGATGTGAACTGCGTGTTGGGGGCCCGCGAGAGGGAGGGCGGCGCGATGGCCGGGGTAGGCCGGTCGTTGACAGCGGGAGGTTCCAGTACGCCGCAGGGGGTAACGGGTGTCGCCGGGTCGTGGATGGAGTTGACGGCCTCAATCACCCACGCTGGCAGTTGGTGGTCGTACACGGAGGACGCCGTGGCCCCAGCGGGGAAGGGGGCGGCACGCTGCCCATCCCCGTTTGAATTCGAGAGGGAGTCGTTGAACAGCGAGGGGGGCCGTCGCGTCGCGCTGCGGCCCGGGCGTGCAGTGGAGTCCAACTCGCCGTTATCCGGCGATGCGGAGGCCGAGCTGAAGGTGTCGTCCTGTTCGCCGCCGTTGTGAGTCGTGCCTCTGCGCGTAGGGGATGGGGGGACATCCGGTGCCATCCCGGCGCGTTCGCCGCCGCTGATCACCGCCGGACCGCTTTGCTGCTGCTCGATGCCCTCCACCTGGCGTTGCCACTGGGGAGAGAGAATGCCATTGGCGACGGCGGGAACGACCGGTTCTGGTTGCTCTTCGTGGTCATCGGCCACCGCGCTTGGCCTTCGTCCTTCCCCCGCGGTGCCAGAACGGTAGTGGTCCGAGGCCCGTGCTATGCCCTCCGTGTTGTTCACGTCGTACCAGCGGTCCCGCATGACTCTCGTCGCGGCCACCGGCGGCGGTGGCACGGAGGAGTCAAACGCGCCGCCGTGCTCCTCTGGGTTCACCGCCGCATCGTTCGCCCGAGTGCTTCCCACTGGTGCAGAGCCGTCCGTGTTGCTCTCGCCAGGGGAGTGAGCCAGGCGGTGCGTCTGCGTCCGTGGCGTGTGCTCCAGCTTTGTCGGCGACGACGACGCCAACGACTCCTGTGAAGCGCTGCGTGTGCTGGGGCTGCGCATATCCCCGCTCTCCTCGCCAACGTCGCACAACATCTCGCCGCTGAGGCTGACATCGTGGCGGCGGCGCCGGCTTGTTTGTGTCACGGACGGTGGAGGCGCGGACACGGCTGGCGGCGTCGAATACGCCGGTTGGCCGGCCGGGTCCATCCGAGCAGCCTCCGCTGTCGGGGAGAGCTGGATGGGGGACTCGAAGAGGAAGAAGAAGACCTCGGAGCGGCGGTACGAGGTGACCGACTCGGGCGCGGGAAGACGCTGCAGATACACACCGATGCAAACATGACTGTCCACGACGTCGCTGAATTTGGACTTGCCGTGCTCCTCCTCCCCGGTGGGCGCCTCTCCCCTTACTGATGAACCTACCACGTCGTGGACCGGCGCAGACGGCGCTGCGGTGCCGTTCTTCACTGGCGCCGGTACGACAAGGGTGGTCTCCATTAACGCCAGATTCGGCACCAAGGCAAATGCAAAGGGCGCTGCGCTGCTGCTGCTGCTGCTGCTGCTGCCGTCATCGTCCACCGCCGCCTCCTCCTGACTCGACACGCCCTTCTTTACGATCCGCCCACCCTCCCCGTGGTGCGGTCTCTCCATCACTGCCGCTCGCCACAGCGCCTCCTCTTCGTGGAAGGCGCGCTGACAGTGATCGACCAGGTGCGTGCCGTGAACATCGCTGCTGAAGACGAGACGCCAGCGCCGGTTGCGCAGTCGTTGCCGGAGAAAGGGTTGAAGGGTGCGGTACTGGGCAGCGTAGGACAGCAGCGCCTGCCTCGGCCCTCGCCGTAGCGGTGCCGCCACAGCCCCATTCAACGCAGACGCGTGCGCCGCTGCGGTGGCGGTGGTCGGCGTGGGAGTGGGGGTGGGGGTGGAGTGGGAGTGGGAGTGAGACATGCTGGACGTAGAAGCCAATGCACTCACCGGAACCGTCGGACCATTGCTGTTGCCGCTGTTGCTGCTGCTGCACAGACGTGGGTTGGGGTTGTACTCGCCGCCGTTCCCTTCACGAGGAGGGTGCGTCGCCTCGAGGCCGTCGCTTGGCCGCACTCGCCGCCGCGCCCGGGAGTTCGTTGCGGGCACGTGTGTGGTGTGTCCCTGCCCAAAGCCCTTCTGTGTGTCGTGTATGTCGATGGTGACGCCCGTGAGGGAGCCGGTTGAACTGAGGGAGTCGTGACAGGCGAGGCGGTGCGTGGCAGTAGCACCGTGTGCTTTGCGGAGGTGTGTGCTCATGGTTGTTGCGGCAGGCGGCGGTGTCGCTCTGCCTCGCCCACGGCGTGGTTCGCTCCCCGACACGCTCCAGTCGGCCGTCTGGGAAGATGATCGCGAGCAGCACATGCCCATCGTGTGTGTGTTTTCCTCTATCGAGATCTTTGCCTTCGGTTTTACTGGGATTGTATTTGCTGACGGATACGCAGATGAGGAGCGAAGAACGTGTCCCACGACACACACAACCAGAGAGAAGAAGAGACCTACCGAAAGGCGGCGGTTTGGGCTGCAACGTACGATGGAACAACACACACACACACACACACACACAGTTGCTGCTGCTGCTGCTTTCTGTGTTTCTATAATGAGTTCAGATAGCAACGAAGACACCAATAAAAACTATTTAAAAACAATTAAGGAGAGGTGATGAAGATTTGTGAATGCGCCGCACAAAGCACGCTGGGCGCGATGGTAAAACACAGAGCAGGTACAACAACCACACTCGAATGTGCGAGTATCAGCACAGCGTCGTCGTTACTTCCTCGACAGAAAGAGAAAAAGAGACAAGACAGAACTCTGCCAGCAACAGATTGGGAGAGATGAACTAAAATATATATAGATGGGAAGAATAGTGCGAATAACAAAAGACCTCAATGAACAGCGAAGAAGAGGGAAATGAAGAAGCGTAAATGCAGCCCAACTATATATGTATAAGGTGCAACGGAGGCACCAAAGCAGCCGTCGTAGGTGAGGACGGGAGCGTTAGCAATATCAGGTTTTTTTCTCTTTTTTGCTGATTGGGCACAGAGACGCCGCGCTTCGCACTCCTCCTTCTCGGAGCTGCTTTTAAAATCGCACGACAGAACGAGAAAGAGAGGGAATAAAGATGCGTTTTGATTACTGTTGTGTGTACTTCACCGTTTTGCATTAGACGTAGCCATTGCTGCCGTGGATGGGAAGAAGAGCCGGCGAAACGGAAAAGGTTTGCTTTTCAAGGAACGGGAATACACGGCACAGGTCACACAGACAGAGGTGGAGGAAGAAAACTTTTGTTGTTGTTTTGTGAAGTGAAGCAGCAGAAAAGAGTTGAGAAGGAGGGACAGAAAGAGGAGGAAAACGTGAATGGCTGTGCAGCGCCGCAGATGAGCAGCTGTCACATCCGCACAGATACATTAGGCTTATTCTCTTCTTCCTCCTTTTAATAATAATCCTACGACGAAGAAAGAAGGAAAATACCGGCACAGACGGTTTCACTTACCTACGAGTTATCGCTTACCCTATCGGATTACTTCCTTCTGTTGTTGTTGTTTGGGCGCTCCAGCATTGCCCGCCTCGTTCACGCAGCCGCGCACTATGTCCATGCCCTTTGAAAGCATGTACAGCCACGGCAGTGCCGCTTTGATGCCGGCGTATCGAAGCGCTGCTCTCGCGAACGCAGCCGCGGTGTCGTTGCTGTCGTTCTGCTTTTTCCGTCTCTGGTTTACTTATAGTACTTCTTATTCGTGTAAATCACTTCTCTTTCTCTTTAAAACATTAGCGGACATGGCGCGGCAAGGACAGTTGTCAAAACATCCTGCCCCTTACATCGCGGCTTCGCAGCACCCCGCGTTGTCGTTGGGTTTCATGGGGGGGGGGGGGTAAGCCTTTTGTTGCTTCCACTCCTCTTTATTGCTCTTGCCTCTTGTCCGCCTCGTTCTCCAGTGCCCGCACCGCCTGCGGAGGCGTGTAATGCAGACTCATCACCACGCGGTCGCTGGAGAGGGCGCAGTTAAAGTTGTACGTCGCGCCGGCGCTCATCACGAGCGGGGTCGGCATACGTGCGTCGCTGCCCTCGTCAATCAGCTGCAGAGCCTGGCCCCACTGCATGTCGCGCGCGAAGTTGTGCATCGTTTCCGCCGGGTCGGTCGACATCCTCTCCTCACCGTCGGTCGCGATCCAGTAGAGGAGCCAGGCGTGCGCCGTGCCGCTCGCCGTCGCCGTCACCTCGATCGGGTACGACTTCTTGAAGTTGCTGCGCTTCGTCGCGGCGAAGTCGACCGTCAGCAGCGGGATCGGCTCCGACAGGCGCGTGAAGGGGACGGAGCTCATGCGAAAGCCGTACTGCTTCGTGAAGACGACGCTGGTTGTGTCCTGCAGCGCCATCACGTGTGACAGGTCGATGCCGTTCCAGCTGGAGACGGTGCAAATCTGCTGGAGCGCTTCGCACTGGATCGGCACGGCGTACTGCACGGCGTGCTGCGGCAGGATCTTCGTCGTCGGGCGCAGCAGCCGCTGGCGGGCGTCGGCGATGTAGTCCAACGCGCTCTCGCCCAGCAGCAGCGTGCCAAAGATTTCCGACACGAGGATGCTCGGCGGCTCCGGCAGATCCCGCGGGGTCAGCTCGGTGCTCAGCATGTTCAGCACCTTCACCTTCTCCTGCAACCCGTTTGTCGCGATGTTCGACCGCGCCAGCGCCGCCATCTCGGGCGACCCCTCCACCGCCACCACCCACTTCGCGTCCAGCTTCGCCGCCATCATCGACAGCAGCCCCGAGCCGGCGCCGATCTCCAGCACACCGGACTCCCCGGGGACAATGTGCCGCTTCAGCAGGTTGTAATAAAACTCGTTGCGCGGCGTGTCGTTCATCATGGCAAAGTGGAAGTCGTTGACCGCCTCGACGAGCGCTGTCGGCACGCGACGTAGCCGCCGCGGCACGAAGATGTGCTGCTCAAACCGGTAGTCGAAGTCCTCCTTGCGATTGTTCTTGCTGCTCTGATTCGGTTGGCGGTTCGCGTTGGGGCCGGCATAGGCGGGCACGGCACCGGCAGGGTACTTCGCTCCTGGAGGCAGAAAGCCGATGTCCATCTGCGGGTGCGCGCCGGCGGGTGTGGTGGGGCGTCCATTGCCGTTGCCGGCGTGTGCGCCAGACGCAGCTGTGGGGGTCTTGCGCTTGGCGGGCATGCCTGTGACGGTCGGCGCCAGCGGAGGATTCGTTTGGTGAGAGAAGAAACGTGCGGTGTAGGGGAAAGCAAAGAGACTCCGCGTGCGGTGGAGCTGCACCGGGGGCACCGCGGTGTGTAAGAGGCGCGTTGGTGGGGAAGGGAGGGTGGGTGTGGTTTCTGTAGACGGCGGTGCACATTACATGCATACGAGGGGAGGGAGGCGTCGTGGGAGGAGGGTCAGAAACGTAAAATGCAGAAGACGAACGCCGGCGGCGTATCACAGGGGGCGGAGTAGTGACAGTTATGTGATCTCCTATACGAAAAGGGGTCAGGCAGGTTCAGCATGGTTTCTCCTCTCCCTTCTTGTTAAATGCTTTTCTTTTTTAGAGGAGCGACGGCGCGTGTACTTTACCGACCGAGACGTGATGCACCGTCGATGTGGCCGAACGTCTCACTGGCGCTCTCTTCCTTGTTTGTTTCGGGGCTTTTGCCTGGCGCTATGCTCTTGGCATTTCTTTGTTTTAGGGGAGGGAGGGGGGATGTAGGAATCCTCTGTTTCTCAACCACGCAGACGGCAAGTGTGGAAGCACACGCACCGGGTCTGTTAACGCGTATGAAGACAAACAAAAACCACGTTAGCTGAAAACAATATATATGTGCGTATATCAGAAATATCAGAAATATAGCGTCTGCGCTGCGCTCCTTTATATATTTGCAGCGCAGAAGGCTTCCCAGCCGTTAATCGACCCCCTCGCACAGACGACCTTCGCCGTCCAGTCGGAATCAACGACTTCGAGAAGAAGAACACAAAACAGGGAGGGCAATCTCTATGAGAACAGAGGGGGGAGGTCTATGAAAAAACACAGAAGGGAAAAACAAACACGGAGAGTCACGAAACCCGTTAGAAATAAATCCCCGGCGTCGATCGGGAAGAGATTAATAAATGTGAGAAAAACTCTAGTCGACTACTCTCAGATCAGGAAGGAAGGAAGAAGAAAGGAGAAAGGAGAAAGAACAACACAGTGCAAAACAGTGTCGTTACATCCCTGTATCGTTTTCATTTTCCTTTAAGGGTAGACGGCGTTATTTTCTTTTTATATTTATTTTTGAACCAATTAGAACTTTACGAAAGGGAGTTTCTCGCAGACTCAGATCGTCTGCGTTTCCACCTCGTGGGGTTGGAAAAGGGGCGGGACGGTGGGAAAAAAGAAAACAGCCTTTCCTGAAGAGAGGTCGACTGGAGGGGAGAGAAGGAGAAAGGGAAAGTAGTACAACATGAAGCTTTCGACTCATCTCCCGGCGATTTTTTCCTGGCGCAAGCTCTCAGAAAACCAGTGCTCTCTCTTACACCGCCATCTCCATCTTGATGGGCGGGTACGGCACGTAATCCACCACCTCCATGTCCGTCGACTCGTAGTCCTCCAAGAACTCCCGCTCCTTCTTGAACACCAGCACCGGGAAGGCACGCGGCACCCGCCGCAGCTGCTCCGTCAGCGCCTCGACGTGGGTGCTGTAGACGTGGGCGTCGCCCAGCGTGTGCACCAGCTCCCCCGGGCGCAGACCCGTCGCCTTCGCGATCAGAATCGTTAAGAGGGCGTAGGAGGCGATGTTGAAGGGGACGCCAAGGCCCATGTCACACGAGCGCTGGTACAACATGCAGGACAGCTCCTTCGTGTGCGGGTTGACGTAGAATTGGCCGAGCAGGTGGCACGGAGGCAACGCCATCTTGTGCAGCGCGCACGGGTTCCACGCCGTGAAGAGCAGTCGGCGATCATTCGGGTTCGTCTTGAGCGTCTCCACGATGGACTTGATTTGATCGACGCCCTCGCCGTCGTAGTTGGCGTCGAAGCCGCGGTAATCTGCCCCGAAATGGCGCCACTGAAAGCCGTAGACCGGGCCGAGGTCCATCTCTTTGTTCTCCGTCAGTCCGCGGCCATCGAGAAACTCCCGCGAGCCGTTGCCGTCCCAGATGTGAATGTCCTTGTCCGCCAGAAGCTGGGCGTTCGTCTCGCCGCGCAGGAACCAGATGAGCTCCTCGCAGACACCGCGCCAGAAGACCCGCTTCGTGGTGAGCAGCGGCAGTTGATTGTCTCGCAGGGAGAAGCGCATCTGCGCACCGAAGAGGCCGATCGTGCCCACACCCGTGCGGTCCTCCTTCAGGATGCCGGTCTTCATGATGCGGTCGATCAGTTCCAGGTACTGCCGCTCCTGCGCGTTGTGCGGGACGTACTTGAGAATCTCGTACTCCAGTCCCGCCTCGTCCGTGCTCTTCCGCACACCGGTGGTCGACTCCACATCCCACTGCGGCACCGCGCTCGCTGCCTCGCCGGACGCGGGGGGAGGTGACGGTGGGAAAGGAAAGAAGCGGTTGCACGTCGGCGCTGTCGTGTGCACGCGCGTGAGAAACACCTCGTGCATCTTCTCCACACAGGGGGACTGCATCGCCTCCGAGTACACACGCGCACCGCCGATGCAGTACACCGTCTCCACGGCGCTGCAGTAGGGCGGGCGGGCCAGTGTGTGGAGGACCTCCTTCAAGCCGCCGTTGACGACGAGCACGTTGGCCGCCGCCTCGTCGCGCTTCTCAGCCGGCAGCTCCGCCAGCAAATCCGCCACCGTCGCCTGTGAGGAGAGCACGACGTTGAGGCGGCCCTTTAGCGGACGGAACTTCAGCGGCACGCTCTCCCACGTCTTGCGGCCCATCACGACGGCATTGCGCTTCTTCTCCGTCGGCGGCTTCTTGTTGCGCAGCAACGTAGTTTGGTCTTTGAAGAAGGCTACGTCCTCCGGCACCCGCCACGGGATGGTCTCGCCATCGCCGATGCCGTGCTGCTGATCGACCGCGACGACGATGGAGAAGGCGCGAAGCGAGGGGAAGCTGCAGTCGGCCTTCGTGGCCGGCATCGGGATCTTGAACTTGGCGGCGGCGCGAGACATGGCGAACGGTGAAAAGCAAAGCAAAAAAAAAAAGCACAGAGTAGTCAATAGCAAAGAGAAAGATGGAGCACTCTTAAACGAAAAAGCGATGTCGGTTGAAGTCTGCCGGCCCGCGAGGAGTAGAAGAGCGAGAGAACAGCACGAAGAGTTGCGAAAAGAAGAAGATGAGGAAGAAGGGTGCGACGGTGTGATCTACCGTGCGTGTTGCAGCGTTGAGTTGATGCGCGCGCTGTCGGTGGGCTTGTGTGGTTGGTGCAAACGGGAGAGAGAAAGAAAGAAAGGCACGAAGAAAGGGATGGATATGCGTGTAGAAGGAGAAGCCTGAATTCACAACTTAGGATGAAAAGTGGGGAGGAGGGGGAAGGTAAATTCGTCCCCCTCAACAACTGACACACGGGGTCGGCGCAGACGTCGAAGAAAGAAATTCTCGCAACAAAAGGGAAGGAAGGGGAAGAGGAGGAGAATTCGATTCACAGCGATTTTTTGTCAGCGAGAAATATATATGTGTGTGTGGTGGTGGTTGATTTCACGTAGGGTGTACGTGTGCACGTGAGCTCGGATGACCAGGTCCCACACAGCATACACACGTACCACATTCGTTGGAGAGCACCTGAATGCAAAACAAAACAAAAAGGCTGCTCTTCCTTATACCAGCCACGTCTTCTTGCATGTGCGTGTTAGTACTCCTCATCCTCCGCGTCGGAGAGCGACTTCAGTGCGCAGCGATAATGGTCCCAGTCCTCGCGTGACTCCGCCACCAGCGCCAGTGGCAGCCGCAGCGACATGATGGCGGCCAGCAGGTGCGCGTTGGGTTGGATGTTGTTGCCGCAGCTCAGCTTCCGCGCCAACCAACGGCAGAGCTCCTCGTAGGTGATGCAGCCACGACGGCTCTTGTTCACCATGCGGAACAGTCGCGGCGTGTGTCGCAGCACATCTGGCCGATCCACATGGAAGGCGTCGTAGCTCATCTTGGAGAAGGTATCATACGTAAGCGAGCCGTAGTGGTAGGAGAGGGATTCAAAGATCGATGAAATCAGCGGCACACTCTCCCGTGCGCACAGCAGAAACGGAAAGACGGTCGCCGGCACGCCAAAGACGGCCTCCAGCGCGTTCGAGCCCGTCGTGGTCAGCATGGCAGACGACAGCACGTTGCGGTTCTCAATCAGGAAATCTTTCAGGTGGTCCAGCTCGCGCAACAGCATTCGCTCGTCGTAGACCTCGCGCTCCATCACCGCGTCGTAGATGTGCGGGATCACGTTGATATCCCCGCTGCCGATGCCCACCACCGCCGCCGCCGTCGCGCCGTAGAAAACCTCCTCGTCCTCCTCCTGATCGTAGCTCTGCATCTCAAGCCACAAGTTTTCATCCACGCCGGCAAACGGGTCCACGCCGCCACTCCAGTCGTGGGGGGAATGCTGGGGGCTACTGCGGCGGCGGACACCACCACCATCACCACCAGCTCCGCCAGCTCCACCGTCGCTGCTTGATGAGCACCGATCGGGTGCGTCCTCGACCGCACTGTTGTTGGGGAAAAACGCGCTCGTGGAGGACGATTTGCGCCCGACGGGGGCAGCAACGCCGCCGCCTGCCGTTGCCTGCGCGGGTCGCACGGAGGCCTCAGCAGGCGAGCACTCCTGCTGCTGGAAGGCTTGCGTTTGTTGGTGCTGCATGGCTTCCCCGCTCTCCGAGAGTCCTGCGCCGTCCATCGTGTCCGTGTGGAACGTCGTGGGCAAGCCCGTGCGTCCATCAACGTCGTTGACGTGCGCTACATCATCGGCAAACGGCTCACTTCTTTGCACCAAGCGCACGCTATTTGACGGGCTTGCAGTGGTTTTCGCGAAGGGGTGGGCGGCACCGGCCTTCGTGTCGGACCCCGACCGGCGTTGCCGCGCCTGCCTCCGTTGCTCCTCTTCTTCTTCCTGTTGCTGCTGCTGCTGCCGCCGCTCCACCTTCTGCTGACGCCGGCGCCGATCCTGCCGACGTCGTGTCGCGGTGTAGAGCAGCCCCTCCAGCTCCTGCACCTCCGTCTCGTTGATGGGCAGCCCGAGCGCCCGCCGTCCCCACACCGTCTGCGGCACGTACTCCAAGCCCAGCTCTGAGGCAAGGTCCTCGGTGAAGTCACGGAGACTGTGGTTGTGGTAGTACAGCACCGCGTGCGCCACGACCTCGTCCAAGACACGCACCGCCGGGTAATACGGATCACTCCCGGCCGCCACCAAGTCCATCAAGAACACTTCCCCCGCAAAGCGGCGAGAGTAGCGTGTCGCCATCCAAACCTGCAGGGGCGACAGTCCGTAGTGGCCGTTGTGCAGGTCCATGTGGGAGGCGACTCGCCACTCGCGGCCAAAGGTTACAACGCGCTCGCCGGGGAAGCGCTTCGCCAGCCGCTCCGGCACACTCTGCTCCTGCGCTCCGCCAGATGGGCTGGGCGTCGCAGAGGGCGTAGAGCAGTCCGGCATGCTGCTCAGCACGCCGCAGAAGGCAGCGCCGTCGATGTCGTCCACGTTGCTGATGCTGCTGCGCGGCCCTCCATCGTGCACCGCCGCCGTCAGCCCCACCTTCCATCCAACCCACCGCACCAGCGAACAGACGTACTCGACCACGCGGTGCTTGAAGGAGTAGACGAGGGGGGAGCGGTGCGGCGAGCCGAGGGAGCCGGTGAACGAGGCAGTCGTCGCGAAACCGCCGAGCGGAGGAAGCGACTGCCGAGCCGCGGCGGCTGCTGTGGCGGCGGAGGCGGCGGTACTGCCGGGTGGGCCGGCAGAACAGGCCGGCGAGTGCGGCGGCCCTGAGCCGGCGGGCTCGCGTGGCTCGAAGACGGCGTCGTGGTAGGCGCGGTGTAGGTGTTCAAAGATGGAGTAGAAATTCTCGTTGCGGGTGCGCTGTGCGTCTATCTGCTCTGCTTCCAAGGCGTCCATCGAGTCCTCTGGAAACGGCACGTCGCCGTAGTCCAGGTACGAGCAGCCTTCATCTTCGTGGCTCGCACCAGCGCCACCGTTTTTGCCGTCATTGTAGCTGCTTTCGGGAACCTTCTTTGCTGCACTGCCATTCGCGCTTGTGGTCTGGGTACAAGACGCGCTTCCCCCCGAAGCGCCACCAGCACCAGCGGAGCGCGGCGGCAGGAGTGTGGGTGGGGAGTCTCCAACCCCAATCAACGTCAGTGGAACCCGCGAAGCGGGCGGCGAAGAACTGTCACTGCTGCCGATGGTGCTTCCGTCCGCCAGCGCAGTACTGGTGCTGAGACACGGAGGAGACGACGCATATCCGCTGCCATTGAGCGCGGTCTCGCTGATGGCTGTGTTGACGGTCGCTGTTGTATCGCTACCGTTCATTGCGCTGTGATTGTCGTGGTGGTGGCAGTTGTCCCCTGGTGTTTCGGTGCCCACAGTCAGCCCGGCAGAGTTCGCACCGACGCCGCCGCCTCCCCCTCCAAGCGGTCCGTCCCAGCCCATCCCCTCTTGCCCTGCTGGTACCGCCCACTGCTGCTGCCCGAGGAGCTCCAAAATATCCTCATCGCTCGGGGCCTGAATGGAAGCGTTGTACAGCAGTGCGGTGGCATCGCCGTACGTGTAATAGAAGGAAATCCCGCTGCGCATTGGACCGCCGGCAACCCCGAGCAGGTCGGACAGCAGCTTGTTGTACTGCTTCAGTCGATTCATGTGCGTGTCCTGCATCACGGCGGGTGTGATCGTACCGGACGTCACGCCGCCTGCAACCGCCACATCGACGGGAGAGTCTATCAAACGAGGACTGCCGCCACCTGCGCCTGCCCACCCTCCCCCTCCGTGGTGATGTTGGTGGTGGTGGTGGTGACCGCCGTACACGCTGCCAGGGACGGACGACGCGCTGGCGTAGATCGCCGTTATGCCGGTCATGTTCGCCAAGCCACCGCCGCTGGGCATGTGGGCCGCGTTCGCGCCAAAAAAATTGGACGTACAGGCACCCGCTGCCGCTGCTGCGGTCGATGGCCCTCCACCACCGACACTGGCCGTAGTCTGCACCGCATCCTCCGGGTACTGATAGAGAGGGTAGTGCGCGGTGCCGTACATGCTGCTGACGGAGTCGGCGGAGTAGTTATAGGGCAGCAGTCCAGAGCCGGTGCGGCGTGGCATGTTACCGCTCGTATTGTTATGGTTGCTGCTCCCACCACCGGCGACCCCGTTGCGTTGGAATGCCAGATTCTGCATCATCGCGGAGTGCGAAGGGGGGGAGTTGTGCGTGTGCGTGGCCGATGTTGATTTCGGAGAGTTCGACGACTGCCGTAGTCGACTGCCGCTGTTGCCCCATGACGCGCGGGCCGTCCGACAACCACCGTCGTTGCTGTCGACGGCGATGCCGGTAGTGGGAATGCTATTCGCGACCGCACTGCCGCTGCGGGTGCCGGCTTCGACCGCACCGCTCGTGGGGCCATACGATGCCACCGCCATGGAACTCGTTGCGTGGCTGCCAGCAGCAGCAGCAACGGCAGCAGGAGGTGGCCGGCGCAGGTGTACCGGCAACGAGTAGTAGGGCGAGACGGCACCACCACCACTACCGCTAGACGTGAGACCCGCTACCGTCGCCGCCTGCGCTTGTTGTCGCAGCAGCACCGCCTGCGGAGTCGCGATGGAGTGTCCGTAGTAAGCGTCGAAGGTGCCGTACATGCTGTTGTTCGGAACGGCGGGAAGGGTGGACGTGGTGGAGCTCGCCGGCAGGCCCTCGCACGGCAGCGGCGAGTTCGTCGAGCTGTTCTGCGAGGGCGGAAAGCGGCCGATATACGCGCCGCTGTCGATGCCTGTCGGCACAAGCAACGAGGTTCGCGCTGAAGACGACGCAGGGAGTTCACTGAGTAGGGTGTGCGGTGAGTTGGACGTGGGGGGTAGGGCGCTATGCGGGCGTGTGAAGGACAGAACGGGCGGCGGCACACCCAGCTCCGAGTTGCCGCCATGCGTGGCAGCATCCATGTTCGCGACGATGTCGTGCGCTTTCACGGTGAATCGATGCGCTGCACGGGTGGCGTGTGTCGTGGACGTTGTCGTGCTGGTGGTGATAATCGCCGGTGCGCTGGCCGGTGCGGAAGAGTAGCCGTAGTAACTGTCGCCGAGTGTTGCGGTACGAGCCTGAGACGGCAGCACCTGCGGCGGCAGCGGCGGTGGGGGAGGATGCAGGAAAGAACCTGAGCCACTCACATTGAGGGGTGCCGCCGGTGGGCTCCTGCAGTTGCCCCCTACGCCCACGGCGCCGTCCGCACAGCCCGGCCGCCAAGCAGGATGACGGCTCACCACAGTTCCTGCCTTGTTGGCAGCCCCCAGCGATGGAAATAGAAAGGGTTTGTGTGTCTCTGTACCGCCGTCGAGCGCGCTGAGCTCGATCGAGCTGCTGGTGGCGTGATGCAGCGGCGCAGAAAGACTGCCGCCACCTCCCTCCGTCGGGTGTGGGGCACCAGCGCCACCTCCCGTAGAGACCAGCGGTGGTTGCGGCAGCGTCACGCTCGTGTTCGCATTCGTTGCTGTGTGCACCGCCGTCCAATAGGGATTACGGCTGCCGCTGAGAGACGGCGGCGGGCTCGTGCGATCACTAACCGCGCCACCATCAATAACAGCACCGCCACCACCTCCGTTCGCGGTGTTCTGGTTGCTGCTGACATGCACGGGGCTGTTGATGGGTGACGGGGAAGGTTGCGGCGGCCAGCTGAGGGGCGACGGCACCGGTGATGACCCAGACGAGTTGGACATCAACGCTGTGGAGGTCGCAAGCGGTGCGGAGGGAGGAGTCAGCAGCGCCGACGGCGTGTTCCACCGCGGGCCACGCAGGCTCTTCTCCCCGCTTGTTTTGATCGATGACTGGCCGATCATGGTCACGGTGGCGCGTCCGCTGAAGGCCTCGGGGTTGTTGCCGGAGCTTACCCTGCTGATGCTGCTGCCGGTTCCTGTCGCCGTGTCGGTGGTCGTCGTCGTGCCGGTTGTGTGCACCGCCACCGTCAGCGACGGCTCCTGCGGCGTCTCACGCGATGTGCTGCTCCGGCTGCTCCCACCAAAGAAGTGCGCTTCGTGCTCGGTGGGATTCGTTGAGGTCTTCTCAGACACCACGCGATACTGCGGAAGGCTCGTCTCTTGGTGCGGCTGCGGAGACGCGGAAGGAGATGGATGATTCCGCTGCTGTGGATGCCCCAGCAGCATCCTTTTCGCCGCACGTCCTTCACGGGCGTTTGCGGCCCTTTCCGTCTCCGTCGTGGCTGCCGCATCGTTGTCCTCCACCGTCCACGATGTGGCGTACCCACCTCCAGCCTCCAACGAACTCGGCGCAGCCAACGGGGTAAGCGATGACGCGTTACCGTAGACGTCCCCCGCAACAGGCTGGCCGTGACGGTATTGCTGCTGCACCACCTCCGATGGCACTTCCGATGTCAAGTGGTCGGGGATACTGGCGGACACCGCCCCGTTCATTTCGGTCTTCCCCGTGCTGTTCGGCGAGTGCGCCTCCTTCACTGTTGACTTCATCACCATCGACGCCACACGTGACACGATCGTGGCGGGGTTCATCGAGCTGGTGAGTCGCGTCTTCAGGCTTTGCCGTCTTCTATTTTCTGCCTGCTGCTGCAGCTGCGCCTCCTCGCGCGCGTGGCGCTCACATCGACGGCGATCGTGCCGTTCCTGCCGCCGCCTCGCTCGCCGGATCTCCGCAGCGATCTCACGCTGATTCTCCTGCTCGCGCTGAAGCAATATGAACTGCAACGTACGCTGCTGCGACAGCACCTCCTCTGCGAAGGTGCGACTGAGAGGGAAGCCGCGTGCGTGGGCAGCGGCGTAGCGGGGCACCGCGGGCGGCAGGATGCAGTGCACCCGCATGTCCGGCAGCGGCACGCTGCAGATGCGGAAGGCCTTCTCCTTCAGATCGCGAAGGAGCGTCTCGCGCATGCTTTCACGGCGGATTAGCACCTCCATCGCCCATGCCGGTAGGTGCAAAGGGCCGCCGTCGCGGTCGTCTTCGCGCTCTAGGTCCTGCGTGCTGGCGAGTGGGGCGGGGTGCGTGGACAGGGTCGACAGCCCGCCGTGCCGTGAGTTTGACGGTTGCACCGGCCGTTGCGCTGCGCTGCCGCAACCGCCGCTGCTATGGATGGTGTAGCTGCCAACCGGTGGGGGCAGCCGCGCACCAGCCGTGTCCGCGGGGCGCGGCACCGGACTGCTCGTCATGAAGGACGGTGTCGAAACGGTCGACAGAAGATGCCCGCTCGCCACGGTGCTGACCTCTGTCGGCGCCGCATCCGTTGGCGGCATCGCCTGCAGCATCTTCTTCGCCTCATCCTGCCATACCTGCACATGATCCTGCGCGTATTTTTCCGTCCGCTTGAGAGCCTCGAGGGAGCGGCTGCCTTGGTGGCAAATGCGGAGGCGATAGCGCAGCAAAACGGGCACCTCGAGTTCACACTGACGCAGCTCTAGCAGCATTTGCGCCTGCTCCTGTCGCTCGTCGAAGGTGCCATCAACATCATCGTCGTTGACGTCGCCGTCGTCATTTTCATCGTCTCCACTGTCGCGTTTACTTGGCTCGTTCTCCATTCCATCTCCTTCGTCATCGTAGGAGCCCCGCCTCCCTCTGCGGTGCGTACCCCGTCTCGTAGAGGATGGTTTTGCGGTACACGCACTGGCACTGTGGCGCGCCGTTCCGCCACTGCACTGTGTGGTGTTGACGCTGCGCTGCGCTGCAGAGCCGAGGGAGGCCGCTGCATCCGCCGCGCTTGGCCGCGCACCACCAACGCCGTCCTCCTCACCTAAGTCCGACAGCACACACGACGGCAGCGCGGTCGCGACGGTTGGCGCATCGGCCACCACCGTGCGCAGAACGTGGATGTACAGGAGCACCTCGCTGCGATTGACGAAGCGGCGCGCCGCGCTAAAGCGGCCGGTGTCGTAGGTGCGGCCAAACGCGGAAAGGGATTGCGGGGAGGTGGAATTATTGCCACCGCACCCGCCGGTACAGGCGCAGCCGCCATGCACGTTCACCACCGACGCGCCGCTGCTACCGATGGAGAGAGGGGCTCCCCTAGCGGAGTAGGGACCTGCGCCCTGTGCACTCTGCAGCGGCGACCGCACCATCTGCGGAGGCAGGGCAGGGAAGCTGTAGCTAGCGGAGAGGCGCACCACCACGTTGGGGGTCGATCCTGGAAAGGCGGGCTTGAAGGCTGGGGAGAGAGAGGTGGGGGAGAGCGAAACGGGCGAGGGGATCGTGCAGCCACCACCGCTACTGCCACCGTTGACACCAACTACACTTCCTGCTGCGGCGGCGGCAGCGGCGGTAGCGAAGGACGACCCCAACGGCATCGATGGCGGAGGCAGCGGAAGCAGAGGCAGCCCGTTGCCGTGAGCGTGGGTGGAGCTGCCGAAGGCCCCATTCAATCCGTCCGTGGACACGACTGTTGAGGGGTTGCCGGGGTGACTGAAGGTTGTGTTGGGTGTACTGTACGCGTGGTGCATCCCCGGCGACTTCGGCGCCCGCAGAAAGTGGCCGGGTGAGATCGGCGTGAGGCAAACGTTTTCCACGGAGTGCAGAACGTTGGCGCTGTTGGCGCTGTTGGCGTCGGTGCCAACGACGTGGCTGATGTTGCTGCTCCGCTGACCGGCGGCAAAAGCAGCTGACGAGGACGCCGCACGCGCGAAGGTCAAGGGCGAGCCTGGGCTGCTGTACGCACCGCCGCCGCTGCCACCGCCCGCGTTCGTGGAGGTGTTGTTCAAGTGCTCCCCCGCGCCGCTGCTGCTGCCGGCAAGGTCAGCCGAACCGCCGTACAGCTCCGCCGCCGCGCGACGCAGCGCGAAATCCTTTTCCTGCAGAATCGCAGCTCGAATGATGGAGGAGTAAAACATATGCGCGGGGTAGAGTTCAAAGGTGATGCGTAGGCCCGCTCTCTTGCCTGTCTGGGTGGCCTGCGGCGACGACGAGGAGCGCTGCGGCGGTGCACGCTCGGCGGGGGCGGCGGAAGCCGCTGCTGATGCGGAGGAAGGAGGTGGCGGCGGTGGGAGGGATGTGTGGAATAGGTTGGATGGACTGGCCGATTGCCGCTGCTGCTGCTGATGCTGCTGCTCTTCGGCAGCGTCGTGGCTCAACGGGTGACTCATCGACCGCCGCTTTTGGGGAGCACCGGTGTGCTGCTCGCCGCCGGGCTCTCTTCCTTGGCTTGAACTTGTGTTGCTGGCGCCGGTGGTGTCTGGTGGCGCTGAGAAAGGTCGACTGGCCGCTGCGTGCGCAGAGGTGTGCTGCACCGGCGGCACCGGCGGCAGCGGCTCCGTCTTCAGCTCCTCCAGCATCACAACATCCACCAGGCCTTCCTCGAAGGAGGTGCTGTCGAGGTGCAGCGCCGTCCACAGGCTGTCGGCGTCGTTCGACACGTCGTAGCCCAACGGAGCTCGAATAAGCACCACCGTGGGCACCCGACCCGGACACGGGACGAGCATCTCCACCGCCTTGCTAATCGCCTCCTCCATGCTGTTGGCTTCCAGCGACGCCTGCTGTGCTAACTCCGCTGCTTTTGCGGCTGCCTCCGAGGTGAGGGAGCCGCCCGCTGCGCCGATCCCCGCGTCCGACCCTGCACGCTTCGACAAGGGCACCGATGCATCCATCTCTTTGGCCGATCCGCACCCAGGCAGATGCTGCTGACGCAGTCCACGCTGCACCACCTGCGCCATCGCCGTCGCAAGCGCTGTGCCGTGCGTGGACACAAATTGGCAGATCCCTTGCAGGCTTTGACAGCAGCCGCATCGCACGGAAACACACGCCCGCTGCGCCGCACCCCACACCGTAGCAGCACGCGTGATCAGCGCCGTCCGTCCGTCATGCATGCGCCGTCGCACGTGTCGCCGTGTCCGCCGCAACCACCGGCGCAGACGATAGGCAGTGCGACGATGCGGTGCTGTCCCTTCGCCGGTGGAGTAGAAGGAGCTCGCCATCACCGCCATCGCTGCCGCCCCGGCCGCTGCGGCAGTGGCTGCAGCTGCCCCTGTGTGTGGGTGGGTCTCCGTCAAGTTGTGCATCAGCGAAGACATGCGGGACAGCGGCGCTGCGGTGTTCGTTGAAGGCGGTGGCAGCAGTGAAGAAGATGCGCCACCGTGACTGCCGCTTCGTTGAAGAGGAGGGTAGATGGGGATGAGCTGGGAGTAGGAGGGGGAGCCCGTGTGGCTGTGTCGCTGACTGGTACGCGAGGACCCGTGTTGATAGGTCCCGCTGCCGCCACCGCCGGTGCTGCTGCCGCTGTGTGGACGGCTCGTACTCGCAGTATGCAGGTGGTGATGGTGGTGGTGGGTGCCACCTTGTCCAGAGGAGCGGTGCCCCCGTGCGTGGTGGTGGTGGTTCTGGGATGAAGAGGCGCACGGCACCGCCCCGAAGCCCTGAGATGCGGTCGACATAGCAGTCATCATCAACGGCGGCGGTGGCGGTGGCGGCTGGCCCATCGTGGAAAGGGTTAAAGCCCCGCCAAGCAGATTCGCCGCGCCGGTGGTGGTAGAGGAGTTGTTGTTGCCACCACCACCGCCGCCGCCGAAGCTGCCCGCGTTGCTCATCCCCGAGTAGTTGCCCGCGTTGCTGTTACTACTATGAAATGCGTTGTTGCAGTTACTGATGTTGAGGCTGGCACCTTGCCGATCTGCCGTGAAGCACACCGACCCGCGCAGCTCCGCCAGGGCATCCGTCACGTCCATCTCCGTCGCAAAGAGCGGCGGTCCATAGAGTGCAGTGGAGATGGAGTAACCGTTGTAGGGCTCCTCGCCATCCCCGCCCGCACTCGACGGCGCGGCATTCGTCGCCGTCGTCGTCGCAGTCGTAACCGCGGCTGTCGTCAATACCCCCTCGGGATAGCTCTCTGTCGGCACGTACGTGCCAGACGGCGAGGGGGAGTGGAGGTGCTGGTGCGAGGACGTCGTCGTGCTGTCACAGATGTACGGCGGCTGCGGCGATGGATGCGGGTGAGAGGAGGAGGAGTGTCGATGAGTGGGATGCGTCAACGACGCCGCCCTTCCGCTGCTACCACCACCACCACCACCACCGGTGCTACCAGGAGGGTGGAGGGATCCACTTGCCAGGGTGGACGCCGCGTGCGAGTACGAGGCCAAAAAGTGACGCGGATGCGACGGTATGGAGTCGGCAGGGTGGGAAAGGTTGCTGAAGCTGAGCCGCGGCCCTGTTGGCTCCTCGTGATGTCCGCCGAGGTCCACCGAGCTCCATGCAAGTCGCTCCTGCGTTGCGGCAGACCCGGCGGAGGCGACGGAGGCCGCGTCGCCGCCGGTGCTCGCCGGCGACGAGGCCGTGGCGAGAAACGACGAGGTAGACGACGTCGTGTAGGAATCGCTGCTGCTGCTGGACAGCGACGTCGATCGTGTGTTGTAGGCATCACTGGAGAAGGACGACGACAACGTGGATCGGCTGCAGGAGCTGTGGGGACGCCGGTGCTGCTCCGTCTCGCGCAGTTCCCATGCCTCCGAGCCGCTGAAGGAGGAGATGAGAGATTGGGTGGCGACGAGGACACCCTCCACTGGTGAGGTCAGCATCGCTCGGGCATGCTTCACAAACGTCTTCGCGCTGTCCGCCGCAGCGTCCGTCGAGAGGCGGGAGGTGCACCGCTGCTGCTGCTGACGTCGCGCCTTCGCCTGCAAACGGCGGTGCTGCTCGGCAAAGCGGCCCTCGTAGTCGACTCCCTCGACCGTGCTTCGACCGCACACGCTCAGGTCAGAACCGCCGACGCTTCCCAGCGGGAGAGGTGGCGCGTCGTCGTCGTCAACCGCCTCGTCTGCTACGCCGTTGCCCATGTTGGGGTGCGCCAACGTCCTTGTTGTCTTGGGTGCCGGCCGCGCGGTGAGCCTGCGTGACGGCGGCGGCGGCGGCTGCGCCGATTCGTGAACCTGCTGGGAACGAAAGAGTAGCAGCCGTACTTTGCGACGCTCGTGACGACGACGGGCCTGCTGGCGTCTGATGCGGCGCATCGCCTCCTTCCGTGCAGCGGCTGCCACGGGGGTTGGGTCGCCAAATCGAAAGGGTCCATCGTGCAGCTCGCGCAGCAGGGCGACGGTGTTATCGGAGAAAGGGCACTGCACCACCGGGGAGGGGCCGGAGCGGTGCAGTCGACGTCGCAGGAGGACGCCGGCGTACACGACGCAGCCTGCCGCGCCGCCAAGTAGAAGACACGCTTTCAGACGCGTAAAAGAAGAATCGCTCAATCGCATCTTACCAACCATGTGAATGTTTGTCAATAACCCGTTTGAATCCGCTACGCCTCTGTCGCCGCTGCTGTTGCTGCTACTGTTGTTCTTTCTCTCCTTTCTTTCCTATTGAACTGCACTACTCGTGTGAGGACTGCAGCTACGATGAACGTGCTCTCTTCGGCCGTGCGCAGAGGTGGTACACAACGACAAGGCCAGAAGGTCTCGCAGTGGTGCACGGGGGCCGCGTAGAAGAACACAAGAAGAACAAAGAAGCTACTTGTGTGTGCGGGGAAGTGCTTCGTTCAGTCTTCCTTCTCCAAAGATATCTGCGTCAGATGGATTTATATAACTAGATGTGTGTGTGCAGAGGGAGGGAGAGAGACGCACGGCGGGTCCGCAGGAGAGCGCAAAAGACCGCACCGCAATCGGAGAGTTTTGCAGCTCGCCACAGCCCAATCGAGTTCGTTACAACAACAAGAAAAGAAAAGAAGAGTAACAGCACCAGAGGGAAAAACCAAGCAGAAGCGGAAAACTCAAAAGTTAATCCAGAAAACCAACGCTACCGGCTGAGATAGAAACCGGGGAAATCACCCTTTAAACACAAAAAAATCCACCAAATGAGAGAATTACTCGAAGACAATTACGTGGGGTTTGATTTAGGAAAATGAAGATGAAAATACTCAGCCGCCTCAAAAGCGTTACTGCTCGCCTTGTCGACGCGTCGTTACACCAATAATGGATCCTAAGAGCTATAAGAAGAAAAAAAACAGAAAGGAAAAGAAATCGTAGACGCCAATGTGTGAGAGAAATCGGCGTGAATTATATTCTTGTTTTGTTGTTGTTGTCGTTTTTTCCTGAATTCAAAAACGACTCGCTATCAGAAGACGAGAACACCAAGCAAGCGTGCAGGTATGTATTCCACACGATATCCTGTGAGGAGGAGAGACAGCAGCAGCACGGAAAAACAAACAGAAAGAAAAGTGATAAAGCAGCTGCGGTGATCGCAACAGTAATTTTTGTTTCTTCCTGTTCCCCTCGACCTTGGAGATAGTTTTCCTTTTCTTTTTAGTTCTTCTCTCTTCGTCCTTCCTTCGCTGTCTTGTCAGATTTAATGTACCCTTCCAGTTTAACGAAGACAAAGGAAAATGCTGTTTCAACGTGTTGACCACCCAGCTGATCTTCCCGAGGGAGAAAGAAGGAATGCAAGAGCGCAAAGTATCGGCTTCTTCGTCGCCTCTACGTCAACTCTGTTTTCACTGCTTGTTTGAGTTTTTCCTGAGGTGCAGCAATGCTTGCCGTACGCGTCGGAGGGGCGCGAGATGTTGAAGAGAACAAAAAAACAATGAAATGAAAGATGAGAGAGCGAACGCGTGACCGGAAGAGGGAGGGGGGTGTAGGGAGAGGCAAAGCAAAAACAGCCGGTGTGTGTGCGTGTGTGTGCGTGGAAACTAAACTGAACTAAAAAATACACACACGGACGAGAAAACTAAAGAATCGTGCAGCGGGAGGAGAGAGGAGGGGGGGGAAGAAGGCGGGGGCCACACGTTTTGCCGCCTACAAACAAAAACAGCAAGTTTTCTTTTTCTCTCTTTTGGCTTCTGGAGGCACGGCACGCATAACCGTTCGCTGCTCTCACGTTGAAGAAAGCCACGCAACACTAACGGCAGTACACTCACACACACACAGAGAGAGAGAGAGAAAGGAGGGGGAGGAGGTCAACAAAACTTTCTTTAGTGGGAATGTATGTGCTTGTTTTGCCGATGCGGCTGCTTAGGCTGACAGAGGGAAAGGGAACAGAAAGAAGGACAGAGAAAAACGGGAGAAGAGAAGATTGTTTCCAAGACAAGAAAAAAGATGGAGAGGGGTGCGAGAATGCGTTGCACGCGCCACGAGCGCCCCAGCAGGAGTCTGGCAGGAAAGAAACCTTCGTTGATGCGCGAGCCCGAAAACGCACTGCCAAACTCAAGCGGGGCAGTTGGACAAATTCTACTCCATCAAGAAGAAACCAACAAAACAGAGAAAACGAAGAATCCAAAGCAATGGGCATTTCTCCCTCCAACTTCAACTCGCTCTCTTTCTCCCTCTCTCTGTGTGTTTGAACGCATTCTTAATATAAATACGAGACGGTCGACGACGAAGCGCAGCGTGAACCGCGTAGGTCGCTCCTCTCACATCTGCGTTGAAATGTCTTCTTGTTTTCTTATATATATTTTTTTTATTATGATTTCTTAGGCGCAGCTTTCGAGGGGCTATCGCGCACTTAACGGTGTTCACTCGTGTTACAGTCTTCTTCTCTTCTTTGCAGACGTTCTTCTGCACCAGGAGTCCACATACGTACATCTATATAGATACATATCTAGATATGTATATCACCCATCATCAACGTCCTTCCCCGACAGCAGCCCTCTCAGCACCGGCAATTAGCCTATCTGCGTCGAGAGAGGGGTCGGACGCAGCGCTTCTACTCCGTCTTCGATGGCATCACCTGCCGCAGCAAACGGCTCACCAACGTGCCGGTCTCCCCAGCGACGCGAGAAACCACGCTGAACATTTGTGCGTCGCCGTAGTCGTCGTCCGCTGCCTCGCCGCCTTTTGCATCTTCCTTCGCTGCTGTGTCCGCCTTCGCCCGCTTGCTGGTCATCGACGCTGTTGCGTGCGCGCGCGGAGCGCCTGGGGCGGGAGGAGACGTCTCTCGAGCCCGCTTCTTGCTAGCGATGCTTGTCGCGGAGCTTTCTGACTTCGCAACCTCCGAAGCCTCCATAACAGCAGCAGCAGCAGCGCTCAGCTTCTTGTTGCGCTCCAGCGTGGCGAGCTCCTGCAGTTTCTTAATGTACTCCGTGATTCGTTCTATCTTCAGCACGAGCTGCGTGTCGGTGTTCGGTGGCGGCCCGGCCGGCGCATCGCTGCGGTGGCGCGTACCAGCGCCGGTGAGTCGAGGTGCCGCCGCAGCAGCAGTGCCACCGACAGCAATCTGACGATGTGTAATCTTATCCAAAGAGTAAAGGGAGAGCGCCAGGGTGAAGGCGGCAGAGAGGTACAACCGTGCCTGCTCATCCACGGAGTAGTAGGAAAGGATGGTGTCCTCATCGAGACGGCGCAGCGCAGGGAGGAGATCCACCCGCATCACGGCGATACGCCTGGCCATCTCCTGCAGTGTCGGCTCCACCTCGCTGTCCACGTCCATCTATCTCCTTTACTGCTTCTTCGATATGTGTTGCAAAGCCGCGGCAGCGACGAATTGATAGACCTGCTTCCCCAACAACAATGTTGTGTGGAAGGGGGAGTGAAAATGTATTTTGCCGGCGTGGGTTACTATAAAGAAAGAAAAAAAGGAATCTAGAGAAGATGAATGATGTGGATTGTTGACGTCAGCAACCAAAATTGCGCCGCAGTGACGGATCAGACCATGGTCAACGCTGCTACTGTTCTTTGACGTTTTGGGGATAGAACGAATGCGTGACCGCTGACGGCAAACCGCCAGTGTAAATATATGTATGTACGTAGCTTCTCTCGGCTCTGTTGGCCGTCATGCTCACCGCCCCAGCGGCAAGGGCGACAGGTTGACCGTGCTAAGGAAGACGAAGAGCAGCATCGCCTACGTCCCCCCCCCTCCTTCCTTCCTTCCTTCCTTCCTTCGCTCTTTCCCATGTGGCGGTCTTTTGCGTTTCGACTCGCTTGCGTGTGTCGTTTCATGCTTGCCGCCTTCGCTCCAGAGAAAAAAAACAAAAGCAATTCCAGATCGCGGCATCACCATTCGCCGCGAATAATAATAATAGTAGTAGTAGTAGTAGTAGTAGTAGTAGTAATAGAGCCTGCATCAGCATGGCAACGAGAACCAGGGCAACAGCAGAGCGTCACTTACAACTGTAAAGACGACAAACTCAGAATAGAAACAAATACGGCAGCGGGTGTGAAAGAAGGAAAGAGGAGGGAGAAACAGAACCCTCCAAAAAAAAACCGTTCGAATCATTCGATCATCTTCCTCCGCTTTCGCTCGTCCTTAAAGGACTTACTTAGTCGAGAACGACGGAGCTTTCGAAACCGAGCTGCCATCAGTAGCAGGTGCCTGCTGCTGCTGCTGCTGCTGCTGCGCACGGTAGTACTCCCACGCGTCCGGGTGCGCCAGCGCCTTCTTCTTCGCCTCCTCCTGGAACTGCTGCGCCCGAAGCGTGTTCGGTGACTCGGGAGCCGTCTGCGCGGTTTGGCCGCGTCCAAAAGTGAACGCAGAAAAGAAGCCGCGTCGCTTCGTGGCGGTGGTGGTGCTTGTGACTCCCACGCTGGCTGCGCTCGACTGCGACGCAGCCACTTCCTCTAGCGAGGTGAGCGACAGCTTAGACTGACGCGCATCCGATAGCGCCGTCGTCCCCGTTGTGTCCCTGCTCTTACTGGCTGCGTCTTCGTTAATGCAACGCGTGGGCGATAGAGGCGACGAGGACGCCCGCTCCTGCGCCTTCACCGCCGCGGCGTCGTCCCGCAAGGAACGCGCACTGTTATCCGCGCCAGCAGCGAAGTCAGGGAATGTGGAGGCGAAGGAGCGTGCTGAACGGCCGGTCCCCACGCCTGCGTTGTGCGCATCCACGGTGCCACCCGTGCGGAGGGTGGCAGCCTTCACCGCAGCGACGGCGTCTTCTGTCGAGTTTCGTACAGTCAGCCCTTGGCCTTGAATGTGCGCTGGATGACTCAGGTCGCTTGATGGATCAGACGTGCGTGCGCCGGCATTACCGGCGGTCACCTCCCTGCTGCTACTGCTACTGCTGCTGAAGGGCAGTAGGTGCTTGTCCGGAGAGGCGCTTGCGCGCGACTCGCTGCTCGCCTCCGCACGTCGCGCGGACTGCACTGCCGACTCAGCGCCGGCAGGAGCGCGCACACTGCGCGGTTCCGCCTTCGCCGCCACCTTCACCGATGGTGCGATCAAGTCCCTTGGGTCCATGCGCCAGTAGGCGAACGACGAGAAGTCCGGATCGACCGGTACCTCCTCCTACCTCGTAGTCCTCCACGCAGTCACCACCACCACCGCCACTATTACCACCACTGCCATCAAACCGCCCACGCTGTCCGTAGTTGTACGTGGGACCGTTCGACTGATGTCTGCTAGTGTTGTCGGCGCCGCCACTCGGTCCCCCACCACGTCCAGCCGCTAAAGAAGCCGCGTGTGACGGAGCTGCAGTGGTTGCGGAGGCGGCTGTGAATGATGGGGCATTCGGCAACGCAGTGCCAGCGAGGAGTCCTGAAGAAGAAGGCCCACCCGCTACCTCGGTCCCTTGCCCTGCTGGGGCAGCGGCAGCCGTCGTCTTCCCCATCGAAGTCGATGCCGGACCAGAGAAGCAGCTGTACTCGGTAGAGCCAACCTCCCATGACGCAGTCGGTTTCGCGCGCGACGCGGACAACGGTGGTGCTGCACCGCCTGCTGGGACGGCCGCTGCCTTTGTAGCGGAAGAGAGAGCGCCATACGTGGCGGACGACAACGACGAAGGGGTTGCCGGACCACGTTCCCCGGCGTGCGTGGCAGCGGTCCTCGTGTTGGAGGGCGCAACCGCAGCGGAGGTCCTCGCGGCCGCCCCTCCATCGCTGCTGCTGCCGCTGCTCTCGCCGTGCGCCGCGACAACGAACGAATCAACAAGGCTAAAGGCCACAGACGCGGGACGCACCGCGTTGTACGCCTCACCGCTGCCGTGACTGTGGTGATGGTGATGGTGCTGCTGCTCATGAGGTGGTGGTGGCCCGCCGGACGCCAACGTCGCGGACGCGGACCCCATCGAACACTCCAGCGACGCGCTGCCGTGCTCCTGCGGGTCTGAGGAGTAATCGCCGGAGGGCGCCTCAGAGCACGAGGAGGAGGAGGACGACGACGACGACGACGCAGATGAAGAGCGATGCAGCAAATCGCGGGCGTAGGCGTGTCGCTCCATTCCTCGCCGCGCGTCCTTGCCCGCTTCACCTTCGGCGGGAGCGTGGCCGTCGTCTTTGTGCTTGCTGGCGGGTTCGCTTAACTGCTGTGGGCGCCGCGGCAATGGCGGGGCGCGCAGCACCACCGGGTTGCGCCTCAGCGGAGGGAAGGTTACATCGACCAGGTGGCCCAAGTCGCGGTAGGTCTGCCTCACAAGGCACACGTGGAGGACACTGGACGGGTCAATGATGAAGATCTTGTGTGTCGGGATGCCGACGGCGTCGTAGCTGATCACGTCGTTGTAGCGATTGCCGAAGCCGGCGAAGAAGGGCTTCGTGTGGGGCGGAAAGGCAGCGCGCACGCTCGTCAGACACGCGATCTTGAAGACGTGTGACTGCTTCGACACCTCCTGCGTCAGCGCGGTGAAGAAGCGCTGGGGTGCCGTCAGCACCGGCCCCAGCGGCAGCCCCACGCCGTCCTGCTGCAAGGTGAAGAGGTACGCCTTGGTCTGATTGATCTGTGAGACGCTGCGCGCCGTCAGGTACACCATGCGGTAGCCGTTCCGCGCGATCTTCGAGTACAAGGTGCATATCCCGGGGTGGGTCCAGTCCCCGCCTTTGCCCAGCATCGCATAGAAGTGGCCCCACAAGTCGCTCTTCGTGATGGTGCCGTCCACGTCGCTCACGACCAGGCGATCTGTCCAGTTCCACAGGAAGATGTTGCACGCGATGGAGACGACTTCGCCCTTGTCTTTGCGGGCGAGGTAGCGCACCTTGTTGCACCCATCCCTCAGATGCAGCTTCCACAGGTCCGCCTCTACAGGAATGAGGGTGCGGGTAAAGTACGAACCACCACCACCACCTCCCTCCGCCGCATCAGCAGCAGCAACAGCAGCGGCGGCGACGACAGCCGATGACGGGTGGTGCACCACCCGTCCTTCAGCATCCAACACCTCCGTCACGTCGTCGACTGCGGTGTCGGCCTTGGCCCTCGTTGCGGGTGCTGTCGGAGCTGCTGAAAGCGCTGAGACGCCGCCGCCACCACCAGCCTTCCCCGGATTTAACGGCGAGTCGTGCTGTGCTGACGTAGAAATCGCATGTGCTGCTGGCGTTGATATCGCTGCTGCCGTTGCTGCAACGACAGCAGCGTCACCCGTCGTGCGCCCCGCCGGCGACGTCTTCGAGACATCACTGCCGGAGCCGCTCATCACAGCGTCCGTAATCGACACCCCGCTCGTCACGCTGCTCGAGAAGGACACGTTCTTCAGCAGCTCCTCCTCGCCGTACATCGCCGCGTACTCATCAGCGTCGATCGTCTCGAGGAAGTAATCGTCGGTGTCTTCGACTTTGTAGCTGTCGGTGCTGCCGGAAGCCGAACCCACGGAAGACACCTCGGCATCATCAACGGGCGCGGCGGCGGCTGACGGGCTCTTGTGATGTGGTGATGGAGAAGCGGCAGAAGCGGTGGGTGGTACCGGCACGGCCACTTCGCCGTCAATCCCAGCAGATGTTGCGGCTGTTGCAGTGGGTCCTGCCTCTGCCGGCACAGCAGCGGCAGCAGCGACAGCAGCCTTCTTCTCCTTGTCCTCCGATGAGCTCTCCGCGTTCCACGTCTGCGGGTTTCTTTCTGTGCCAACCTGTCCTTCATCTTTTCGATGAGTGGCCTCTTGGACATCTGCTGTCGCTGCCGCTGCTGCGCCCCCAGTCGTCGCATCCAGCTGCCCCTCCTCTTCCTCCGCCGACTGAAGAAAGAAAGAGTCCTCCTTCAAGAGCAGCTTAGAGAGACGCCGCCGCGACTTTTCCGCGGCGGCCATGACTTGCAAGGCCAGACGGGCCTCCTGCACATCTTCGGCCGAGTGGATGGCACGTGTCTCCACCACCAAGTCACCGTTGTCGCCTCTGTGCAGCAAAGGGAGACTACTCGTCGAGTCCAACGAGTTCGGCGAGGCGATTAGTTCGCTGGCGTCTGCCGGTGCCGGCCCAACCGGTGACGGGCCGTGGGATGTGGCTTTCATCGTATGCATCACCGCTGTCGTCGATAGTGCCGATGGTGGCACGGCTGAGAGGCGGGGAAGCTGCCCCGATTGTGGGTCAGTGACAGCGTTCTGATCGCCCTGGCGTGGCGATGTCTCGCTTGCCGACAGCTCCGGCGGGGACTCGGGGTGAATCGAGAAGTGCCGCAAGTCGGCCGCGTTGACCACCAGCGGCGGGTTTGCCTCGCCGCCGGGAAGGCCGCCGTTGTGGTGGTCATCGTTGCTGCGGCTGCTGTGCTGCCTCGGCATATCGCGGTTGGCGTGGACTTTTGCGGCAGCAACAGCAGCAGCGGCAGCGGCAGCCGCTGCTGCTGTTGCTGCCGTCGTCCGGCCCCTTTCCTCTGTCGCGTTCGTCGAGGCCCTGACGGAGTCGCGATGCGGATGCGCGTGGTGCCCGAAGGCGCCATACGTCGGCTGCAACCAGTACGTCTCCCCGCCCTTGCCGATCTTCATGACGGCCGATGTCAGTTCGCCGTTCACCTCCACCTGCACCACGCGGCCGGCGGTGCTCCACATCTGCCGCCGGCCAAAGCGCACGTTGAAGGGTGTGCTGTGCAAGGAGCCGTCCCGGTGGCGAATGACGATGACATCGTTGGCGCGACTGGATTGGTCAAGGTGGTTTAGGTTCAGCAGTCCGCCCAATGTAGAAATCATGGTGCTCTCCTTGCGAGAGGGGAGGAGGGGAGGAGGAGAGAAGGCACCTATCAGGAAGGCTAGACGCGGCGCAGGTGTGCAACGAGGTCAGATATGATAGCCCCCACCTACTTCCACAGAGAACAATACTAGTAGTAATAATAGTAGTAGTAATAATCAGTCGCGAAGGTAATTCAACGTGGTGTATGTGTGATGCTGATGCTACTTCGTGAAAGGGCCAGAAAGAAAAAGGAAAGAGAAAAAAGGCCTTGCAAATACAACGAGAAAGTTCGCTTTCAGTAAAAGGCAGAGAGACAGATAAAAATATTAAGTGGGCGCTGAGTGAGCTTACGTTTGCCTCCCCCGCCAAACTTGCAGGCGACGGTGTTCGTTCAAAAGAGACTTCGAAGAGAAAAAAAGAACCGCAAGAGAAAAAAAAAATATATATATATATAGGTAGAGCTAAGTCGTCAACGACAACGGCACAGGAGAACAGATAAGAAGACTGTTTCGTGAACAGTTCTTTGCAGCGGTTTTCTCGGGTGTCGGGGACCACTTGGTATCAGAGAGCAGCGTCAGCTCAAACCATTTATCCACCGGGGTATGAATAAATGAATGGGTCTTCTGCCTCCTTTCTTAAGCAAACGCCCTCTCGTAATCCCGCGAGCGGCGACGTGAAACGAGCCAGCTTGGATTAGTATGATGCGTCCTTCTGTGGTAGGAAGTGCGGGTCAACCTCTGCAATGTATGCGCAGCGTTGTCCGTGAACTCGGAAGGCCCAAGAAACCCAAGAGAAGGAGAACAAAGGAAAAGGGAGATGAACGAAGCGGCTCTGCTCGACCTGCGCACACGCGTTGAGGCTTCAAAGAAAGCACCCACACACACACACGCAATGCAACAAAAAGAAATGGACTGTGAGTAACACCTCTTCTTTCCCCCTCTCCCTGTGATGTTGGTGTCGTTGTAGATGCAGCGGAGCCGGGGCGCTGAAAGCGAAGTCCAAAGAGTAAGAATGGATGAATAGAAATGTATAGGAGTTCGTTTACAAAGCAAAATTGTGTAGAAAATCTATCTTCCGATTTGTTTACCGCAGAACCGCAGCGGGGTGGCCGATGGTACGCAACACAGGACGAAATGAAGTACATAAATATATAAGCATAGGAAGAGCCGGGGAGAAGAAAGAGGAGGAGAAGAGGCGAGGTGCGGCGGCTTTTTCAGGTTTTCGTTCACGGTGTCATGAAATCAAAAGAAAACGTGGACAAGCACGTGTTCAGCGCGCTCTGCGATTTTTGCAGGCGTGGAAAACACCCTGCTCCCCTCACGCAGCATCCACACCGCACGCAGCGGCGTGGTGGCGACATCAGCGACTCTGCGTTCGCTGAGATACGATTCTTCTTGCGGGTCGGTGCAAGCTTGTCTATACGCCTGCGGCGGCCATCTGGAGAGCACTGGAGAAGAAAGGTAGAAGAGAAGAATTAAAAAAGCGGTAGAACAGGGTACACGACAGAACACAAGCAGCCATTATGCACGTATATGAAGTGCACACGCACACAGCAAAGGTGGAGAAGAAAAGATCATTGTTAAGAAAACAAATGTGTGATTCTTGAAAGAAAGCCGCAAGAGAGAGAGAAAGCGGAAGACCGCCCAGTGGCAGGCATGGTCATCGCCTGCCGGCCAAACGCGCGGCCGGAGAACTCCCCGTCATCTTTCTCCGCCGACTCGGCTGCACCGGTATCCTCTTTCTTCTGATCAGCCCCCCTCTTTCTGTACTTCCCTTGCCCCTCTTCACTTCACAATCCGCAAAAGGACACCCAAGACGAGCAAAAGCACCAGCAGGCACGCCACATAAACGCAAATGGAGGAGTCGTTCATCTCCTGAATGGCTCGGCGCAGGCGGCGGTTCATATGCGCTATTTCCGCCTCGTTCTCGTCGATGCGCGTCGACGTGCCCTGCAGCAGGTGCTCCTGCACCGTCAGCTCATCCTGCATCCCACGTGCGCCGTCGAGCAAACGCGCGAGGCCACCACCTAGTCGGTCCAGCGCGGCATCCATGAGCTCATCATTCGCCTGCACCGACGCAAAGAACTCTTGAAACTCCGCATCCTCGCGTGCGTTGCGGAGCTGCAGCGCCTGCAGCGGTGGCGGCGCCAACGCCTCCCCGCCGTCGCCGTCACGATTGTCGTGGTTGCTGGGGTAGTTCCAATTACCCGTACTCGCGGGCGCTTCCCGATCGGCGCCGTGTCTCCCGGTCGCACCATTACCGCTGCCGTTGCCGCCTTCCACCTCCCTCTCTGTCGCCACCACGCCACTGGGAAGCGGATTGGCGCCACTGCCAAAGTACGACATGCTCCCCACCGATTGCCGCGGCTGGGCCGGCTGGTTCAGCTGCAGCGATGACGACGCGGCTGGGGTGGCCAATGATGACACAACGCTAATGCCGAACACGGCTCGGTACCACAACTTCGCCACCTCCACGTGCCGTTCCGCGCGCTGCCAGTCCAGAGCGTCGAGCGCGGCGGTAGAGGATGAAGGCACCGCCGCCTCCACGCTCGTGTCCGCCGCGCCCCCGCTCACGCTCGAAGACGACTTGGCGAGACGGGCGGCCTCGCGTTGAAGCTGTTGAAGCCGCTGGTGTGCGCGACGTGCGTGTTGCCGTGCGCGCAGCAGCTCCTGCTCCAGCAGCGCAGCCTCACCGGTGCGTCGTGCGGGAGGCTGCCGTCGAGGCCGTGACGGAGGATGGCTTCGGCCACCCAGCAACTGTGCCCGTTCATCGTCGACGTCGCTCGCACCGGCTGCCTCGCCTTCCGACTCTTCTCGCTCCTCGCGGGAGGTGGACGTCGGCAAAAGAGGGCCGTACCGACCGCCGGAGGTGCTTGTCGTGTCTCCGCTGAGCGTGTACTGGATTTCCTCTACGTCCCGGAGGGCGTCACGCAGCTCGGCGACGCACTCCAGACACACATACTCGGCTCGCTTGTACGGAGAAAGCTTGGCGAGTTGGTGTTCGCGGGTGGCTTCCTTCAAGCGGTGTCCTTCGAAGAGACTGTGTGCGTTGCTGCCGGGGGCATTGCCGCTCGTGCTGCTGAGAGACGCCTGCAACGTCTCCAGCGCACGCAGTGACCGCTTCATCGCTAAAGTGTTCGACGCGGCTCCGTTACGCTTTCTGCTGGTTTTTGTCTCACTGTTCAAGTTTTCCCACGTGAGCTGCACACGCGCGTCCACGTTGTGAAGAGGAGCGGAGAAGACATCAGAAGGAAGTGAGGTCAGAGAAGACGGGCGCACACAGCGGAGAAACTGCGAGAACACACACGCACACAGCGATAGACGCAAGCTCCGTATAATTCATCCCTTCACAAGTAGCGATTGAAAACACCCCCGACGAGAAGATGACGATGAAAAGCGTAAAGAGAAGGAGAAGGGACCTCACGCCGCGGCATCGTCCAGCCTCCATGCAAAGAGGCACTTTACTGTCATTGCTCTTCTTCGCTATTTACTTATCTGATTGGTTGGTCGGTGATGATGATGTTCTTCATGATTATTACTTGTGTGTAGATGTGAAAAAGGGGGAAAAAACGGCCACGATATATACGCCATGAATGCCGCCCATGCGCGTTGCCCTTCTCGTGCGAGAACCCGCTAGATGCACAATCCGCTTACAACCGGCCCCACACACACACACACACCCTCCACGTACACCACTACTACAACGCGGACGCCTCAATCAACCGCAGCAGCGCCGTCACCGTCGTGGACGAAGGCTGCAGTTCCGCAGCCGAGACCGCTGTCATCCACTGACCTACCGTCAACACGTTGCTTTTCCCTGGTTCCGTCGCCGCTGCTGCAGCGTCCACGTTCATCACTGGAGGTGGGGCTTCGAACGCGGACGCGTCCGCCAACACAATCGTGAGGGTGCGGGCAACAGCGGCGGACAAGAAGGACTCGGAGACATCGAGGGCCATGCCTGCTGCCTCGGCTGGCCGGGTGCGCTGCGACTGATCTGCGGCGTCCTTTCCCTTCTCCGCCACCACGGATGCGACGCCGCGCAGGCGTGGAGTGTGCAGGCGGGAGAGCAGCCACACCAGCTGGGCCGTGGTGACGCGCTCCACGTCGTTGGCGAGCAAGACGCCTACGCTAGACAGCAGCCGGCGAATCTCAAAGGCGATTGCACGCGCAGACGCCGCGGTTGGAGCAGCACCGGTAGTGGATGCGGTCGTGGCCGGCGCATCACCGGCATCCATCACGTCCACGTAGCGCTGGAGAAGATCCTGAGTCACACGCACCACCTCCCGCTGCGACGCACTAGGCAGCAGATCGGTCAGCGTCTCCATCAACACACGTGCTTGCATGACTTTGGTCTCGGACTCTCTCGTGTGCGGCGCGGCTGCAGCGGAGGCGACGGTGGCCTCCGTCATAGACCGAGACGCGCCATCAGCGTCGGGCAGCCTTAGCAACAACCCCAGCAGCTGTGCTACATCATCGCTGCGCATGAGCTCTAATCGCTGATGTACCTGGCGCACATAATCATCCGCCGTCGTGCTGGCCGTTTCCGGTTCAGGGTTCCCGCTCCCTGCCATCTGAACGCTGGTGCTCGTGTTCGCCGCGGGCACGAGCAGAGGCCGGGAGAGGCTCTCCGGCTCGCCGAAGACACACTCCACAACGCGTTGGTGCAGACGCAGCAGCCGCTCCTGCCAGTACACGTCTGGATCCATTCTACCCATCTTCTCGTCCTCCCCATCATCAGGGCTCTCTCTCCCAGCTGATTTCGCCCCTTCGGAAGTGCGGATAGCCCACTCCGCCTCCTGCGCGGAGATCAGCATCCCGGCCCGCCGCATCAATGCTGCACGGCGTGCTCGCCTGGCCATCTCGGCCGCCACAACGTTCTTCTTTCCGTCTGCGGTCACCGTCGTGGCGGTTTGGAACGCACGTACGGTCCAGACGAGGGGCTCCATTCGCGCCGCATCATCATTGAAAACCGCGGAAGAAACGGAAGAAGAGGAGGCAGCACCGCCACTCACGGGGCCCGCGTCCAGCCAATCTGCGCTGCTGCTGCCGCTGCTGCTGCTGCAGTTGTGCTGGTGGGGGTAGCTGCTCGGAACACCACGCATGTAGGGGGCGTACATCTCCAAAACGAGATGCAGATTCATCACCACAAGGCGCTGCGGCGGCGGCGGCGGATGATGATGAGGTTGTGGTGCTGATGGCTCATCCCCTCCAACGCGTGCCGCGGTAGCCGAGGGCGAAGCCCGCCAAACCTCCCCGACGTGGTGCAGCATGGCATCGATGCCGCCGTGGAAAACATCACGCTGCAGCGGTGCCTCCACAGGGGAGGCGACGGGGAGCGCCTTCCCCCGGCGCGATCGCCACGCCTCCCGTAACTGGCGCTCCATGACACCCGGGTCGACGTGGTAGATCACCCGTAGCAGCCGCGCAATGGGTTGCCAATCCAGCACCAGCGGACCCGCAGCACACAAGTCTGCGAACTGGTCTTCCTGCGGCGTCTCCGCGGTGCGGCGGAACGGATCGACCGCGTTGGCCTCTTTCCCTTCCGCGGCTTCCTCCGGTGGGCTCTCGGCAGCGTCGAGCTCGTCGCCTCCGATGTCCCCCACTTGCGCCGAGGGCCCCGTGGCGGCGGCGACTGCTGCTGCCCCCGCATGGCGGCCCTCCCGCACCCCCGCGCCAGAAACGTTTCCACCGCTTTCATTTGCAGCGGTCGCCGTAAGATCGCGCTGACGGGAGGCGGCATTTCCCTCCCGTACGTCGCGTTGTTGTGGCTGTTGCTGCTTCTGCCGCTGCTGCTGCGCCGCTCCACCTTTAGCCTGATACAGCCACGCTGCCTCTCGGCTCAGCACGGCGAGGAACTCCTGTTCCTTGGCACTCGCGAGCTGGTCTAGTACTTCGCCGGCTGCCTTCAAGAACGGCTGCAGCGCGGCTTCGCGCAGCACCGAGTTGACGGAGGCGTAACGCAGAAGAACGGCGTAGGTCGATGCACTCGAGGGAGATGGCGACGACTCCTGCGCCGCATCGAGCGCGGCCGTGTCCGCGGCACCGAGACCCGTGCGAGCGAGCAAGACCTCTTCGGCTTGTCGCCCCGTGGAACGACGATTCCACCAGTGCCGTTGCAGGAGGTCCGCCGTGAAGGTCAGCAAGACGCTCGGGGACATGATGTCGTGCACAAGGGTCTGCGTCGACGCCGCGTCCAGCGTCAGCACGACCGTGCCCAACGTTATACGCTCTCGATAGACATCAGTCGACTCCATTACACCAATCGCCCACGGAACGCTAGCGCCGTTTACCTCCACGTCCGCACGTTGCCGCACCTCATGGGAGGTCCCAGCAGTCTCGGTCAGTGTGGAGAACAACGCGGCACCACGTTGCTGTCTCTGCAGTTGTATCTCCTTTATCCGTCGCAGTTTTAACCTTCGCTGGTACGGTATGTACACGCCATGACGGAGGTCGCGATAGAAAAACTCACGCCACTGCGACAACGACAGCTGTCGAAGCAGCAGGTGCCCAACCGGGGAGAGGGCAGTGCGCGGTGTCTCGCGGGACGCAGGATCGGGGGCAGGATCCCTGTGCTGCTTCGCTGCAGCGTCCGTGCGCCGGGAAGCCGAGGCGGCAACTCGGAGACAAGGAGGTGGCCGTGCGTGCACCCCATCCCAACCTGCCGAGACTACAGCTGTCGTCGTCAGCAGTCGAAAAATCAGGTACACAAGGGTGTTATGCAATCTGCGGTGGCGGCGCACCGTAAAAATCTGAAGGAGCCGCAGCAGCATCGCCGGATCGGTCAGGCGAAGCGGCTGCCAGTGCAGCGGAACCATCAAGTGACGGTAGAGCTCTCCGGAAAGGTATCCGAGGGCACGCCGGTGCGCCCGGCCTACCTGCACACGCGTATCGTCCTTTCTAAGCAACGTCACCGGAGCGCTGCTGCCGGGCAAGAGCCTGCGCAGCTCCCCGGTTGCTTCACCTTCCTTGTCCGTCGCACCGCTTGTTTGCTCCTCCTCCTCTTCCTCCGCCGCCGCCGCTGCCGCTGCCTGGCTGTCCACGGAAGCCCACACAAGGGATGAAGCCTGCGCCTGCCCGGCCACCATCACCATGGAAGACACTATCGCGGCCACGCAGCGGGCGTGCTCTTCAAATTGATTCGAACCACCGGAGAACATAGAACGAATGGGTATGTGCTTTGGACCACCAACAACGGAGGATTCGGACGAGGAGATGAATCGCCTCCCGCGACCGGCGCGCCGGGGATCGGTCGCCCGCCCGGTAAAGGCTGCCTGAATAACGTTGAGTACCAGCCGTGGCTCCAGCCCACTCAGCACTTCCAAAAACAGCGGCAAATACGTGGCTTTGGGCAAGTCGAATAACATCTCTGAGGTGACCACGGTGTACAGCACGAACGGCTCCAACAGATCCAGCACCGCGTGCTGCGCAGGTGTCAGGCGAGGTGAACTCTGGTCTTGATCCCTCTCCTCATTATCCTCCAGCTGCGCCACAGCAGCGCGCTCGTCCCGCACCTGAGTCGCGAGGCCACTCAAGAACAGCAGCACGGGCACCGGTGGCAGCTGCATGGCGGCGATGCACATCGGCTCGTTGACGGAGCCCACCACAGTCAACAGGCCCTTCTCTAAAATCAAGCGAAGGTTCTGAAGGATGACGGGGACTGTGAGACGCTGCTGCTGCTGCCGCTGCCCGTCAAGCACCGCATCGTCGTGTTTGTCGGCACTCAGCGTCTGGACAGTGAAGTCGGCACATCGCTGGAAGAGACTGGGCCACGTCGAGGCAGCGGCCGCCCCGCCCGTCGTGCGCCGACTGCCGCGCTGCTTCCCATCGCCTCCGCCCGCCACCGCAGCGGCAGACGACGAGAGGTCGGGGCGAGACGCACTTGGGTCCGCCAACCAGAGCACGTGCAGCAGTTCGAAAAGGTCTTCCAGGGTGGTATTCGGCAAGTAGATGAGTCGCACGAAAAGTCGATAGAGCGTGTCCACGTAGCGATAGCGCAGACTCTGTGGGACAGTAACCCATTGCTGTGGGAGCGAACAGGCGTTGCTTGCCTGCCAGGCTTCCGCAAACGAGAGACTTTGTCTCTGCGCAGCAGCAGCGGATGACGACAACGTCGTCGTTGACCACCCGGAGGCGCCATCGGCTGAAGAGCGGCTACGGGGTGAGGGGGTCAGCGCCGCAGCCATTGCGTCGAGCTGCACCGCGGCGATGGGGGCGGTGGTGAGCGTGACAGGGTGGGAGAGAAACAGGTAGCGCACGACGTGCAGAAAGGTATCGAAAGACTCGCAGTGAGACACCAGCGCGTTCAGCGCCCGTTCCAAAAGAAGGGAGGTGTGTAACTCGATGGACGTCCCGGCCCCGGAGACACAACGGACGGTCGTGATGGGGCGCGGGAGGGTGGATGGCGCTATTGGGGCAACGCCATCGCAGTCCGAATCAGCACTGTCGCTGTGCTCGTCAAAAGCGTCCTCCAGAGAAGTAAAATCGTCGAGCACCGACGTCGATGGCCTCATGGTCACTTCGATTGCTGCCGCTGTTGTATCGGATGGGAAACAAGGCAAGCTCCTCGTTGGCGTGTGCCGTCGCAGCTCCAGCTTCAAGTACCAGGGCATCAACACCCACTCGTATACCTCAAAACTGCGATGTAGCAATGCGTGCTCGCGCGATACGCGAGAGTTCTCCTTCACGGTTGCCCGGGCGTCCCCATCGGGCTGCGCTTGCGCGCTTGTGGAATAGATTTTTTCCTCAAGGACATTCAAAATGGTCTGCTCCACCCAAGAGGCGCAAGCCGGCACTTGTGCCGTCGTCGCCGCTGCTGCGGCTGCGCCTTGCTGCTGCTGTTGCTGCTGTGCCGTCCACCACAGCTGATTCGACAAGAGTGCCGCCATCTCCCGCAGCGAAGACGCCCGCAGCCGCGCGACAAGCGCTTGTTGGAAAAGCGCCAGTAGCTGTTGAGGAAGCAAAGCCTCGCCGCAAGAACGGCGACTACTACGACTACTGCCGTTTGATGACCCTTGCCGCGCTGCATTGCCTTCGCTTTGAGTTACATGCCCCCTCGGCCACACTGCCTCTGCTAACATGGACAGTTCCAGCAGCGCTTCCAGGCTGGAGGCGAGATCATCGGCAGCGCGATCCCCTCCTCGCCGCGGCGCACCACAGGAGGCAGGTGCATTCCCTTCTTCGGTGTTCTCCTCGTCCTTTGCTGTCACGCCCACTGTAGTGTGCGTTGATCGTCGCGTGCGAAGACGATCCTGCAGCACGGACTCGCACTCCGCCAGACAACATCGCAGGACAGTGCGGCAGCGGGCGATGTGTGCATACCTCGAAGTCGTCCGAGGACTCCTAAAAGGTGCCCACACCACGAGCGTCTGCTGCGCCGCCTTCGCACGCTCGCTGGGGTGCTGCACGCTGCGGCCGCTACTGTTGCTGCTGCTGGTACCGGGGGCCGTTTCCGCAAGCTGCGCGTTTGATTCACGTGTGGCGGCCAACAAGGAAAGGTAAAGCGTCACCAGCGCCTCCAGCGACGCGGGCGGGTCTCCTTCGAAGAGCGCGTCAGCCCCCCGCTCCTGCCACGTACCTCCCGCGACTTCCGTGGCGTCCGCGGCCTTCGCCTTCTCTGTCTTCGTCGTCGTGGTCGCCATCGTCCCTTGAAGAGGCGCGTCTGTCGGTAATGTCGAGAGCTGGGACGCGGCGACGCGGTCTTGCGGTGCGAAGAGCATGCGATGCGACGCGCGCAGCAGCAGCTCCAGCGGCCCCATCCCGTCCCACACCGGGAGATGCAGTTCACAACCCTGTAACCCGATCACGGTGCTCTGATCTGTGCCACGGTGCACACCATCTAACTGACTGCTGCTGTTGCTGTTGCTGTTAGTACGCGTATTCCTGCTCCCCGCGTTGTTGCTGGACGGCGACGCAGCCATCGATTTGCGTTGCTCTGCCAGACAGGTGATGTTCAACGCGCGCAGAAGTGTGGCGGTATCGTGCAGCGAGAACGAACTCTCGCGCCACGTGGGCAGCCAGAACAGGGTACTCTCCCTCAAGTCTCGCAGCAGCGGCACGGTCTCTCCGCTCGCGTCACCGGTCCGCTGTTCTGCGGATCTGTCCACGGAAGTCCGTTGAGGGTTCGCTTCCTCTGATTTCCGCAGTGCCAGGGCTGAAGTGGAGCACAGTCGGTTGGTGGGCGTCACGTACAGACCCAGCGGGTTGATGCGCGCCATCCAGTGGATGAGGACAGTGGGAGGGGAGGACACTCGCTGAACACACTGCTGCACCGCCAGCCTGGCGCCGGCATCCCTCGACGAGGGCGACAGCAAAGGGGACGATGTTGCAGAAAAGGGAGAGGAAGAAGCCCCTCCGAGAGAACTATCGGCGCCATCGCACGGCGCATCCGCGCTGGCCGGCTTCATCAGCACGGTGGGCAGCCCCATCGAGGCCACGTAAAGACGCATTTCCCGCGTAGCAAAGAACAGCTCCTCCGAGCCGGACAACACGTCGGACACGAACGGCGTGGCGCGCCACTCACGCAGCAGCGACAGCGCGGCATGTGTGCGGCCGCCTACGCTGGGGATAGCAAGATAGTTTGTAATGTGGTCCATGATGCGCAGCAGCTTCATCATTATGTCAGGAGTGACGGTTGCGATGCTGTTACCCAACTGGTCGTGCAGCCACGACTGGACGAAGAGCGGCGCCTGAAGAAGGAGGTAAAAATGATCCGCCCTGTCGGGGCTCACGGCGGCACTCTTCGCCTTGCGTGTCTCGGCGAGGGGCGCCACGGCGCCGTCGTTGCCGGAGCTCCACCCGCCTTCCTCGTCAGACGATACCCACAATTGCAGCTCGGTGGACTTGCGCTCCCGCTTGACGTCGTTGGGATTCACGCTGCTGCAAAGCACCGCACGATTGACGGACCCATCGCCGCCGCCGAATGGTAACACGCCAGCGGAGGGAATGGACTTCCAAAACTCCTGTCGCATCAGCTTCCTCCAGCACTCTTCCATAAACGCGCCAAACAGAAGAACATCGGTGGTGGCAGACGTCGGTGCGGTGTAGCACACGACGCCCTGCCGCGACGCTGGTGGCTCTCTGTTGGAGGCGCGGGTTGGGGTGCTGCCGGTGCTCCCCGACAGCTCACGCGGCCAGTGCGAGAAGATCTGATCGAGTGGCGCCGCGGTCGAGAGGAACGTGCCTGTCACCTGCTTCATCAGGTACCGAAATGTGGAACGCAGCAGTCGGCGCGTCATTCGTTCAAAGGCGGTTCCGTCGGGGTAGGCAGCGAGAAAGAGCTGATGGAGGCGTGCGTGGACACGGTAGTCTAACGTAGTTGTCGTCGTCGTCGTCCCGTCACGTTGTGGCGGTGCCTCGTCTTTTGGCGCGGCAGCCACGGCTCCACGATCGTTTTCGCCCGCCTCTGCTTCTCTGCCGTTCAGCCCGGACGACGCCGTCGGCGCCGCTGCTCCACTGCCCACGTCCCTTAACATCAGCGCGGACGGCGTGTGCGGGTACCGTAGGATGTGCGCCACCGCGTGCGCGACAGCAGGCAGTTGCGTGGTGCGACAGAGAGGTGCCCAGTGCAGTGCGACCTGCAGCAACGTTAAGCTCGCCTGCGCTATCGCGTTCACGTAATCTTCAAGACGCATCTCCGCGTGCGAAGGGGTTGCATGGTGCGCTGCCTCACTCGGCGTCCCCTCACTCGTTCTACCTTCGCGAGGATGTACGCCAGCGGTGTCAATGAGAAGCTGCAGGGCGTGGTCGTGGTAGCAGAACTTTAACGTTGAGATGTGCGGCTCTAAATTGAAGTTGCGCGGAAAAGAAAACGGCGGAAGCGCGGTTTTATGTGCCGTTGTCGTGGCGCTCCTGTCAGTTAGACGGCCGTGGCTTTTGTGGTGACTCAGCAGGGTTTTCGCCCCACACGACCGAGCCACAGCAGGCTGTGCAGCTGAAGGGTTGCCTATTAATGTTGTTGGTTGCCCTGGCACCGCTGACGCAGACGCGTCGCGTAGATCCTTTCGCGACTGAAACCGTGCCGGGTGAGGTGCGGGGGTGCGTGCAAGACGTGCCGGACCACCACCACCACTACCACTGTCACCAGCGGTGCGATGCGCACCGTCTTGTGCATGTGCAGCCCCTTCCATTTCTCCCCCTTCACCTCCTTCGCTGTCCTCGCCACCACGGAGAGAAAGCAGAGCCGCGCGGTTTTCGCTGGCGCGTCGCAACGTCTTCTCCAGCAGCCCACTGCGCGGCCCTGCGATGCGGTCCGCCGTGGATGCGACGCTCGACAGAGTGATGGCGAAGGCACGCAGCGGTAGTCCGTCTAAGTGCTGTATCGACCCCTCCGCCAGTTCACCCTTCGTATCAGGGGTGGTTGCGATGGTCTGAAAAGGGTGAAAATAGAATTGATCACCCCGGTGGTCGTGCTGGTGGCGGCGGCTGCCGCGAGGGTGCGCGCTCGGCCGGACCACTCCTCGTTGCAGGAGGGTGCGATACAGCACGGAGAGCAGCACCGCAAACGTTTCCTGCTCTGCCCCCGACAAGGATGGCAGGCAGCTGTCGTTGAGCGTGACGGGGGGCGGCGGGAGCGCGTTCGCTGCACGCAAATTCGTTGGAGACTCGTTCGCCTTACATTCCTCTTCGGTGCCTGTGCTTGCGATGGTGGTGGTGCTCGTGGTGGCGGTGGCGGCGGCGGCGGCGGCAACAGCAGCGTCGTATCGGCGCCCAACCTCTTCACAGAATTGCCGCAGCTCATTGAAGAGCGACGGGAGAAGGTAGTTGTGCAGGTAGGTGTCCAAGTCCGCGTTTCTCGGTAGATAGTCGAATTGATGAGACGTTAAAGAGCTCACGTCGCTGACGCGCGGTGCGTGCCTTGCCGACACGGAGGCAGCACCGTCGTGGAGATTGCTGTCCGTTGGCGGGTTCTCGGACGAAGAAGACGTGGCGTCTGCAGACGGTGCTTTCAGGCGGTGAAGCCTCAGCAGCTGCCGCCGCGCGGGTACCAACAGCGTCTCGCGTAGACGCGCCCGCCGCTTCGCGACTTGCTGTGACTGCAGCATCGCCATGGCAAAGCGGGCCCTCTCTCCTATCCGCTTGGCGTTCTGTTGAAGCTGGAGCCCGTGCGGGAGCGGCGCTGTGCCGGGGTTGGAGAGAAGATCAACCGCCGCTGCACCACGCATCTCTCCGCCGCGCACTTCCTCGTTGCTGCCTCGAGGGACGTCCGCGGCAGACGCGGTAGAACGGGCCGCGTCGTGCAGCAAGAACTGGATCGCCGCGTCGCTGGCCCACAAGTTCGACAGGCTCCGCGATGCCTGTGCGGTTGTCAGCAGCACGGATTCCGCCAGCTCGGTCGTCCACGGAACAGACCCTGTACCCGCCAGCTCTCTGATTTGTTCGGCCAACGTCAACACCTTGCCGTCGCCTTTCCCGCCTATTATTCGTTTCAGTGCTCGGGCCTCGGCAGAATCGGCCGGCCCGTCACTCCCGCCACGACGCCCCGTGTTGGACCGTTCATTTCGTGCGGGAGAGAAGAAGCTGGCGCTGCCGCCCGGTGGGGACTGCATAAGGGCAGGTAATCTACACGACAGAAAGTTGGTCATTTGCCGGCGTGTAACTAAACTTCTCGTGCTGCCACCTCCACCTACCGCGGACTCACCGCGGCGCAAGGTCAGCATGTAGCTGCACAGCGACGCCGGAGTGGCGGTGGCGGCATCGGGTTCAGGCGGGAGAAAGGAGTTCGTGGGGGCCTCGGATGAAGCGGAAAGGGAGGATGCGTGAGACTTGTCCTGTGCGGCGGCTGGTGGGATAGGCCGATTGCCCCATCTCGACTGCAAGTTGTCGTCGTCGCCATGTTGCACCTCTGCATTGTTGTTAGACTCTGCTGGTGATGTCCGACACACACACCACCTACCCGTGCGCTTCCCGGCAGCGCGGTCATCGCCGTCTCGCCGATTCTCGAAAGAGGAAGGCCGGAGTGCAGCGTTACGCGTAGGATGACGCGACTCACAAGGCGGTGTGTTGCCTTGCGTCAGCCCTTCTTCCTCGCTGCGCGGATGAGAAGACGACTCGGATTGCTCCACTCCGGCGCTGACCTCGCCGGTAGATGCTGATGCGGTGGCAACGGGAGTGCTGCTGTTACGCTCGTTTTTCACCTCTCCCTCACCGGTGTGCACCGCAGCCCGCTTTGCATGTCCCTGTCGATGCGCAAAACGTCGTCGGGGAGGCGTGGAAGGTGGTTGCGCTGACGTCGTGGTCGCTGCTGCACCGCCAACGTCGCCGTCGGTGGGTGCCGCGTGGTGCGACGCACGTCGGTGCTGCGCCACTACTGCTGTTGATGTGAAGATCGATGCGGTCGGACGGAGAAGCAGAGAACGCGAAGTCGCCCGCACGTAAGGCCTTGGCGCACCGCCGCGCAGCACCGCGCCGCCACTATGGTGCCGTGTGAGGCGCGTCTGGCAGCTCGTTTTCTGAGATTGCTGATGGTTGGGATGGAGTGCGGTGTTGGGCAGCAGCACGTGCGCTGGTGGGTTATCCGCGCCTCCCATTGGAGCACTCTCGCAGTGCCCCATCGATTGTGTAGCGGAGAAGGACGCGACGCGCAATGCTGACGGATAGGCGAGGTGCGCCGCGACCGCGCCGGCGCGTGAGAACGTACGCGGCATCACAAGACGCAACGTCGTGCTCGAAGGCAAACAGAACCAAAAACAATAATAAGAAGAACAATAGTGAACGGGCTTTTAAACGTTCTGCAGTGCCGTACAGCGTCGGCAACGCGCAAAGGGAAGGGTACGTGGGGCGGCTGTTTCGTGTGGTGCGCGGAGAATAAAAGCTGCTACGGCGGCGGGTACGCTACAAAGAATAATAGTCCCAGCGCAGCCAAAATCATCACAGAGGGGAAAAAAAAGGGAGTACGCCGTCAACGTTCTCCTTCGTTTATGCCGCCCTGTTCTTTTATGGTTGTGGCTATTGCGCTTGGCAGAGTTTAGTTATACATATATATCCTCTGCGTATCAGTCGTAAGAAATTTAAGAAGAAAAAGCGAAGCGAGGACGTTGTTAATGAACAGTTACATCAGCAGATATATGTGAAGAGAGAGAGAGAAGGAGAAGGAGGAGAACCGCCCAAGAGGTACACAAACTGACCTCAGCAAACGACACAACCAAAACAACCACAAAAAAAGGGAAACTGTAAGCAGAAGAAGAAGAGAGGAGAGGAGAGGAGTGGAGTGGAAGACGAAGCAACGCGGACAACAGCGATGGAGAGGCCACTGCCTGGCACATAAGCAGGCACATATGTATCCCCACGCTAAGGAGAAGTGTCGACGTGGAAGAGGAAGATACGCAGCCGCAAGCTGTGGCGAATAACACCTACTTTGAACACTAACAGACACGTGTTGTAGAGAAATCTGAATGCATGAGCCGCATCCCCACCATCTCACAAGGCGAAAAAAAAAGGTTATGTCATTTACGAAAGGAAATACCCGCTAAGGCCATTACCACGCCCATCCTTGATTGTCCTCTTCTTCGCTCGTGGTGGTCGTGGCTGTGGCACCACCGTGCACGGCTCCACGCGCATCCACACTAAAATAAATAACAGGAAAGCAAACGCACAAAGGAAGACGGAAACAAAGGAGAAAAGATGTATTCCAGAGAACAGCCTTCTATACACATCCTTCTTTGGTCTGTTTGTTTGTTTTTTCATACCTTTCTTTAAAGAAGGGAGGGGAATAATTCCAATTACATCAGTCAAAGAAAATAAATATATATTTACGCACGTGCGAGTGCGAGAGTGCGAGAGTGCGTGTCATCCAAGTTTGTCTCAGCTGCGCACCGCGGAAAAAGCGGTTGCAAAATTTGGCTACTAATAACATCATAGGAACATCGTTCACTACATGACTTGACCTGTACATCGATAAAGGAAGAAAATATATATATATTGTGGCTACGCCGTCACCTCCAAGGTGGCCTTCAGCTCCGCGGGACGGTACCCTTTGCGCCGCAGTGCAATCTTCACTCTCTGCGCGTGAATGCGGCCATTCTCCGCGTACGTGTGGAAGCCCATCGCGGCCAGGTCCACCACCCCACGGGCCAACGGCGCCTCCACGCCCACCTGCATCAACTCCACCGTCATCCCCCACCGTTCGCCCTCATCCTCCCCGACTCCGCCGGTATCATTATTCGTATTGGCGTTGACGACAGCGCTGCCGCCGGTGCCCTGCGAGGCGAGGTTCTTATAGGGCCGAGTGCCCCCGGCCACCCCAGTCCCGGCCCGGCGCCTGCGGGCTGCCGCGTCGAAAGACGGGAGGTAAATTGTGAGCGTCTGACCGAGGAAACTAAGCAGCTTCCCAGCGGAGGAGGTGGCGGACGAGACGGACAGCATGCCGCCGCCTGCGCCTCCGCCAGAGAGTTGTGCAGCCCCGTGCATCGCTGTCCCACCTGCGCCTGTGCCATCGCGATCGGAGAGGGAAGACAAAGACACCGAGCCGGCGGCGGCGTGCCCCGTAGCGGTGCTGCTCAGCGGCACGGCAGACGACGACACACTCTGCAGACCCACCCGCAGTCGAATAAAGTAAAGTGCCTCTCCACGCGGGTCGGCAGCCGCCACGGGCCTCGCCTCTGTCGCCGTGGTTGGGCCACTGGCGGCATTGCCGCTGGTACTGCTGGCGGTGGTGCCTTCCCGTGTGGGGGCCAGCGGTGGACGGCGGCAGCGATGCAACGTCAGTCGCAGCACGCAGTCAGCACCCGCGCCGCTGCCCAACAGTGCCCGGTCCACCGCACGGAAGCGTTCCTCGTAGTTGTAGGTGTGCGCGAAGCGGCGCTGCTGCGCGGCGATGCTCTCGTGCAGCACGTAAAGCGGGACACGGTACAGGGCAGCAAGGTGCTGCAGCACCTCTTGCACCGGCCACTGGGATAGCTCCAACGTGCCGAGATGCGCCGCGATGAGCTGCTGCAGTTTGTCACGTGGAGAGAGCGATGCCAGCGAGCGATCCGGGGAGGCGCGTGCGCGATGGAGGCTTCCCGTGGACCCGTCGGCGGAAGGAGTGGTGGCCTCCGCCTCCGGCCGCAACTGTTCCCGCGCGTCTGCGAGCAAGCGCTCAACCACGGGCCACGAAACGGACGACACGAGTCGCTGGGCGAGCTGCTTCAGCACGTCCAAGTACGCCGTGCGCGCGGCGTATCGGCTGCTCGACTCCATGCGGACCGCCTCGTCGTACAGCAGCTGGCGATGCCGCTGCAGGATGGCCTGTGGGTGGTAGGAACGGTCCACCGCGGCGTCTGAGTTTAGAGGAGGGCCACTGCCGCGTGGCGGGGTGCCACCCGATGCGTCGGTCAGCGCAGTAACCTCCGTCGAAGGGATCGCCTGCATTGTGCCACGTTGCATCAGCAACAGCGGCGGCTGACCGGCACTTCTCGTGGTGGCTTTGCCTTTATGGATTTCCTGTTCTAGCAGGTGTTCCCGCAGCGGGAATAGCTGCTGCAGCGTCTCGCAGGCGCGGTCCACCTGCCGTGCGTTCCCCCACTCCGCCTCCATCTCGTGTCGGCGGGTGAGGAGTATTTCGTGCTGCAGCAGCGCCGCCGCGTGCTCGCCGACGCCGGGCACGACCGGCAGCGGTGGGTGCCGACGCCGCTTTCGCTTGCTGAGGCTGTCAAAGCGTCGGGGCGGCAGCGGCGTCGGCGGCGGCGGCGCGCTCACCTTCTGCCCCGTCGCACCGCTGCTCGCCGCGTGCTTGGAGGCGGTCATGGAGGGGAGTGAGGACGCGCTGCGTTTGCCGGAGTGCAGCTCCATATCCAACGAGGTGGTGGGATGAAAATTACTGGGGGGGCGCCCGGAAGTGCGTGAGGAGGGCTCGAAGGAGGATGGGTGGAGCGGCGGAAGGGATAGAGTGGCGCCCTTCTCGGCACCGTGGGGGGCCGCAGCGCTTGTCTCATTCAGTCGTGGTGTCTCCGCAGGCTCCGCGCGTGGCGTCATAGTGGTGGAGGAATGCGACTTGCCCGCTGGGCGTCTGCGACTCCCAGGGAGCGAAGACGCGGCAACCCCGCTGCTGAAGGTGCCAAACGTGCGGTGAAGGGGAAGGGGTAAGGTCGGACCGCGATAGTCCGCTGTGCTCGGTGTCCACTCTGATTGGCATGGCTGCTGACTCTTCGACGCGTGGTGTGGCGCAGCGCCCCACGTCGTGCTACGCCCCTCCGCCGCGGATCGCCTCGACGGGCTGCTGCTCGCCGTTCGAGGACTGTCATGCTTCAGCTGCGGTGCGCTTCGCTTCGCTGCGGTCCTGCTGTTCAGGCACTTGTCCAGCCCGTAGAGCGTGCATTCATTTGCGTGAAAGAGCAGGCGCTGCAGCTCACGGCGCAGCCGCACTTCCTCCAGCAGTGGGTTTGTCGTCGCCGCCGTCGTGGCCGTGGCGACGACAGCGGTGGTCGTGGTGGTGGAATCCGGTGCGGGCACGTCGGCCGAACCCGCAGCGACGGCCGGCGCATCGCCGCGTTGCAGGTGCGTGCTTGACGGAGAGCCCAACGAGACGGCAGACGCCTCCGAGTCGAGCTCCCGCTGAAGTGCCCGTGCCGGATCGACAGGAGTGCGTACGCCGTCCGTATCCCTCCCATCAACAGGAACGAGGGACGCATCGTCCTCGTGGAGTGCCAGGTGCCCATCGTGGGTCGCACCCGCTTCTGGGGAAGCCACCGAGTTGGTGGCGTCAGGGCCACTCCGCTCTTCAGCGTCTGCCCTCTCGCCGCCCGCCTTCCCGTCCGCCACATCCGCAGCAACGTCGCCTCCGTCTCCGCCACCGCCTTGGACAGGAAAGGACGCGTTCTCCTCGCCCCACGAAATCGGAAGTGAGCCCGCCGTCGCAGGGGGCACTGACACACCTGTCGGGGGTCCGGGCGGGAACGCGGAGGTCTCCCTTTCCGTGGCCTCGTGCGCCGTCACCGCCACGTTGGTGTCGCCGTCGTCGTCGTGGTGGGCTGTGTTGCCCCACAAGAGCTGCTGCAGCTGAGTTTCCACGTTGCCGGTGCCCCCTCCGCCTCCGCGGGTGCGGACGGCTTGCAGTCGCGCCTGACTCGCCTGCATGCGACGCTGGAGCGCTGTCGAGCCTCCACGCCGCTGCTCCAGCCGTCGTCGCTGCAGCAGTACCCACTCCCGTGCCGATCGGTCGCGCAGCTTGATGAGCGCCACGTGCGACATGTTTTCCGCGCCCTGCACCTCTGCGACCGCCCTCGCGGAGGACTCCTTTCCACCTAGCATGCGATCCCGCATCGTGCGCTCTGGATGCATGCTGCCCCGTACGCCCTCCTCGGTCATCTCATCCTCTTCATCGGCATCCGTGTAATTGGAGGCGGCCTGCGATGCGTTATCGCCGGCGTCTTGGCTGCTCTGCGCTCCGCTGTCGCTGTTCAGTGACAACTGGCGCTGTGTGTCGCCCAGACCACCTCCACCCGTCGAGGCAGCCCCGTTCTGGGCACGCTGGCGAAACCCACCGTCAAGGCAGCCGCCGCTTTGATTCGAGCGGCGCCCGTGCCGTCGTCGACGCCGCTCCCGCAGCACCTGCGCTCCTTCTTCCTCCAGTCGCCGCAAAATGACGCCGAACTCGCGCATTTCGTCTTGCGAGCGCACGGCGGCCTCCACGCGCTGTTCGTGAAGCCGCATGGCGGCGTCGCGAGGTGGGGGCGGTGTAGCCGTTCCATTCATCAAAGAAGCTGCGCCAGCGGCCGGTGGTTCTGCGAGGTCGTCCCTCTTACTTGGCGGTAGCGCAAGCCCGCCGCGTGGGTCACCGCCTGGCGCCATCTCGCCTTCCCCGCTGACGGGGCTGCCACTCCCACACCCGACCCCGCTGGCCAGCGCGGTGCGAATCCACTCGGTCGTGGGGAACAACGCCGCAGTCGTCGTCGCTCGCTTCGGCGAGGTGGGTCGCTTTGCGGGGTCACTCAAGTGCTTACCCGCCGCTGTGGGCGCTGGTGTTGCTGCTGCGGTCGCTGCGGTGGCGTTGCCACCAGGTGGCGTTGCGGAGAAATCGAACACCGTTCCGCCCGAGGCACCTACGGGGAGCAGCGGGGACGCGGGACGGCTGTTCACACCACAGCCGTAACTGCTACTTGCAGCCACGGTGCCGCTCATCACAAAGGACGGCGTGCTCAGTGATTTACGCCGGCGGTCGCCGTGTGCGGCTTTGAAGAACGAGACGGGCTTGTTCGACGTCGGCGCCGTTCCGTGCGGCTCACGAGTGAACTTTAAATCGCTCACCATCAGTATGGTCGGCGTCAGCGGGGCTTTTCCGCCCGCCAACGCGTTCTCGTCGATTTGATGCCGCTGCTGCTCTTGGCGATGCTGCAAGAGGGGAGCTACCCCGTTGTGCTCGCCCAGGTTGCGCGATGGTGCCAGCAGCGACGAAGGCATGCCGCCGGACGACGAGGCGGATAAGGGGCTGCTATGCACCGGTGAGGAGCATTGCGCCTGCGGCGGCACCTGCGTGAAGGAGCCTCCGCCAATGGTGCTGCCATTGCTCGAGTGGCGCTGTGCGAGGCCGGGCGGGGCGTGGCCGCCGTCGTCCGCGCTGCCCACGCGTACCAGTCGTGACCGCATCGAACGATGTGAGGTTGGCGTGTCCTGCGAAACGGGTGAGGCGATGGGGCTGCTGTGCGTCTCGCCGCTGTCGACGGAAATGGTGTCGGAGGACATCATGAAAACACTTTTTCTTTCAAGCAACGTGTCAGCTTGTGCGTTTGATTGTGTGTGCTGCGCGTACACGAGACTGTGCAAGACCAAGAAATATCAAAGTGGCGATTCTACTCCGATTGATGTCGACTCTGGTCTCTCTTTTCCCTAAAGGAATTGCTGTTTTCACCCGCTAACGTCGATGTAAAGAAGAAGAAGAATAATGAGGAGGTGGGATAAGTACATATACACACGCGTCGCGTCCACTCCTTCGCTCCGCAGCATCCATCGTACGGTACGCAGCGGTAGCGTGGCGGTGTTGCCAAAAAGAAGAGGGGGTAAAAAACGACGTGTTTACGCAGAAAGGCAGTGGAGGAAGGAAGGAAGAATGACATGAGTAAATACATATATATATGAAGGAAAAGTAATCCGTTGTTGCTCTTGTCGTCCTTTGCTTTCCTCCGCTGTGTCGACACCAACGCATACGAGGCCGCTTCGTACTTCTCACTCATCACAAACACGACGCACCGCCAGACACACACACAGAGGGAAAAAAGGCAGCTATGCGCAGAGAGTGAAGGCGGTGCGAGGGAGCTCCCTGGAACGCTCTGATTTCGGGTTGAAGATGAAGATCCTTCGCACAGCGTGATGTCGCCAACTTCCTTTTCCCCTTTCTGCTTTTCACGCACTGCGCACCATCTAAGAATGGACTTATCAGACTCAAAAGAACGGAAACGAAATGGTGGAAACGGCGTTTTTCTTCTTCTTCTTCCGCTACGGTGATCACTACGCGGACGCTGAGTTCCGCTGAGCACACCGAAGCTACGCCGATCAGCACACACACAACACACAGCGGTCAGCAAGTTTTAAGAACGAGGTGAAGAAGAGGATACAATGAAAAAAAGGTCTAGTAGAAACCGATGCTCACATTCCCGCCTACAATGATGAAAGGAAAAGCGCGTCCGAAAAGGATTGTTTTCTATATCTATTCATAAAGGAACGCGAGGAGCAGATGAGTAGCGAGAAAATATCTGAAAATCTGGCAATCTGAAGACGATCCAATACGACCGACTCCCTCACTAGAGTCGGACAGGCTAGAAGAAAAAAAAAGGGTTCTCAGCCGGTGGTGTATTCAATCAGCGCGGGCGTGTCTGCTGCTGCCGTTCTTCGTGGAGCCAAAGCGATGGCTATGGCGGTGGTGCGCGTGTTGCGCGCTGAGGCCGCCTCGCGGGTCGGCATTCGTCCGAGTCGGTGGCGCGTCTGCAGGCCCGTCACCAGCAACGACCACGTAAGCGTCATCCCCGCCACTCGCACGGCGCAACGCAGGCGCCCTCTTGTCCCCCACACCGGACCCTCCTGCCTGACCCGACGCAAAGCGCGACGTGCTGTTCATCCTTACCCGAGGCTCGTCCACCTCTCTGCGGTGCTGGGAGACCGCAGTCGACGACGACGCCGGCGGCGGCATCAGCTGCACATCACCAGACGCACGTGTAATGCGCAGCACCTCAATGCCAGAGGCGTGACGCGGGTAGCTCGCCTCCGTCGATGCCGCAGTAGTGGTAGCAGCAGTAGCAGCGGTAGGAGACATGCGATGAGTGCTGTTGTAGGGAGAGATGGTGGAGTAAAGAGGCTGCTGCTGCTGCGACGTCTGCGGCGAAGGGGCGGCACTCGAGCTGACCTGCCAGTCTTGCGACCGCGACGGCAGCATCCCGGCTGGCATGGTGCTCGCCTCGCTATGCACCGACTCGGAGTCCTCCCGACCAGCACGCACAGGTGACACGTCGTCGCGGACGCGTGGTATACTCGAACGGACACGAGAGCTGACAGGGGCCTCTGCGACACGGCTCTGCTGTGGTGAGGATAACGATAATGACGGTGGCTGCTGCTGCCTTTGAGTAGCAGAGGAAGGCGGCATCGTTGCTGCTGTTGGTGTCGCCCTCAGCGACGGCACCGGTGGGGCTTCTAGCGGTGCGGCCGTCGCAGTGGAGAAGGGCGGGGTCACCGTCTCGGGAGAGGCGCGGACGCTGGCGTGAGGCTGTCGCGCTAGACCTGTGGTGTGCCGCGGTGGTGGCTCTACGATGCCTCCTGCGGCCGTCCTCGATGTTGGAGTGGCTACGGTTGTCGCAGGAGTCGTGAATGGCGGTTGCTGCTGCTGCTGCTGCGCCTGTTGCACCGCAGTGCGACGACCTTGTTCAACCACCACCTGCGCCGTGGCTGCCACAGGTGGCAGGTCTGGCAGCGCTTCCTTCTTCGCTGCTACGAAAGTGGCTACTGAGGCAACCTGCGGACGCCCCTTCAACGCCGCTCCTGACCCATGAAAGCTGGAGGAGACAAGAGAGCTTTGGGTGGGCGTGGTGGCAGCGGCGCCGTTGCCGGGTCCCGGTGCGGCGGAAGAGGAGGGAGAGACGCCAGTACCAGCGCCATCCCTCTCCCGCCGCCACTCGCCACCAGCCGTGCTGCCCGACACGCCGTCCTCATCTACGAAACGCACCTTACTGGAGCTGCGCAAACGGCCAAGGCTGGTGCGGGAGGGCGAGTTCCCTCCGTTTGCGGACGACGCCACGGAGCCGTAGTGCGAGGGGGAGCTCTGCCGGGACAAGCCAGCGCGACCACCACCACCTCCGACCAATGCCGCAGCAGCCGCATCACCTGCTCCAAGAGCACTGCCGGAGAGGAGCAACGAGGCGGGTGATGTCGGCGCGACGTGGACGGCCGAGAGCGGCAACGCCGTCCGCACCTTCCTGCTGCCCTCCTCACTACTCCCTCTCGTTTGGCGGTGCAGCGCAGTCGACTCCGGCCGCGGCGGCCGCTGATATGCGCTCGTCGTGTGCGCCGGTGGGGCCTCTCGCTTCCCAAAGAACAGCTGTGGCACGCCTTTCGTCACGGTGCTGGACGTGCGTCTGCTGTTGTCGCTGCCGTAGCCCGGTGGGGCCGCAAGAAGTGACGGTGGCGTCGCCGTGACGGGCAGCGGCGATCGTCCATTGACAGCCGGTGCACTGCCCGACCGCCCCTTCGCCCGCGACGGCGACGGCTCCTTCACCTTGTGACTGCCCTTGCGGAAGAGCTCAATGCGCTTCGTAGCAGAAGACGTCGATGTGTAGCGGTGCTGGTGTGGCTGCCTCTGCTGCTGCTGCTGCTGGGCAGCCGTGGCAGCATGCGCAAGGTGCGTCGAGTCCAATGGAGGGACTCGCGGCTTCGAAGACGGATGTTGGTAGCGTGGGGGGCGGTCCGACGGTACAATCGGTGCCACCGCCACCTCCGCTGCTTCGTCGAGGTCACTGCGTTGGGCGGAGCTGAGGTCCTTTGATGGCGGTGCGGCCTCCGACTCGAAGCCCGTCAGTCGGAGAGGGCTGAAGACATGACTCCGGTACGGTGTCCCGATGGAAGGTCGCTCCCTGCCTTCCGAAAGCGCCGCTGATGGAACCAAAGAAGGTGGGGTGGAGGGACTCCGCCTCCGTGGACTTTTCAGTCGCCACTGCTGCTGCTGCTGCTGCTGCTGCTGTGCCACCGATGCTGGATGAGGTGACTCCCGCAGCGGTGATGATGCCGCGGTAGTAATGGTAGTGACAGTGGTGGGCGCACACGTGTTAGACGGCCGAGTCGGGGTGGGCTTACGTTGAGAGTCGAAGAAATACTGCTTTGCGGATCCGCGGGTGATTGCCGCTGCCGTCGGTGCAGTCTCAGCTGTCCTGTTAACATCCTGAGACTTCATCGAGGATCGCATGGGAGACTTGGCAAGCAGCAGCTGTCGTTCTCGCTGCCGCTCGTGCTGGAGTGAGGGGGGGTCCTGACCTACGTCTGGTTGCGCAACGCGGCGGCTCGGCACGTCCACCACCCGTTCTGGGGAGTTGCGTGGCTGAGGCGGGCTCGGAGACTGCGTAAACGCGGGCACCTCCACCGCTGCCGCCTCATTCACCCGTGCGTCGAGTGGCGTCCCTGCCGCAGTGAGGTCGGTTGCCTCGACCGCGATTACCGCCGCAGGGGACGGCACCTCGACCACCTCGTGGTAACGCCCGCCGGCTCGACTGAAGGGATTCGGTGCCTCCGTAACATCAGACATTTCGTGCTCTACCGGCAGGAAGTGCTCGACGAAGGGGATTGGCCTTGCCGGGGTGATGGGGCTCGCCGGAGCTCGAGTACGTGGTTTATTTGTCCACGTCGCCGCTGGAGCTGCAACAGTCGAAGCGGCCAGAGGAGCAGTATGCGAGCGTGGTTGTTTGGAATGCTTACGTGGGGGAGATGATCTCTTCGCCTTCTTACTACCACCAGCACCTATTAAAAATATTCTTCTTCTCTCATGGTGCCTCGCCTCAACAGGCGGTAGCGTCGCATCGTTGCCCGCAACATGGTCGCCGTGATTGCCCTTGCGAGTCGTCGTCGCGCAGTTCGAGAGAGCCACCACCTCTGCCTCGGCCGCTCCGTCGCGTTGATGTGCCTCGTCATTGGTATCGTGACTGCCGTGGCGGGTGGTGAAGTTGTCTGGCGATGTCGCGAGTGCGTCGTCGGAGGGGCCGTCATCGCCGCCGTTGCGGTTCTCGTGCTGCTTCGACCGGCAGCGACAACGCCGCTGCGGCGGCGACGAGTGACGCGCACAGCAACACCAGGACAGTGCAAGGAGAAGCATGAGCAGAAGAAGTAGCAGACCCGAGACGCCGAGGGCGAGCCACCACCAGAAGTTGTGTCGACGTCCTGCAGGACCGCGGATGTCGGCGACGGTGGCCCCGCCGTCCGTTGTCGTGGCGGCGTGCGCGCAGGAATACGCGAGCAGTGCGCAGAGCGCAAGGTACGTCCGGAGCAGCGCGACAGGAATTTCACGCGGGTGTGGAGAACTTCGGAAGAGTAAAAAACGCGTTGCCCGATGCATCATCAACTGGGGGGAAGAGGAGGGGGAGGGGAGTGCTCTGTCTATTAGTTCTCTAATCGGTTTTAATATATATCAAAACAGGAAAAGAGAAAAGAAATGAACCAACGAGAGGGAGGTCGAAGAGACGTCTGCGAACTGCCTGCGTCGTTTCTGTAAGTGTGGGGATCGATCAAGCAAGTACGTAATCGCATAGGGCATGAGAAAGGGGATGGATGGAGGGAGGGGGGGGGAGAAGTAGAAAGGAAGGTCTTCTAATGAGAAACAAGAACAAGGAGTAGTACAAGGAATATATATATATATATATATATGCGCAATGAAGAAAAGAATACGATGAAAGAAGGGGGCGAACAACACCGTCGAGCAAGACAAGGCAGAAGGAAAACGAAGCTGCCGGGCAGAAGAAACTTCAGAGTTGTAATGCATATATAGTGTGTGTATATGTATGTACACGTGCGATGCCTCGTGGTGAGAAGAAAGAAGAAAGAAGAGAGGGAGAAAGAAAAGTGCGGCTTTTAAAACTCGTTCTCTGCTGTTCTCGCCCCGAGAATAATCGCGGTTCAAGGCACAACAGCGCTTGGACTCCTGTAAGCACGTGCACCGTGTTGAACCGCCAAGTAAGGGGACTCCTCGCGTGTCCACGCCTCCCTAAAAAGAAAAACAAGAAACCAAAAAGGGGACGGCAGGAAATAAAATTTCTCCTCCGTCTCCGCCACCTTCTCCCAGCGAGTATCACCGAAGGAGAGGGTTACCAATACACACACACACAGAGAGAGAGAGAGAAGAAGGACAAACGGCTGCTCAGGTGTGAAGGAGAACAACGACGCCTCTTTCAACTGTGCGTTGGCGAAATCAAAAGCTTGATATACATATAAATGTGGGTTTGTGTGGGAGTGTGAGCGTGGGCGTTCACGGGCAGTTGTTGGTACCAAGGAAGGAGAGAGGAAAAGGAGTGGGACAGACACGAGAAAGATGAGGAGCGCGTCACCGAAGAATCACTTGAGTCGCAATACGAAAACCCCCCACGTGGGAAAGAGAGCAGGGGGGAGGGGTGGATTCGCCGGTACATGCACAGCTGAAGGCACAGCCGTGCTGACGTCACGACGGCCACGCATGCCAAAAACAACACAAAGGCCAACAACTCGTCGTGACACCGTTACTATTATTAGTAGTAGCGTTTTGCGGTTGCCTTAGAGTGTCAAGACGCGTGCTTCCACAACAGTATGCAGGACGAGTTCTTCTCATCTTCCTTTCGCCTATTTATGGACGTAAGGCTCCCTTGGCTTTAATGGATATTTCTACTACCTGGCTTCGTTGGCTGAATCAAGCACCGGCACCTTGCATTACGTGCCGCATCATATACAGATAGACAAGTGTTGCTGCTGTTGGTGGGCAATCTTCTACCGCGCGCACACACACACATATATATGAACACAGACACACATAGACACGCACAGAGGATGCGAGAGACAGATGAGTAAAATGAAAAGGGAAAAGAAAGGAAAGGAAAGGATGAACTACAAACTACAGAGGGCGTTCTCATTCTCCCTCCCTCCCACGCTAGCTGAGCGTGCTCTACTCCTTCACAGAGACGTATGTTTGCTTCTGTTTGTTGTACATCGGGTTGCTGCGTGCACGAGAGCAGAGGCGCGAGCCAGTTGCGTCGCAGCCGAGTGCCTTCTCCGCAATAGGAGTCATTCATAATAACAACAATAATAACAATAGTGTACATATCTCGAACGCGTAAATCATTAATAATAATAATAATAATAACATGTAAGCTACGCGAAACTCACAAACGAAAAGGGAAACAACAGCGCGGCTATCTTGAAAAAAAAAAGAATGAAAGCGAAAAGAAGTTCAAGAAAGCCGCGCTCATTGGTGAACTCCACCACGGACAGTAGTGAAGTTCTTAACGCCTTGGAAAGGCAGCGGGGAGGGGGAGGGGGGGAGGGTGCAGTTTGGCAGATGTAATCTACGTAGCTACGTGCGTACACCACACATCCGTTTGGAACCGTGCAAGAGAGAGAGAGAGAGAAAGAGAGGGATGATGAGGGTAGAGCGAGCGCGACCCACACCTACGGTCATCAACGCGAGCAGAGAAAGAAAAATAAAAGACAGAGAGAAGAGCGAAAGAAGGTGTGTCGTGGGGAACGCAAAAGAGGGAAAAAGTTCCCCTCAGCACACACACACAGCTTGCGAGGGTGCAGTCAGCTCGACCGCGAAATGTAAACATCGAAAAGAGAAATAATAATAATCATCATCATCATCACCATCATCATCATCATCATCATCAAAATAATAATAATAATCATCATCATCATCACCATCATCATCATCATCATCATCACCATCATCATCATCAGAAAGAGAGAGAGAAACACATTAGTACAAGGGGTGAAAAGTAGAAGAAGAAGAAACGATGGATCCTCAAAAACAGCAAAAACATCAGAAGCAAGAGAAAAATTTCTAAAAAGAGAAAAGCATGACTTTAAAAAAAAACCGTCACCCCGACAAATACCAGAAAGAACAAGAAGACCGAAGGAGTGACAGCGGATTCCCGCAAACCACCGCGAAAGATAACCTTTCCTGAAAAAGGAAAACAACAAGAGAGTCACACAGAAATAAAAACACAAACATAAAACGACGACGTAGACGATGGAACGCACATCAGCGATTCAGTATGTTTCCTTAGGTTATATATATATATTGATTGAATGAGAGAAGAGAAGACGGAGAAGAAAAAAAAAGTATATTAATGGCCGGCGAGGTGCTGTGTCGCTGAAGACGCCGTGGACGACGACGTCGCCGTCGTGGAGGAGGCGTTCAACTGCGTTTTGGTGGGTGGATGCGGCAGCTGCGGCAGCGCCGGTGTCGCACGCGCTGATGGACTCTCCTTATTCTCCGTGTTCCCCACGTGCACCATCACCACACCTGCACGTGTTGGCGATGATAAGTTGGTAAAGGCGCGCCAACGCGGTGTGGCCGCCGCGTGCGAGGATGTCGACCCCGTCGTGGACGCCGTGCTCGTCGTGGTAGACGACGCGTCGACGCGCGGCAAACGCTGCCGCTGCGCCGAAGTGCCCGAGTTGCTGTTGGTGGACACGGTGGTGCGTGTCGTGGTGCTGCTGCTGGTGGTCGACGCGCTGGGCGTCCGACCCGCTCGGGGCGAGGGTGGCAACGGGGGAGACGGCACAACGGCTTCCCCGGCACGCCGACCCCGACCGCCGCCAGCAGCTGCACGACCGCCACGATGCCCATTCGGGGAGGTGACCTGCCGAAGAGGAAGGGCCGTCGGCGGGACGTCCGACGTGAGCACCGGTGTCTTGCCAGCACCGGCGGAGGCCGTGTGATTCTGCGCCCCCACCGACACGCCACCGCCACCGCCGTTGTTGTGGGCCGCTCCGGTCTCGGCGGCGTCCAGCAGCGACGGAGTGGCGAGAGGCGTGTGGCGCATCGGGAACGCGCTCAGCATCATCAGCGTGCGGTTCTCATCCGTCGCGTTGGTTAATAAGGAGTCGTCCATGCCGCCAGACGCCCCGCCGCTCAGCGCCAGCGGCCCACTCACGCTGACGGCGCCGGTGACTGAGGTGAGACAAAAGTGCAGGTCCGGCGAGGCCGCGGTGCTCGTGATGGTGCTCTCCGTCTGGCTGGCCAGCTCCATCGAGGACATCATCGCGCAGTTCGGTAGCATGAAAGGCGTGGGGGTGGCGGTGGTGGGGACGGCGGGGCTGTCGTGATGGGACTTACCGGGACTTTTTGTGAGGCAGCCTGACGGGTGGGCCGGCCCCCCGCCCGGGGAGGTCTGTGCGAGGGAGAGTCGCGTGTTCGCAGCCAGGCGAGAGGCGGGCGGGGCGGTCAGCGATGACGCCTCTGCCACTTTGCTGCTGCCGCCACTTGGTCTCTGCACGGTGTTCGACGCCGCGCGCACGACATCCGAAGAGGGGGGTGAAGAGGGGGTGGCGTTGGTCGCTGCGCAGGTCTTCGCGGCAGCCGCGTGCGACGACAACGATGGCGATGCCGCCGCGGTAGCCTTCATCGTCGTTGCCTCGTCGACGTCGCCCACGCTGCTGCGCTGCACACTGATGACATGGGAAACACCGCCTGCACCGTTGTGATGACCACCATCATCCGCAGCAGGTGGGGAGCGCTCGGTCGGCGACGCCGTAGCAGCCGTCGCCTCCTGCTTGGCCGTTACGTCGCCATGACGCACGCCGTCCTCCGTCTCTGTGATGTCCGGCGCCACCGGCGAAAAGGCCAACAGTGGAGAACAACCTTCGCTTGTGTCGGAGAGCGCCGACTTCCTCCTCCGTGCGGAGGCGGCATCGTCGGAGGCGTCAGAGCTGCGTGTGGCACTGCCAGGCGCGGATGGCAGCCCGCCGGTCGGCGTGGACGTCTTCCGTGACGACTGCAGCGGCTGCCGACGCGGGCGTGCCTCACCCGTGGGCGAGGGCCGCTGCGGCTGTGCAGCGCACCCGCGTACTTCACCGGCGTCGTCTTTGTTGCTGGGTGTGCTTGCCGGGGGCACGGCTGCGGTGTGGTAGGGTGCGGAGGACCCGACAAGGGCAGCCACGGCAGCCGCCGGCGGGTTCGGGGGTAGTGGCGCTGCTGCTACTGCTGCTGTTTCGGGTGAGGTAGAAGCCTTCTCATTCGCCGCGGCGAGCCGTGACTGCAGCGACTGCCGACGACGCGCTGCCGCCGCGGCGGACTGCAGAGGCGACTGCACCATCCGCGGTGGTCCTTGCATGCAGTGTTGCTCCCCCGCGTCCTCAGGGGTGTCGTGACGGCGGAGGATGCAGCTCGAGGACGAGGTATCAACCACGTCGTAGCGGGCCGAGTCGGGGTTCTCAAAGATGGCGCTGCCTTCGTGCAGCTGCTGCCCGCCGGGTGGACTTCCGTTTTCGTCCACAAATGGACTTCTGAGAGACCGGCGGCGATCGCCTTTGCTACTGCCGCCGCGTGAGTCGGCGCGCTCGAGCGAGTCGGTAATGCTGTAGCGGGTGCGGCTCGCTTGTTGAAGGGCCGTCGCACCACTGAAGTTCATTCGATCCATGGAGTGCTGCGTCGGGTCTGAGCGGAGGGAGCTCACCCGCCGCGTTGACGCAGAAAACGACGTGAGGCCGGCGCGGGAGTGGCGTTTTTCAGCGGTGTTCGCGTCGACTGTGTTGATGCTATGTGACGACTTGAGGCCGGCAGCAGGCGCCTCCGCATCCTCCCTTTGCTGCTGCTGCTGCGGCGGCGGTGCCTCGACCTCTGAAGGAGCCGTCGCGTGCGCGAGGTTCGCCAGTGCGGTCAGCTGTCGACCCCCCACAGCAGGCGCCGGCGAGGCGAACTTTCCAGACGGGAACGAGAAGGACAGGGAGGAGTCGAAATTTGCTGCGTGGGCCCCGCTCCTCTCCTTCACGGCCGCCGCCTTCCTCGGCGTCGTCGCGCCCTTCCGGTGCGAATGCCCGTACAGTAAAATGGGGCTGCTGTTGGTGCTGCTGCCCTCGCAGCTGACGTCGTCATCGTCGCTCTCGGACGCGATAAACAGTACGCCGGAGAGGGTGCTCTCGTCTCGCAGCGCCTCCGACGACGACGGGGGCACAAGCAGCCGCAGCAACGGATGCTGTGCGTTGTCGCCGTCGGGCTCTGCTGTCGGAGAGGAGAGGCCGCCCCGTGCCTCGGCGGGTGAGTTCAAATCGGTAGGCGCCTCGCCACCGCCGCTGCTGACTTGGCCAATCGATGGGCCGCGGGTGTCGGTGTTGCCGCTTGGCACTCGTGCCCGAAGCTGCGGAGCATCGCCGTGCACCGCCTCGGCCTTCCCGGCCTGCGCAAACGTGGTGAAGATGGGCAGTTGTGACGGCAGATACGGCAGCGTGTGTGCGATGACAGACGCCACACTCGAGGAGTAGTTCGTGTTGTTCGGCGCGTCAATGCTCAGTAGGCTCCCCAGCCTAACCAGTTGCAGCTGTGCGCCTGGCGACGGTGAGGACGGAGGTGCAGAAGAAAGGGGAGGGGACGACCCATGCGGACCGCGTGGGCCGGCTCCTTGCGGATGTCCTGGGCAGTGCGCGGAGAAAGTTGCGTTACTGTGCCAACGCGCGATCGGTTGCTGCTGGTCCCGCTGCCCACTGGTGCCTTGGCCACCGCTGCCGTTTGCTGTGTTTGTCGCTTCTGCTGCAGTGGCGGTTGCCGCTCCTGTCGGTGGAGGAAGGGGCACCGCCTGCGCCGCCCGGGTAGCCCGCCAACTCGCGGTAGAGCCTCGCGGGTCGCCTTGCTTCTCGCCGTGGACGGATGGCACGCCCTCCGCAAAGTGCGACGAGGCGTGGCTCCGCGCGTGGCCGGCAGAGGCGTCATTCATCGCCGAAGGAGCCAGCAGGTGGGGTGGGTCGTGTTGCTGTAGCTGGGCAACGTTGTGGGAGATGTACTTCTGCAAGTGCCGCCACTCCGGGCCCCGTCGCAGCTCCGGCGGGACGTACAGGATGGACGAGGCGAGGGGGCTGTTACCGCTGCAGCTGGCGTTCGAGCTGCCGGTAACCGCGACATCCATCACCATCAACTCCGACACACCGCTGCTGCTGTGGGAATGGCTCGGGGCGTAAATACCGCGCCGCGGGGCTGCACCGGCGTCGGCCGAGGCCGGCACACCACCCGCGGTGCTGTTGGGTGCCGCTGACAGGCTGCCCACGAGCCGGCTTCGTGCGCCGCTGCCGCTGGTGGTGAGAGACGTGGCCGGCGGGGCGGGGATGGCGGTGTTGCTGCCGGTGTACGACAACGTGCGGGTGTGGCGTGTCGCGCCGCGGGCCGACGGGGCGGGTGGTGGCGACGGCGCCGCGGGCATGGTGGCGGCGGCGGTGGCGGTGGGCGATGACGGAGCAGCAGACGCGTCCGCCAACCTGGCACCGCTGCCCTCCCCACCAGTGCGGATGTTGCTGGACTTTTCACCATCGCCGCTCTGCGAATCTGTGTTCGCGTGCAGGGGCGGTGGCGGGGAACGAGCCGGCGGTGGGGACGGGGACGGGTCGCGGCTGCCATCCAGCGACAGAGGCGGGGCTGCACCGCTGCCGCGCCTGCCGACGGTCAAGGGCAGGCTGTCATGCAGCTGCAGCGCCGCAAACCCACTCGTCATCGTGAAGAGCGCGGGCGCGGCTTCGCAGGATAGGAGGATCGGCGGAGGGGAGGAAGATCGACTCGGTCGCGGACGGGACGGGAAGCCGCCGCCAGCGGCCAGCTGGGCATTCAGTGGTGCGTTCGCTGCGGTCACCGCCGTTGCAGCAGCTGCACCTGGAGCCGCAGTCACCACACCGTGACCACCGCCGCCGCTGCTGGCGCGGCCATTATTGCTGTCAAACGAGGTGGAGTTCAACAGAATCGACAGCGAGACGGGCGACAACACCGCGGCCGTCGTCGCGGACGAGCGAATCGACGCCGCGTTCCGGGTCGGGTGGGGGCCGAGGTGCGCGCTGCGGAGAATCGATTTCGCATGAGACTCCCCGTGCTGAGAGGCGGGTGGAGTACGCTGCGCAGTGGCGAGGTCAGGACTCAGAGCCGCAGCAGGAGCAGCTGTGGAGGTGGTCGTCGCGGCGGCGGCTCGCTTGTCGGCGGGCTCCACGGCGTCTGCGCCAACGTCTTTCCCCGGCAGTTGTGCATGTTCGCCCTCCCCACTCGACAACATGGAGAAGTCCATGAAGCTTATCGTGGACGGCGCAAACTCCGGTGAAACGGCGGAGGACACCCAGCCCAACGATGGCGCACCGCCGTCGCCGTCGCCTTCCGCGGAGGGTAGAATAGCGGCCAACCAGTTCTCGTCGCTGCTGAAGCTGCGCCGCGAGCCGGCGATGCTCTGCACAGCACTGAGGAAGCTTTTATTCAACGATTTGCGTGGCGCGTCCTGGGGATTCATCGCGCATTCCAGCCCACGCGCTGACGGCTCGAGCTGCCTCTGGTGCGGAGGCGGCGAACACTCCTGGGGATTCAGTTGGGGTTCAAGGGGCAAAGACGCACCGTCCCCGCTGCTGCCGGTAGATACGAGCGAGGCACGAAGATTCCGTATCGGTGACATGGCCCTCATCAACGGCGGCAGCTGTCTTGACTCCTCCGCAGGGAAGGAAGGTTCCACGTCCATCAGCACCACCTGCCCCGTGCGACGGCCCTCCGCCGAGGTCGATGACTGCTGACGCTGCAGCCCTTGCTTCGACTTGCCGGCAGACCGACGTCCACCGCCGCCGCTGCCGCTGCCACTCGTGTTGTCGCCAGCCACACTGCTGCTCCTGCTGCTGCCGCCGCTGCTGCTGGTCGGGCCAAACTTACGGCTGCTAAAGCCTCGTCGGACGCCCTGCGAAGAGGTCGGCGAGCTGCCGGTAGTCTGCGGGAGCAGCGGCGATGAACCGGACGGAGCGCGTAGCAGGTTACCTGCACTTGCACCGTGGTGCGGATGCAGGCTGCCGTTGAGGCTTGGCATCGACGAGGTCCACTTTCGCTTGGAGGTGGAGCAGAGCGACCAGCGGCTAGGCGCGTTGGCGGGTGGCACCGCAGCGGTGGCGGTGGTAACGGTGCCGGCGTTGATGGGCTCAAGCCCGATCGCCGTCCCCGCCTGTGGAGCGGCGCAGCGCCAGAAGGAGCCTGCGGTGGTGCTGATGAGGGAGTGGAAGCCAAGTACTGAGGCCCTAGCCCCTGTTCCCGTTCCTGTTGTTGCTGCTGCTGCTGCGGTGGCGGCGGCGGTTGCTTCCTCACTATTCGCATTCAGGAGCGGCGCATCCATCGGCATTGACAGGTGAAGGGCGCTCGTGAAGACGCGCTTACGTGGCTGCTCAGCCGAGCCCGGCAACAACCCGCAGGCGACGCCGCTCTGCGGCGCTGCGGCAGCGGAGACGACCGCCATGCCGCTTGCCGTGGCGGGCGCAGAGAGCGGCACCCGCAGCGAGGTCAGGTGCCCAGAGGGTGGAAGCAACGCCTGCGCTGCCGTCATCCACGTCGCGGCGATGCCCGCGCTGAACGCGCCGCGTGCCCGCGCAGGCGACTCGGACGTGCCCGACCTTGGCAGCGCCGTGGTATTGGGGGGCATCGACACTTCGGAGAGAGAGGTCGCGGCGCCGCTTGCGGTGTCATTGCCGTCATCGGCGGAGACGTCGGTGGAGGGAAACAGCGAGACAAGCGGGGTAGTGGGGGGTGCCTGCGTCTCGGCCACCCGTGCGCGGTGCATTCCTGCAGACTTGAGCTTCGCAGCACCAGGGTGCGAGCCGCAGTCGTCGTCCGACGCTCGTGGCGGCAGCGGCACCGGCAGCGGCGCTGACGACGACGTCGCGTGCCCCATTCCATTCGGTGCTGCGCCAGTGAACAGTTGGTAGGTCGCCTGACCTTGGCCGGCGTAGAGGGGTGCGGTGGGCGCCGCGTTGATGCTTTGGTGTGCCTGCAGTGCGTCAAAAAGGCCGTGACCGCCGCACGGGCGGTGCGAAGGAGGCTGCTGCGGTTGTTGCTGCACTGGTGGCGGAATGAGGGCGGGGATGTCACGTTCTCCGCCGGCTTTTGCTGCCGTGATCATCCAGGAGATGTTGCTCGCTGTGCGCGGCTTGTTCTGCAGGGCATTCATCGCACCTTTAAATACCTGTTGCGCGCTCTGGGAGGCGCGACGTGCGGTGCCGCTCGCGGCCGGCTTCTCGATGATCGTCATGCTCAGCAGGCTCTTCCGCCCCTTCGCGGCTCGCCCGGCGGCTGGCCGGTCTGATGATTTCAACGGTGAAGCGGAAGAGGAAGACGACAACAACGCTGAGGCGGACTGCGACGTGGGCTGGCTCAGCGCCAGGGGGGAGGCGTGGTCAAATACCATGTCCTCCTCATCGCCGGCGGACACAAGTCGGTCGACAGAGTGCCACGGCGTCGGAGCCTGGGTGCAGTCGCGCGACGCCATGAAGTTGCTGCTGCCGCTGGTCACAATGGAGTTCAGCGGGAAAGCCCGCAGCCCCTCCGCGTCCATCACGGCGTTGTCGAAGGAGGATCGTATTGAACCGCCTTTCGAGGAGCCTCTGGCTCTGCTGGACGGCGATGAGGTGCTCCGCGACTGCAGCAACGACTGGAAGCGAGATGTGAGCGCGACAAACTTGCTTGCCTTTTCTGGAGACGGCATCATCTCCTCACGGCTGTGCAGGACCGGCTGGGGTGGTAGGGTGTCTGCATCGCTTCTGTTCATGGATGCCTCACCGACGCTGTGGCCGTACTTCTCCGCTGACTTTTGGCGTCGCTTGGCGAAACGATCGCTGGACTGGCGCGGTGTGGCGGTCGGGGCCACGACGGCCGCATTGCTGAGGCTCGTCGAGCTATCCGTACTCCGTCTCGCCGTCCGTGAAGACGCACCAGATGGCACATCGAGTGCTGCTGCTGCTGCTGCTCCTGGTTCTTCTTCCTCGTTGATCTTCGCGACAAAGGTGGAGACGAGGGCGGGCAGAGCCTGTTGCTGTATCATGGAGTCCTTCTGTGGACTGGACGCACTGCTGTTGGTGACGGTGGTTGTGGTTGTCGTCGGCGGCGGCGGCGTCTTGTCCGGTGTTGCCGCCGTTGACGTCGCTCTCGTTGAGGGAGCAGCAGCGGCATTCGTGTGCGGGGACACCTCCGCTGCGGATGGCGCAGGGGACGCGACAGCACTCGACTTGCTCGACCCGTGATGCGACGTCGCTGACCAAAGCTTCGCCACGGTGTTCCCCAGCGAGTGCCTCCGCTTTTGTGAGCCGGTCGTGGAAGTCGCGCCGCTGTTTCGTGCGTCGCCATCGTCGGCCGTAATGACGGACAGCAACGCCGTCGCACTCCGCTCCCCGTTTCCATCGTCGTGGCGGTCGTGCTGCGACGGGAACTCCGCGAACGCCTGCGTGGCCGAGAAGGTCTTGTGCGACACACCAATGAAAGCCATGTTCGCCGTGCCGGGCGCGGTCTTGTTGCTGCTGCTGCTGCTGCCGCGCTGGGAGCTCTGGATATCGGTAGAATCGTGGAGGGGAGATTTCGAGCTGCGGCAATGCGCCCCCTGTGCGGGGTGTGCGGCGGACTGATTTAGCGGTTTGACGGCAGAGCTACGCTTTCGCGGTCGTTGCTTCAGCGGCGAAGCAACCCGCACAGCGTTTCTGGTCTCTTGTCGATGTGTCGGCGGCGCTGATGCCCCTTTCGGACTCGCGCTGTTCATCCCAGCAGCCCCACCGTTGCCGCGTGAGTTGACGGACGAGTCACTATTCATCGACTCGGTGCCCGGCCTCTGCGTGGTCGATACGGCCAGCGGGTCATTGCAGCGATTGCTGTTGCCGCTGCTGCTGTTGCTCGTCCTGCTCTCGTCCTTCGAGCTCCTCGGCCCTGTTGCATCGAAAGAGGGTTGTTGTAATTGCGGCTGCGGCTGCGGCGCGCGTGCGCGGCTTTTCAGCTGACTTTGTGTGGGGGAGTGCCACGGCTTGGACGGGTCCGTCTCCCGAGGTAGCGTCGAGTGCGAAGGCTTCGCAGAGAAGGTGGCAATGGACGGGTAGGCGTGCGGCTCGTTAGTGGTGTCGTTGGACCGCTGCCTCGCGGCATCATCCCCGTGCCCGGAGGAGCTGGCAGAGGACTGAGAGCAGGCGGCGGGCGGAGGAGGCAAAGGATCTGCATCGTGCTGCTGTTCCGGCTGCCGGTCGTCGTCACCGCTGTCCCCTCCTGCTGCCTCCACCGCCGCCGTCGCGACGGTCACGCCATGGGTGGAGTTGTGCGAGAGCGCGACGCTGCCCGTGTCGCTGCCCTTCAAGGGATTGCCCGGCGGCCGGGGTTTGGGGGACGAGGGACGCGATGGCACCACCGGCCCAGCAGCAGTCGCAGCAGGAGCGGCCACATCCTCATCGCTCTTCGCATCTAGCATGGACATCAGCAAATCGTCCACAGAGAGCGAGACCGGTGAGGCAGAGGACTTCATCTTGTGCGGCCGCGGTGGTGCACCACCGCTGGCAGCAGCTGCTGGCGTCGTGGTGTTGGTCATCGTCGTCGTCGTCTTGCCACCTCCCCCGCTGCGTCCTGTGGAAGGCGACATCCCCGCCGCGATGCGGGGCGGAGAGCAAACAACACCGTCGGTGCTGCTGCCCGCACGTGGGTTTGCGATGGGCGGGTTCAGCGGGGTGCGCGACACGGAATTGCATGAGTTTGACACAAAGCGCTGCGTGTGGAGGGACGTGCCGAAGCAGATGGAGGCGTCCTCCAACACACTCGACGATTCGTGAAACCCAAAAGGCGTAGCGAAGGTGGAGGAGGTCTGCAGCACGGAGATGTAGTCAGCGGCAGGGGTCAGGCCCAGCACCTCCAACTCTGTGCGCGTCTGCGGCGTCAGCTCGAGCGTCTTGCTGGGGGCGGTGAGGAGGACGTCGTTGGGCGTTGAAGAGGCGTGCGCGGCGGGACGGGGGGGCGGCAACTCCGTGATAGAGGGGGGGGGCGGAGGGCTCTTTTGCGCGGCCCGAGCCGCCCTCTCGCGCGCCGGGATGCGCCGCCGACGACGACGATGGTGCAGGCTCGCGGTCGCCGCTGCGGCTGTTCAGCGAGTCCGTCGGCGCCGCCTCGTGCTTCTTGTACTGCAGAAGATTGCTAACGTGCAGGTTGTGGACGGTCACGCTTTCCGTGCCGCCCTGCGCCTCGGGTGCGGCTTCGGTCGCCGGCGGTGGTGGCGGCGGACACACGGGCGAGGTGACTGCCTTTGCTGCTGTGGTAGCTGCGGATGAGGACGGAGTTGATGACGGTGTGAGTTGCGGCGGGGCGAGCATCTGCGGGGCCAGCGGGGCAGAGATGGGTGACCGCAACGCCGAGGTCGATCGCCGCCGCGCCGTCGCTGCCGTACACATGCTGTCGCTGCTTTTGCTGCTGTGATCGCTGTGGAGGTTTGCGTCGTTCGGGGGGAGGAAGGACGAGGCTGAGCTCGAGTGCGGCGAGAGACGACGATCCGCACTGCACGTCGTTGCCGGCCGTGGCGAGCTCTTTCCATGGCGCTGCGGCGGCTTCGATTGCGCAGCGGTGGGGGAGGGGGTTGGGGGCGAGCGCAGAGGACTGACCGCGAGCTGCGTCGGTGCACGAAGGAACGGCAGGGCGACAGAAGACACGGTGGAAGCCGGGGAGGGTAGCCCACTCTCTGCTGACGTTGCTGTGGCTGCTGCGTCGGTTGTCGGAGCCGTCGGAGTCGTGCGGCCTTTATTACTATCCACAGTGGCCAGTTTACTCGTGCGGTGATGGGGCCGCGTTGAAGCGCCCTCGCCCGCGCCAGCCACGCAAACTACACCGCACGTCGTCGGCATCAGCGTATCACCACCACCGCAGACACTGCACGAGCTCGACGCTATGACGGTGGTGTCTGTCCCACTCGAGGTGAACGCCGCGTTCGGCGCATTGACCGTGCTCCCTGCGGCGCTGCGCGGCACCGACGGCGACCGCGACCGCGACCGCGACGATGTGCGGTCGGATGAACTGGAGCTGTGTACCCTGCGGGAGAGAAACGGGTGGCACGACCGTCGGTGCGGTGACTTCTTCACCTGCGAGAAGAGCGACGGTGTCCCACTGGCACAAGCCCCACCGCTACCCACCGCCGTTGCTGAGCACGACGGCGGCGCGCCGGTGTTCGAGCAGGACCCCAATAACACCGATGTCAGCGCGGTTCTATCGCCCGTCAGCGACGTCGCCGTCGTTGCCGTCGCGGCGGCCATGTTGGAGTCGGCAGTAGACAACGTGGAGCCGCGCGAGGTGCGTCGGACGGGCAGCGTGGCCGGAAGCATCGGCTGAAAAACCGTCGAGTTGGCGAACATGCAAATCTCCATCACTGGCTCATCGAACTCGACGCTGCCGCCACCGGCACGCGAGCGGGCGCCTGGTGAAGGAGACACGACGCGCTCATCGCCGTTCGTAGGGGCGTTGGTGTCCGTGACGCAGTTCGCTCTACCCGATACGCCAGAGGTCGGGCTGAAGGACGCAGAGAGGCGCGGTAGCGCGGGCCCACGCGTGCTGCCAGGATGCGAGCGTTGCTGACCGTGTGGCGTACCGCGGCTGCCCGGCGTTGCCGCAGACGGGGAGGCGATGGCGTGGAAGATGCCGGACCTCTGTGTTGGGGACGCAGCAGCAGCTGCTGCAGCTGTCGTGGTCGTGGTCGTGGAGGTGTTGTTGGGGGTCCAGCTGACGGGCCCACTTCTCTGCCCTTTTGTCGCCCCCAGTACATTATTCGGTGTCGCTGCTGCTGTTGCTGCTGCTGTGGCAGAGGCAGAGGTCAGCGTGGTGGTGTCTAACGGTGCAAGCCCGCGCCGTGGTGAAGCATGCTTCCTGGCGATCGCAGACGACCCCGCTGGTGGCTTTGCCGCTGCCGCTGCTTTCATTGTTGGTGCAGTCTTCTCATGGGGGGCGAAGACTCCCTCTGCGGGCATGGCCCTCGCCTGTGTCGTGAAGCCACAGCTGCTTCGATGCGCACGCGCTAACGCCTGCAGGGGTTAAAATGACTGGTGGGTGCGGAATGGTCATCGCACTCGTGCCGCCGTTTGTCGTAGAGGCGGTGGTGGTGCCGCCGCCTTGCCGGCCGTGTTCGCCGCTCCGCGAAGGCGACCGGATGTGCTCCGCCGTGCTGCTGTTGCGCTTGCGGTTGCAACGAGCCACGCCACGCGCGGTTGGTGAGACCGCCTCGTCCACGCTGCGTGGTGAGCAGGCGGGGCTTCCGCTGACGGGGTCGCGCGAGAGGGGCGGAGGCTCCGTGCGAACGGCGCTTGCGTCGATGCTGCTGCGATCGCTGCTACAGATAGCCGACGGCGCGCCCCCGTCCGTTGGCAGTGCCACCGCTTCCAGCGTCAGCGAGCGGCTCCTCTTCGTTACGCGTGGTGCGGCAGACGATCGATGGCCCCGAGATGCCCTCCTGACGGACGGCGTAGAATTCACTACGGCCTCGGCGGTGCACGAGGCTTTATTGCTGTCGCGCGTATGACGGATGTTAGACGCCGTCGTGGGGCCAGCTGAGGAGCTAAGAATGCTTCTCGCTTCGTCAGCTTTCGCTGCGCTCGTCGTTTCATTGAGGTTGGGTACGTTTTCGAAGCTCACGCTTGGACGCCTGCCTTTCCGGCCTTCCCCCACCGTCGATGTACACTGCACGTCTGCAGCGGGGATATGCTTCGGGGTCGAGCTCCGACGGCTGTCCGAGCTCGCAGCGCCACTGGCGCAGTCATCGGTGTTGATCGACATCGATGAAGTTGACGTCTGGCGATCTTCGTGGCTTAAGGGGTGGGGAGGGGAGAGGAGGGAGGAGGCGGCAAGGATGTATGGGAAAGGCTCCAACCTGCTCGATGCACGCGCGCTGCCATTCGAAACGCCCGAAGTGGACTACGCGATGGGAGGGTTTAAAAAATGGGGCCCGAGGGAAAGAAAAATAATAAAAAAAGATAGTAAAAAGAGGGGGGACCCCTTCAACGTGTGGCGGGGCGTACGCGGGGCGTGGATGGGTCCGGCGGCGGCGTGCGAAGGAGGGGGAGAGGAGCTTTGCGCGGCGCTACGCCGGTCAATCCAAATCAAAAAAAAATAACAATAAAAATAAAAATAATAAACAATAGGCAGAAGAGAAAAGGTAACGCGAGCGCCACGCAAAATCAAAAAAAGGGGGGGAGAAAAAGAAGAAGAAAAGGTTCGAAGACGGTGGAATGAGAGCAAAGGCTTTGGCTTTGGCTTTGGTTTCCTGTACATACAAATTTTCACGAAACGCGAAGCAGCGAAAACTATGGAGATGCGTCAAACGCAGAAGTTCCAGAGAGAAAGAAAGAGAGAGAGAAATCAAATCAAAAGCGAAGCAAAACAAATGGAGTGGGTGAAGAGGTGGCAGGAGGAGGAGAAGAGGTCTGCGAAATAAATAAATAAAATAAAACAGCTTCCACAGAAGAGCGAGACGCGCACCACCGTAATTTACGTGTACCTATTACGAAGGCGAAGAAAGAAAGAACAGGTGGAGAGTGCGCTGCCCACCAAACCAAAAATGAGGAGAAGAGGAGAAGAGGAGAAAAATAACAAGCTGGTCCGCTCGCTTCCGGCCGTCAGGAGTGACGTGTTGCACGCACTAACAACACGACGGTGTAAACACCAGAAAAAAATCGAAGGACTGCAGAATTTATTTGGGGGGTCAACGTGCAACAGAGAGAGACGACAGAAATAATAATAATAACATTAATAATAAACCGTAAAGAAGGCGCACGGCACTTGGTGGCACGCAGACGATTTTTTTCGTTTTTTTTTTTCTTTAAAGGCGGGAGCGAGAGAAGCCCGAAGAGAAAAAAGGAAAAAAGAATAGCAGAGAAGACTGTAAAAGAGAGATAGAGAGAGAAGAGGAAAACAAAGAGGACAATAAAAGTTACGGGAATTCGAACGCTTCGATACACAACGGGGGTACAGCAGAAGAGAATATATATATATATATAAGTGCAAAGCTCTAACAATCAAGGAAAAACAGAGCGCACCTAACAATTAAATCACCTGTGAAAGACACACGGACACACACACACACGAACGCTGCTAGAACAAAAAAAAAGGAAAAGAGAAGAGAGAAAGAAAAGGAAAAAGATGGTTGCAATGAATCAACAACGGGGGTACAGCAAAAGAACGCATATAAGGGACGTCCGTGCGTAAAGCCAACACGGACACGGACACGGACACACACACACACAACCGGACAAAGCGAAACGTGCAACTTGTAATTAAAAAACGCTCGTGCAATGACGTAGAGGTGATTTCTTCGTTCTTCGTTTCCCTTTCCCTTTCGCTATCGGAGGTGTGTGACGTGCGAGCTATGGCGCCTCCCTGCTCAAGTCGCTTCCTTTGCTTCCAATTCTTTTTTAATTATTTCGCCTATTTTTCTTCAAAAAAAAAGGGTAGAGGAAATGAAGATAAGAAGACGAAGTTCTTCTGCCTTTTTGTTTTTGTTTTTGTTGTACCCTTCTGTTAACATTTACGGACAACAACGAAGACACCGTTGGGTAAGAGGCACTGCGACGTCAGCCGATTTCAAAAGATGGTTGGTGCAGTACAGCAGTTTGTATAAGAATGAGGTCAACAGGTGAGCAGGAGAGAAGGAGAGAGAGAAGGAGGTGGAAGAGAAGGAACGGTAAAATGAGCGTATGGGAAGAGAGATAAATATATATAGACGTATGTGTGTGCGTGTAGTTACGCGCACGTACGAGTAGCAAAGCGCTGTACCGCCCCAAGAAGAAGGGACTCTACAGCAACAGTGCACCGCTGCATGAAAACCGGCATGTGCAGACACCGGGGGAGTGCCGTTGTTCCTTCTGTATTTTTTTTGCTTTGCTGTTGCTGTTTCAGTAGAAAGAGAAATCACAGTACGAGAGCATTGAAAACAGACAAGAAAAGAGAAGATACAAAGAGGAAACCCCCTACTGCCTTCCATTCCTCCGCTTCAGAGCCGCTGCCTTCACAGGGGGAGGGAGCACAAACACAATGAAGACACCTCGAATAGAAGAAAGAACCACTTGATGAGAAACGCGATGCAGTAATTCGCTTACGAAGTAACAATGGAAAGAAGAAGAGTCCCATAAAAGGCACCGGAGCGTTACTTGGAAAAAAAAAAGAAATAAAGAATAAAGACAGAAATGAAAAAATCTGTGTTCGTACGTAATCGTGCCACAATGCGACGCAGATAATAATAATAATAACAATAATAATAACAATAATAACAACAGTAATAATAGTAATAGTAATAGCTTTCCGCAGCTAAGAAATGAACATAAAACAACTGAAAATATCACTTTCTTTTTTGAGAGAGGAGAGAAACACACAAACACCCAGATAGATCTATACGTGAGTGGGTGAATATTACTTCAAAATGCGGAGGAGCTGCTGCGCTTATTTTTTTCTCTTATCCTTTCTTTCTTTGAGGCTGCGGGGACTCGGCCGAGGCTTCCGAAAACGAAGGCATCGTACCCGCCTCATCGAGACGGTCACCGCCGTCGTTGGCGGGCGTCTCGCACGAGTGAAGAGGGACAGGAAGTCGCACGTTGCCGCAGACATTGTGATTTGACACGGAGAAGCGCGACGCCAGCGATGGCGGGGGGGGGGGTCGGGGGGTGCGGCGGTGAGCTCCGACTTGCGGTCACTGCCCGCACGTCCCCCACGCTGTCCGTCCCGGCTTCCTGTGTTGCTGAACTAGATGAAGAATTGGAAGTTTTATTGTCTCCTGCCTCTTCGTGTCACTGGTTTCGCATTAAGTGCCGAACGCCTTGTGCGCAGGCCGTTGCCTGCAGCGTGCTGAACACTTCGATCGGCATGAACGCTGCGGCGTCCTTCAAGCTGCCGCTGCTGGCCAGCAGCGTCCTTAGCGAGCTGCCACGCACTGCGTCGATGTCCTGCAGCGATAATCCGTTTTGTGACGAGTCATCGGCTGTGCTGAGCGCCCCCTTTGCGGCCCCTCGAGGAGAAGCCTCCCCTTCAGCGCGAGGCGAGGTCGTGTCGGATAACGAGAAGGAAGGCGCGTTGACAGAGGACGTGACGTGGGCGACGAAGGGGGTTGCCTTGTTCTTCGCAAAGCAGCAGCCCAGCACGTTCGGCGAGTCCGGCACGCGAAAGCGGTGCAGCCTTCGCACGCACGCCACCGCGTCCCGCTCGTCCGCGAACAACACAAAGCCGTACCCGCGCGACTCATTCGTTGTTGGGTGGTACGCGACCTTGGCGGACACGATAGGGCCGAACCGCGCGCACAGGTCACGCAGCTTCGCGGTGTTCCACGTGAGAGGCAAGTTCGTGATGTAAAGGTTCCGCGTGGAGGTGGAAGCGGCCGTGGTGGATGACGAGAAGGACGGCGGTGAAACGAGAAGGGTAGCGCCGTCACCGCGAGAAGCGCTCCGCGGATGGTGCGACAGCAGACCACACGCTCCGTTGAGCGAGCGAGAAAACGGGCTGGCGAGTGCTCCGTGAAGCACGGCAGCAGTAGAGGCCGCACCGCCGTTGCAATATGCTGCTGCCGTGCTCTGCTGATGTTGCGACGGCGGCGGCGGCAACGATGGAGAATACGGCCGGGGAAGGGGTGGGGGCTGGGACTTGGGGGCAGCGTTCGAACGCACACGGTAGTGAGCTTCCAACGCAGAACACGAGCTGTTGTCACCACCTGTCGCAGACAGTCCACACATCGGTGTCGAAGCAAGACTGGCGAAAGCGGTCGCAAACCTTGGTGTATCCGTGGTCGCTGCCGCGCATAACCAACATGACGACTCTCGCTGATATCTGGTCCTATCGGGTCCGTGTCTCACCTCACCACCGCTGTCCTGTCCGTCTGCACTCGTCGCTGTTGTCGTCGTTGGCCTCGTAGCTGGAGGACGAGGTTCGGGTATGATGACGGCAGAGGATGAACCGCTGCCGATGGTGATCACCGACAGCGGCGACAGCGGACGTCCACTTGCCGAGCCGGAGAAGCGCGAATAGGGCGAACTCGGCACACTTGTAGGCTGCCCGATGATGTCCGTTGTAGCGAAGGCAGCGGCGTTTCTCGCTGTGGGCGTCGCCGTGTTGGGCGTCTGATTGCTTTGAAAGCTGCCTCGATGGACCACCGCCTCGGAGAGGGGCCCGGTCTGCAAAGGAGAGGGAAGCGGCTGACGATACCTCTCCCCTGCTGCTCTCTCTGCTGCATCGGAGGGGTCCTCCTGAAAGCCTGGTGTGGCGGACTGGTGGGCCATGCGCACGAGCAGCATCTGCGGCTCCTCACCGTCAGTGCGGATCAGCGCATGGTTCAGCGCCGCCATGCAAACCGCTGCGCTTCGCTCGCGTTCGAACAGCACAAAACCGTAGCCGAGTGGCTTGTTCGACACCGGGTGGTGGGCGACCTTCGCCGACAGCACAACGCCGTAGTCGCCGCACAGCTCCTTTAGCACGGTCGTGTTCCATGAGGAGGGTAAGTTGCGGAAGTACAGGTTGCGCGAAGCGCGGGTGGACCGCAGGCAGGATGTGGCTGCGTCAGCGGCAGTGGTGGCGCTGGGAATCGGTGTGAGCGCGCCGCCGGCCGCGATTCGCTGCTGCTGTAACTGCTGCTGTTGCTGTAGTGTTGCCGTGGGTAGCTGGTAGGCGGTGGTGAGCAAAGGGGAACTCAGGCCAGTGCCGCCCGCGGTCGGCGTCGTCGCTGCTAGCGTCGTCACGGTGCCACTCACGGACATCTGCGATGGTGCATAATGCAAGACGTTCGGGCTCACAGAAGGAGTGTTTCGCGGTTGCTGCTGCAGCTGCAGCCGTTGTTGGTGCTCAGCGTACCTTTTGGTGAGTGGCATCCCGTACGCTGAAAAAGGCTGTGCATCGGGAGAAGACTCCGTATGGAGGACAGTGCCACGCGGCGCTGCTGCTGTGGGTACGGCGAATGCCGACAACGCGCAGACACCACGTCCTGCCTGCTGCGGTGAAGTAGACGTAGGGGACGGCGACACGCGCGATAACACCGCGGTCCCCGCCTGCACGCACGGGGCAACACCACTTAATTCATTCCATCCCACCTTGCTGTTATCGCCGTTGCTGTTGGGCGGTGACACATGAGCGGCGGCAGCGGCGTGCAGCGACGGATCGTCGCTACAGCACGGAGGACGCGACAGCAGCAGCGACGTCGACGGCGGCGGAAGTAAGAAGGCAGCGTCGTGGCCGCCTGCGTCGAAGGAGGTGAGCACGGTTCTGCCTTGTCCCATCATTTGAGCGCTACAACTGCTGTTATGCATGTCGTTGGTCTGCTGTGGTGGTGGTGAAGACCGGCTTTGAGAGAGAAAGGGCGACAAAACTCCCGGCGATCTGCCAACGCGCGATGCGGCTGCGAGCGCACCAACAGCGGGACACGTCTGCATGTCTCGCGTTGCGCCCTCCCGGTCAGCACCGGTGTTGTCGCAGTCTGCCGTGGAGCCAAGGGCGCTTCCGAAGAAGCTGCGTCGCGCATCGAACCCCATTGCGGTGCCTTCGGGTTCCGTATCCCGCCGGGTGCCATCACTGAAGCGACTGTTGCTACTGCAGCTGCTGCTGCTGCTGTTACTGATCGGTCGCCGTTCGTGACCGCGCTCGTCGAGCACGGCGGCACCTGCGCAGCACACCTGTCCGCCACGCGCATCGTCCTCGTCCTCGCTGGAGAAGTCTTCGAAACGCACCGCTGCGGCGATGACGGCCTGCAGCGCAGCATCGTCGTCCTCTTCCTCGCTCCCTACACCACCGTCGCACTCCCTGCTGCCTTGTACTCGAACGGTAGAGCTGGCCTCGTTGCTGTGGTGGCCACTGGGAGCCACAAGACACGGGTAGAACGAGGAGCTCGTCTTCTCCTTACCGCCGCCCCAGTCATCGAGAAGTGGAACAGCACTCACCACATGAAAACGCACGCCGCTCCCGAAGGAGTCCGTGCGTAACGGCCGCGGCAGCCCCGCGTGAACACCACCACCACTACGGAGCGCGTCTGGTATCGGTTTATTTTCAAGTCCTGACAGTCGGCGGTCCCGCTCGACAAGAGCGGCGCTTCCCGCACCCCACGCCGTGGCATGAGGCAGGTTTACAGCCTCCTCCTCGTCGTCGTCGCATTGGTGTTGCTGTCGCAGGCCACCCATGTCCCGCAAATCAGCGGCGGCATTTCTTTGAACTTCATCGCCGCCCCAAAGCACCCCTTGTGCACTTCTTGTCGTGCTTTGTGGTAGTGGTGGTCGTGGTCGTCGTCGTCGTGTCCCAATGCCAGATGCGGACGAGAAGGCAGCTGAACTTCGCACGTCGGACGCCGTACCGCTGGCGTGGCGTGCCACGCCTGCCCCCGATGAAGAGTTGTGCGCGGTGGAGAGCGCAGGGGACTTTGTTTGGGTCGTCAACGAAGTCGACGCACTGCTCACGACATCATCGATAGCGCCGCCCCTTTCTCCGAACTCCTCCGCTTCTGCGGCACAGTTGACACGAGTGAGGTCACCGTGCTCAGGGGATATGAATGCATCCCCAGATGTAGCACGCATCGCCCGGCTGTGGCGAGCACTGCTTTCGCTCGCTGCTGGTGGCATCTTCGCTGCCTGTCCTCCCCAGCTCCAGTCCTTCGCCGACGTTTCTTCTGCAGCCTGCGGGGCACGTTGCTGCATCGAATTGGCCTCTCCTCCCGTCAGACCTTTGTTCGTGTGGTTTCTTATAACGCAGCAGAGGAGAAGGAGGGAAGGGAGAAGAAAGCAGAAGAAAGCCAAAATGAAAACAAAAAAGGCGGTGAGTAGAATAACGAAGAAACAAAGAAAAGATGGGGTTTAGATAGATAGATAGATTACGGTGTGCGTGTCGTGACGGGTGCTGCTCCGGCGCGATGAATGAAACGGTTGCTTCGAAATCAACACGCACACACAAGAGAAAAAGGAGAAAAATGAGTAAGAGGAGTTGAAACGAGAAACCAACTCTATATATACGATGACTGGGAAAAAGCTACGGAAGTACTTTTTAAAAAGGAAAAGAAAGAAGTCAATGAACTAACAAGAGAAAGTGAGAAAAAGAAAAAGTACGGAGTGATTCCGTGCTCTTCTCGTTAGGAGGAAATACAGAACGAAGAGCAGAGCAGCCTCGTTTTGTGGTGGGGGGGCGAAACCGAACGCGTTGGGAGGGAACAACAACAAGAGAAAAAAGATAATAATAATAATATTCGGAATGCAATCACGAGAAAGGGGAGAGGAAAACAAAAAAATTCCTTACGCATTAAACAAGAAACAAAATACGGCGCGTCAATGACACCTCTACTATATATATATCAGAGCACCGTGATGGAGGACGTGTATTATACTATGAGAAAAGGACAGAAAGAGAGAAAGCTTATTAGAAAACACAAAAGTGAACCAGAAGAGGAAGAACAAGCGGAACAGATACGTACCGAAAGGCTGAGACACGTAGCGGCAGCGCGCACCCAACGCGACGACGTCGGCAACTCGAGAAAGCACCTCAACGAGCGGCTCGAGCGTCAACAAGAGAAGCAGCAGAAGAACAAAAAAAAAGCCGTGGGCGATGTGTGATTTTTATCCTTCCTGGGTGGCGTACGGATATCCCCCGTGGAAGCCGCGTACGTGAAATACGCCGAGAACGGAAAAAAGGCAGAGCGGGGACGCGAACAGACGCGGTAAAACCAATGGCGAAGGGGGAAACAATTGGAGAAGATGACTGATTGAAAGAAACACACACACACACATTCAGACACTCGTGTTGTTGTGGTGGGACACACACACACACAGAGAGAGACACACAGAAAGATACACAGTTGGTTCGAAAACAGTAATAGAGAATGCTCAGCAGCAACACCGCGGAAGAACGGAGAAGGACCAAAGGAGCGGGGGGTAAAGTGGAAGGCACGTGAAATGAAATGGGAGGTGCCACGTGCAGCGTACGTAAGGGAGAGAGAAATGATAGCGAAGAGACAAAACGGAAAAAAATGGCGGTCTTCGAAGCGCTCGGGGAGAAGAAGGAAGAAAAGAAGGGGAAAAAAGGATCGCAACGCACGCGCACGTTCACCAGCGCAATCAGGACAACTGAAAATGATATGCGAAACGGGGAAGAAATGAGAACAATAATAATAGGAATAATAATAATAATAATAAGAGAAGAGGAGAAAGAAAACTGTAAATCCTTGTTGCCCTGTGGCACGTGAGCTGTAAGGAGGATTAAAAAACCATCAGCAAATCAGTGCTGAGTGCCACGCTACAGAGAACAGAAAAGGAAAAAGAGAAGGAGAAGAGCAAATGAGAGTAAGTACATATGGGCTTGGAATGACAGACAAAGAAAACAAAGAGCTGTTATTGACTTGGACCAGCTGGGCAAGAGTTCACCACCAAATCCTTTTCCTTTTCGTTCTTGCGTCCCCAGTTCAGCTGTTGCGCCACACCATCAAAAAGAAGAAGAAGAGCAGCATAAGGTGTATATATATATATAAATATATATCTCAATGACAAGGCGTAACAGACAGCAATAAACGAAGAAGAAAAAGGAAAAGTGAAAAAAATCAAAGAGAGCACGGAGATGGAAAGTGTGGGCACAGCTTTCTACGGGTTGAAAAGGGGGGGGGGAAGAAAAGAAAAGGAACAACGTCGGGGTTGCAAGATATCTCTGTATGAAGAAGAAGAACCACATACGCTCATCTATACAGTGTAAAAGAGAGCCAGTTCACACATACACACACACACACACACACACACAGGTGGAAAACACTGATTAAAACAAAAAAAGGACAACGCTACTGCGTGCAGCAATGCAAAAACCAAGATTAATAATAACAGTAATAACAGTACTAAGAGAATAATAACAATAACAGTAGAGATGATGGTTAAGGAGAAAATGAGGGCAAAACGAAAACGTCCGTCGTTCAAACGTCGTTGAAAAGGGAAGAAACAGCCAACGGTGTAGACGGAGACTCCTCCCTCCTCAACGTTGAACGCGTTTGTTTCTTTCAGTGGTCTTACGCGGATATGAAACGCAAAAAAGGGAAAAAAAAATTCAGCACAAAAGAGAAGGAAACCGACGTGACAGTTGCCTATAAACCGTCACACGAGGAGGTACGTACGCGCAGCTCAACGAAAGATTCAAGTAGTAATAATAATAATAATAATAATAGAATCCCCGGTGTGCAGACGAAGAAGGGGCTGTAGCTTCTTGCTTCTCCGTCAGCACTTCTTGTGTGTGTGAGTGTCAGAGGTTTCTTTGTACGAGAGTTGCGTTCGTTCGCGCTCGGAGAACGTCTTGCTGCGCAGAAGCCGACCGCGGCTGTGGTGCCTGTTAAAAGGAGCGGAAGACTTTGCAGCGCGCACACACAACAACAGCAGAGACGGAGCGTGTTGAGAACACAGCAAGAGAGTGTGTGAAGGATAATAATGGTAATAAGGGAAAGAGTGGTGAAGAAGTCGGAGAAGATAAATATAAAAGTAAAAGAAGATGAGAAGAGAAGATTGAAAGAACGAAATCGTCAACGAGAACTACAGGAGAAAAAGTTGGTTTCCCGTTCATCATCTAGAGAAGCTTAAGCGGCGGCTATTGCTCAAACAAGAGATCAGCGTGCACGGGACAGATTGAAACTCAGCCACGTCAGTGTAACGCTTGCGCTGTTGTCCGTTGTTTTCCTTCTGTTTCTTCTTTTCTTCTTTTTCACATTGTTCGTGCTCTCACCTAACCGAAGCAACGCAGTTTCAATGAAGTGCTTTTGCTCTTGCTGTTGTGGACGCAGCAGTAATAAATAAAAGTATATAAAACGAAGTCTAAAAGAAAAGGCGCAGTTGTTTTCTCACCACAGCGAACTCATCGAACCCCTCGAGTCGCAGTGCTTTCTGTTCAAATCCTTCTCGTTGGTAGAGGCTTCTGTCGAACCTGCAGACCATCTGCCACCTTCAACCAATCACCGTCCGCCGCAGCTGAAGAGTCGCTTAAGCAGCGACCTCCGGCGTGGTGACTGCACAACCTTCTGCTTACTCGCTTCTGGGGTGCTGGCGTTCGTCATGTTGGGGTGCACAGGTGGGAGAGTTTCCGGAGTAGCTGCGTGAATTCCGGCCTCCTCGTTGGCAGAAGAAGCCACGCTTAGGGATGGAGTGCTACGCGCAACGGCTATCGCAGTGGGGCCCGCAGGAATCTCTTGTTGAAGGTTTGTAGACGGCAGACGCGTTGACGCACCCGCTGCGGACAGCATCGAATCTTTCTTCCGTGCTGCGTGTTCCTCTGCGTTATCGTGTGTCGCAGTTGTTGCGGCTTTGCTGGAAAGGAAAAGCGACACGGCGGGAGTCTTCCCCTGAAAAATAATCTGCAGCGCCTTCTGAACCCGTGGTGGTGGTGGTGGTGTTGACGCGGCTGCGGCGGAGACAGCAGCACCTGCTCCCCCCCTGCCCGTGTGCTTCCGCCGTCCTACGTTGTCTTCCTCCGCCGCTGCCGTGCGCAGCCACGTCGACAACGCCCTCAAGTCGTCAGCGGAGAGCACAGACGCAGCGGCCGTCCCATCATCCGCCGCAGACGATTGTTGAGCTGTGCCGCTCCTGCCCTCCTGCTGCTGCTGCTGCCTCGACACCCATTCCGTGAGCTCATCATACACATCCATGCTCAGTCCACCGATCGGGCTGTGAATTACACCCTGGCGACGTGAAGAACGACTGGCCTTATGTGTTCTGCTTTCGCCCTCTTCACGAGCTTTGCGCTCCGCCTCCGCAGCGGCGTCAACCGCACCGGCGTGCGTGAACAAGGTGGCGTTCATGAAGGGGAGCCAGGAAGCTGCGCACGCGTGCGGCGTCGCGTGCACGTTTGCGCCGCCGTCGCTATAACTGTAACTGTAGCTATCATCATCGCTGTCGTGCGAAGCTGTGTAGCTGCTCTCGCTGCGACTGCCGGTGTTGTTGACAGGCTTCTCGTCGGAAGTGGAAGTGGCAGTGTCGGTGCTGTGGTCGTCCTCGGACAACGTTGACTCGACCAAACTGCGCCGCCTCCTCGCGGAAGCGGCGGCCGCAGGGCTGCGTCGTTGCCCCTCCGTGGTGTTTCCGTCTCTTTCGGCTGCAACTATTGCACCCTCACGCGCGCCGATCACCTCTGGTGTGCTGCAAACTTGTTTAACAGCAGCTGCGGACGGCTGCGTGCTGCCGGGGCCTCGCTGCTCCTTGGAGCCGGCGGGCAGCGGAGCAGCGGGCGCCACTTCTCCTCCTCTTTCAGCTGATACGTGCGCTGCGGCGGAGACAGGCAGAGGCGCTGCTTCTCGATCTGCCTTCTCATCCACAGGAGGAGGCGTCACCGGTGAACCTGCAGGAGGACTTTCTTTCGAAGACGGCGCTATGGTCGGCGGACATGCAGCATGCAGCTCCGCGGTGCGGTCCGTCGGTTTGCCCAACACCTCGCTGTTCGAGGACACGGAGGAGGAGAGCAGGCGGGCAGCCGTGGCCACTGCAGCAGCACGTGCCCGCGCCTTCGAAGACAGAGGCGCAGCGTTGCCGTCGTTGCCGTGAGGGGGGTCATCGTGCCCGTCTGCAGATGCAAGACGAGGTGAGGAAGGCAGCTCCAGCGTCTCCTTTGTCCTTTGCTGCGCTGCCGGCTCCTTATCGGGCGCAACGAGCGTTGCCGTGGTGCTCTCCACAGCTGCCCTGTCGTCCCGCGTAACCAAAGGCTCCCTCTTTCCTTCTCCGTCATCAATGCTATCCATCCATGGCCGCGTCTTCTCTCCGGCGACTACCGGAGGCGAAGAGAGAAGCGTGCTGCTGCCTGCACGCAGTGGCGACGCCGGACCGTCTCCCTCGCGGCTTAGAGCCCCCTGCGCGTCTGCGGGGTCAACACGCGGCTTTGCGGAAGCGCAGCGCTTCCGTGACGATGACGATGTTGAAGATGTTTGAGAGCTCCGTCGTCGCGGTCCATGCGCCTTCGACACGGCAGCCGTGCACAAGGCTTCGTAGGTGCGCTGCACGCTGCGCCGCTCAGCACGCAGATCGTGTAGATGTCGCTGAAAGCGGGCGTACACGCCACGTGCTTCGTCCGCCCCGTGAACGCCGGCGTCCCGCTGCGTCGGCTGCGGTGTCGCACTCTCCATCTTTTCATTCCGCGCGGGAGCAGAGTCAGACACAGATGGCGCGTGGCGTGCCGCTGTCGGCGACACGCAGGCTTGCCAGCACGGTGGGGCCTCTCGCAAGATGCGCTGCTGCGAGGCGAACAACGCAAGTTGCGTCGACGTGGGCGGCGGCGGCGGTACCGCACGCGGCGGAGGCGCTTCTGCGAGCTTCAAGAAGGCGACGGCAGATCGCGGTAGCTCTCCGGTGCGCGCTCGTGCTTTGTCTGTTGCATTCACGGGGCCTCTGTCATTGTTGTCTTGAGGGGGTTCGCTCGGCAGGTGCAGAGCCGCGCGCAGTGCGGTGCAGGCCTGTGCACGTCCGCTCCGCAGCTCCTCCTCGTACAACGCAGTGGCGCTGCCTTCTTCGCCGTCTGCCATGGCGGCTCTCTTCGCCGCAGTAGCGGCACCGCCACCACTGCGAAGGAACAAATCAGCAAACAAATGCTGCCGCGGAGAGGTGCTCTTCATCTCCGAAGAAGAAGAAGGATGGAGATGTGGCGCATCCACCGTCGCATCCCAGCAGCTCCACTCCCCGCAGGCGTGCAGCAGGGCCACAGTGAGCTCCTCTGTTTGCCGCCGCATGGCGCGAATACCGCACAGCAGATGAAGTGCCCGCTTCGCCTCCGCCTCTGACTCCGCGGAAGCCAACGACGCAGCTTCACTGCAGTGCCCTGCCGCCTTGTCCTCCCCGGTTGACACCGACGGCTTCGACGAGCTGAGCCGGGCATCACCGGGCGAGTCGACCGCTCCATCCATCTCAACACTGCACGTCGGTGCCGGCGTTGTTGGATCACTCTCACCTGTCTGCCTCGCAAGCCCCGAAGCGGACGTGGAAGGCGCACCACGCAGCAGTTCTTTGTGCACAGCGCGGGTCAAGGACAGGCCTTGGTCACTGAACGCGGCCCGCGCCTTGGCGTTGTAGAAGAGTAGTCGTCTCGCGCGCTTCTTCGCCACATCGAGCGCCGCGGCGTTGAAGCTGCCCGTACTATTAACGTTATTGTCCCTCGTGATGGTGGTGGTGGTGGTGTTCGATTCCAATGCTGATGACGCCGGTGTCAGTAGCAATGGGGGAGAAGAGGTTGTGTTGAACGGAGCGAGGCACTGTTCCGGTGGAGAGGGTTGTTTGATGGAGCGAGCGAGGCCGCTGTCTTCAGCGTGCGTAAGCGCCGGTGACAGCACCGTCGTTGCGGTACTCACGTCGCGCGTGTCGCTTCCCTCACTCGGCGCTGTCCGTTGTGAGCCGCGCAGCACACGCACAGTGTCCGCGCCGGTGAACCTCGACTGCCTCCTCGCGCTGTTGCCCAACGCGGACCCGCTGCCACCTCGTTGTTGGGAGCCGATGGAAGACGGGTCGAGCACCGCGCAGCCGCTCCTGCCGAAACAGCTACCGTGGTCTTGCCTGAGCTGCTGCTGTTGCTGGTACACGTGGAAGTCATGCAGAAGCTGCCGTGCTCGCTGCACCTTCGCCGCGTATGCAGCGTTGGCGGCCGTGTCATCCACCAACACCTCCCACGGTGACTTGACGACCGTCAACGCAGCAGCAGCGGCAGCAAGGGAGTTCTTATTGACGGAGTGCTGCGGCGACGGTGGCTCTGACAGCGCAGAAGGCTGGGAGGGCTTTTGTTGTGCAAGGGAGGGCATGAGGATGTGTCGGGCCGTGGGCACCGGGGGGTACACAGGGCCCTCGTTCAACTCGCTCCCAAAGCTGGGCAGCGCTGGTTGGATTTCATGGCTGTAGACGGTCGAAGAAGCGGATGCCTGCGGTGTACACGACGCTGGCGGAAGGTTGGCTGGTGTGCTCGCGATGAACGCATCATGAGGAAACGCACACGACGCCAGTGCTGATACCTGTAGTGGATGATCGCCCGTGCGATCCTGCGCTTGGGGTCGTTGGTAGTCTATCATTACTCTAGGGAGAAGGTATACGTACGATGCATCGACCGCTTCGAGGCGGTGTTCTCAGCTGTTTCTATAGCAAATACGCATGCACCTTCTTCTTCTCTGTGGTTGTGAAGGCACATACGTGTAAGGCGTCAATGTAAGGTCCCTCAGCAAACAGCCTCGGTTCCAGTTTCTATCGATTCAGCAATCAGCAATCAATGGACGGGCTATCACACATCAGTTGCGTGGTGTTTGTGTACTGAGGCAATATATATAACAGGAACTCCCTCTCTCTATCTCTATTGGCAATGCGGCCCGTTGGGGGGGGGGGGAAGAGGAAATGGTCGAATCGAACGTTACTGTAGAAGTCGAGAGATAGACTTCAGAGATAATAACATTAAGAATACTGCGGTTAGAAGTCGAAAGGCTTTTATTTGTTTTTGAAGCTGCGGATTCTCGCTCGGCTGCGGCCGCGGGTCACGAGGAACCAACAAAAGGGAAAGGAGCGCGAGGTGAACGGGTAAAAGGGAAAGGAAAGAAAAACAGCAGAAGAAGAGGAGGGAGGAGAATCGATGAGTGAATTCGCCACAACGGGAAGTTGTCTGTGCCACAGTGACTCTCCACGTGCTTTGCCACCGTGGTCGTCCAGCTACGGCCAGTGCGTGGGATTGCACCCGTTGGGTCGGAGAGACACATCATGCAGCAAGAGAAGTTGTACGACGTGCCCTCCCCTTAAACCCTCAGCTCGCAGCCCTTCACCTTGTCATGAGTGCAGCGGCCAGCAGTCGCAGCTCTTCTGCTTTGCTCTCCTCCCTCACTTTCCGTGTGTCCGTCCTTCGAGTCATTCTACCTGAATTCTAATCTGTGAAATCAACGCAACACAATGCACCTACCTCAACCGAAATGGCAGAAGAACGCAGTTGGATCTTCTTTCTTTCTCTACGGAAGAGTGTATCGACGCGCGCCATCAGGTGCACACCACCAGGTCGTACTCCATGCAGTCGTAGTACACCGCCAGCAGGTTCGAGAACGCGCTGAGCACCGTGCAGATGTGCCACAGATTGTGACTGTTCCCGATATAATCCAACGTGGAGGCGGACACCACGTAGGTGGCCATGAGCTTCGGAAAACAAAACCGGCGCCACCACGATGCGGACGAGTGCGCTGTTGTTGCGGACGGTGATGCTGCTGCTGCGGCGGCGGCGGTGTCGCCCACGTTGCGCGTCAGCTCCTCCGCACACCACGCCGCCGCTTCCTCGGCGGCCAGCCGACGCGCGTGCCTCGCTGCGCTGCGCGTCCAGTGGAAGACGACGCGCTCTGGGAAACGAGCCACGTTCACGATGCCGCCGATGAAAAGCCAGAGGTAGGACAGGTTATGGTAGTACACGCCCTGCGTGAAGCCCCCGAAGGCGGGCTGGCTCTTGGGGTACACAAGGCAGCGATAGAAGCCGAGGTGAAGAAGGACGTAGACGCCCATGACGAGGGCGCGTTGGTTGGCGGTGACGTGCACCGCCTCGGTGTCAGTGGGCCCCGCATCGGTAGGACCCGCCGCAGTGGGTGAGGCGAGACAGGACTGCAACGTACATGCCTGACGATGCCGATGGAGCCAGAAGAGCAACGCGTCGTACGCCGCGGACGATGGCGCCCTGTCATTCACGCGAGCACGCGGGCCCGGTCGCGCATCGTCACCGCGACAACGACGCCGCTCTGACACGCGTTGCGCACGCTGCAGCGGCGGCTGGGCAACGGACCGCGATGCAGACGGTGGAGGGAAAAGAAGAGGCGCACCTGTGATCAGCTCCACGACAGCGCACAGACTCCACGCGATGACCCCTTGCACCGCAGCCCACAACCAACACCACACACCTATCCAAAAAGACCACAGCGGCGCCACTACCGCCACGTAGAGACACACCAGCGTGAATACCGCGACGACGACGGCCGCCCACAGCATCGCCCTCTCCGAGGCACACGGCATTCCGCAGGCAAAGTATGCGTACGCGCTGCCGACGATGGACAGCAGCACACCCATGATATCGCACTGCAACAGCTGCTGATAGCCGCGGCGCGAGTGGCAGCAGGGCATGAAGGTGTGGTAGACACAGGAGAGCAGAAAGGTGAGGAGCAGACACCACGTTAGCGGAGTGAAAGAGAGGTCGAGGCGAGCGGCGACGCTGATGGGAAGTGGCAGCGGCGAATCGGCCGCCACCGGGGAAGCCGTCGTCGTCGTCGTCGACGCAAAGATCGAGATGGGAAGTACATAGACGAAGAACGCTGACCACGACGATGGAAGAGGAGCAGACGGAGGCGCGCCGTTAGACCGCAGATCGTCGCGAGGAGACGCCCCTCCGCCCGGCGGCACATACCCGTAGCCCTCCCTTCCTTCCCAGTATTCGTCCCTTCCGGCAGCATCGAAGGCACCGCCGCCTCTTTCGTCGCCTGTCTGGGCGTTGCTCGCTGAAGCGGATTCTGAGGAGCCGGCAGAGGAGGGCAGCCCGTGCAGGCTGTGCAGCCAAGTCGGAACCTGCTGGGGCGGTGGCACACGCACCTCCGCTCCCCTGCTCCCCCTTCCGCTCGCACGTGCCCCGTCGCTTCGGTCCGACAGGGATGCACTCCACGCGGTGAGCCATTGGCCCTCAGCACCCGATGTCCACGGAGAACCACCACGGCGACCACCTTCATACCGGCCCTGCACGCCGTCAGCGCCCCCGCCTCCTCCCTCCCCACCCAGCGCAGCACGTGGAGGCCACAGCAGGAGAGAGAGCAGCAGCAGTGCAGCGGCCAGGTGCGTTAAAATGTTGAAGCTTTCGTTGTGCGGGTACAGAAACAGTGAGCCTACCGCTTCCCGTTTCCGCAGGAGACGATGACGAAATCCGCGGCGGATGTATACGTTAAACTGCAGCCATGGATCGACGTTGTGAATAGAGACCGTCCCGCGCTTCCACGAAGCCACCTCGCGCTGCACGCGTGCCCACAGTGGGGGAGAGGGGCTTGTCTGCAGGTGGGGGGCGGGTGGTTCGGGGGACACCTGCGGCGGATCGCTCGATCGGGGTGCCGCTGGTCGCCTGTGAAGGACGTCCGCATTAGGAGGAGGGAAAGCCGGCGGCGCCGACACGCGCGTCGACCCGTCTTTTGGATCGATGACATACGAAGCAGCGCTGTTGGCGACGTGTGGGGGCTTCACGCGAGTGTCCACGCGGCCGCTTCGGGAGGGCTCCGCATCTGCCTGGTACCCGGCTGTCTTGACGTTCAATGACATTTTTCATTTAAGCGAGAAAACTAAAGAGTTCTACTCCGTAAAGCAACGCGGAGTTGAGATGGACAGATGGATGAGACAGGAAAGATGGAGGTTGAAGGAGAAGAGGGGGGGAGGGGCTTTCTGTGTTGCATGGCGCCTCCGTTGAGGGAGCCGTGTGTGCGTATCTATAGAGGGGGGGGG